TACGATACTAGAGTTCTATTGCCTAAGAGGCTATAGAGGTTTCCTAAGCGCTTCTTAGTACTCTAACTTTATAGGAGATCCTTAGTAAAGACCGAGAGCAGACGAAAGATCTTATAGAACGGATTAGTAACTTAGATACGATTAGCGATAACGAGGGTAATATAGTAGAGGAGCTAAGGCGATTAGTACGCCTAAGTTTCAAGCTTACGTAGGAGTGCCTCCGGGATACTACGAGACGATTATAGGGAGATTGCTTTAAGCTTGTATAAAGTTTACCTACCGACTATATTTGCCGACTATATTTCTTAAGATTCAAAATATTACAACTTGTAGTATAGCGTATATATAATCCTAAGTTTCTTTATCCAATTTAACTATAATCTTTACTTTCGTATCTATATCGGGTTTATATATAGTTTCTTTTCTTATACCTAGTCTAAATAAATCGCTTCTTCGCTCTCGTTAGGGTACCCGGTTTCTAGGTTTTTTATTTCTATATACGAAGATTCAATACCTAATAGGTACGCAATACCTACTAGGTATCGCAATACCTACTAGGTTTGTACCTAACCCGATAGGTTAGGTATACCTAGCTAAATACCTATACCTATTAGGTATTGCTAATACCTAACCTACCCTATATACCTACTAGGGTAGGTTGTACCTATAATAAGGCCTAGTTCGGATAATAGCGCGTCAATTCCGACTATCTTAGGGTACGTTCTTAACGCGTACTCTAGTAGTATATTTAGTAGCTCGTAGCCTAATCGCGCTAACTCGTAGTCTTATAACTCGTACTCTCGTAACTTGTAGTTCGTAGATTCGTAGTTCGTAGGCTCGTAGCCTTGTAACTTGTAATCTCGTAACTCGTAGTTCGTAGAATTGTAGTTTATAGACTCGTAGTCTGTTCGCGTCGGCTCGTAGCTCTAGCCGTAGCCTAAGTAACTAGCTTATATTAACTCGTAGTTTACGCGCTATATATGTTGTAACTCGTAGTTTATAAGCCGTCGTTTATATAGTAGTTCGTAATTTAGGCTTGTCGGCGTATCCGCTTAGTCCGAGGTTGTTAGTTAATAAGTTGCTATATTAGTTTCTCCCTCTAACTCTAAGACCGTAACTAGACTATTATCGTTACTACTGTATTTAGTAATACTCGTACAGTTTAGGTATAGTTCGTCGAAGTCTACGTCGAACCTCTATTATAGCTATTTAGGGTTCTCGGAAGTAACTAGGTAATAGCCGTTACCTTTGAAACCGAGTAACCTCTCGATTCTAGCCCTAGTACTAATTATTTTGCTTATGTTAGCAGTCTTTTTATAGACGTAGGCCTTATACCCTATAATTCGTATATTTGAGAGGTATAGTTTATAACCTGTCTAGGCCTTATATAGTATTATAGTTAGCCTTCGGTATAGTAATCTGTTTTGTAGATAAGTAATTCTATACTTAATTACTAGCGGCTAGTACCGGGGGTCGAGATTAGGTAATACGAGAAGTATCGTCTATATCTTTATTTCGATAGTTTTGTTAAATGCCTCGGCCGTACCGTTTTGTTCGTATTGTTTAGTACTTAAGAGGTACTAAGCAATCCCTCTATTTCTAGACTACCTAAAGTAACTATCGCTTGTGTTTTTACCTCCTCTATCCTAAATAATTAAGGTTGTATAGTATTTAGGGGTACTGTTATTAGTAATAAATTCTTAGACTACTTGCGGTACGTCGGCGCGTCGCTTTATCGGTATAGTAACGCCCTATTAAGTAAAGTCGTCGATAATACTAACGAAGTACTTACTTCCGTCGAACGCTTCGAGTAGTAAATATACTACGTCGACGTATATAACGTCTATTTTATAACGACCGTAGGGTAAGTAATAGTTATACGGTTTCGTTGTTTGTCTACTAAGGACGCAACTTTCGTAGAGGCAGTCGGTTCGTAACGCTTCTATTCTAGTAGATATACTATAGAGCTTAATAAGACCGCTTTTACTTAGGTATACTATTCGCTCGTACTATAAACGAAGTAATCTGTCGACCGAGTAGGCAGCGCCGTAGAAGCCGGTTAGTCGTTTAGTAAGTTACTCGTTATAGGTATCTAGTATTAGGAGGCCTCTAGTAATAGTTACCGAGTATCGATCGCTATCTTTTGTAAATACTAGGCCGTTAGCTGTCTTTACGACGCTCTTAATATATAGCTATATTGCGTTAAGAGACAGGAGGTTTACTCCTACGTTTAGCGCGTACTAGGTATTCGGTATTTGAATCTATCGACCGTTACGGCACTTAATTCGGAGCGTCCCTTAGCCGATTAGTCGTAACTTAGTACTACTAATACCGTTGGATTCGGCCGAGTTAATAGTAATATAGGTATCTAGTATAAAGAGGTCTTTACGACCGATAAGCGAGCCGGTAGCGCCGCTATCGAGGATAAAGCAGTCGTAAAGATTAATGCTACGATGAATTGCTATGTATTTACGCGTATCGTTATATAACGTAAAGTATAGCGCTTCTTTACTATTATTGTCTCTAGTAACTATTACGTTGTATCGTCCGCTGCTAGTATCGGTTAGTCTACTAAATACGGCGTCGTCGGTGTTTTTGCGTTTCTTAGAGTTAGAGTAACGGTCGATCTATACCTAAGGTACCTTACTAGGGTCGATAGTCTAGTAAGTACCCCTATACCTTTTACTATAGTACTTGTAGTCGGGGCCGTCGTTCGGACGGCGTTAACGGTTATATAGAGCGACGTTACTATCTAACTGTATTCTGCTTGCGTATTCTTTAACTTTGCGTCGTACGATAGCTATACTAACTATAGTTTAAGTAACGCCGTTAATAGCAGTAGGTACGAGTAAATACTAAAGGTTAAATACGGTAATAAATTCGCTGAATATATCGCTAAGGCCGCTAAGATAGGCCTAAACGAGAAATAGCTCTAGTAGCGTTAATTTCGCGTCGAGGTTTACTATCTCGTCGTAAGTTTAGGTGAATTAAGTACTATAATTGGAGATATCGTTATACCTAGCGAGTATAAGGTTAGTAAACGTATAACAGAGTTCTTAATAACGTCCGGAACCTACTAGTTCGAATTTAGCTCGGAGGCGCTCGTTAATAGCCGTAAATATAGGTTCGTAGTTACTCTCGGCTGTCTCGAGTAGTAACCTAGCGATAGGGCTATAGAATTCCTTTACTAAAGCATAAGCGCCGAGCTGTTTCTCGTTCTAGGCATCTAGGCGTTCGTTAAATAACTTATTACTTTCCGCCGGAACGGTAGTAATACCTAGTATACTACTAGTTTGCCGAACTCCGGCGACGGTAGGCTGTCTAATTAGTACGGTTTTACTAGTCGATACTATAGAACCGTAACCGCTAAGGATGATTTTATTAGTAATATATAACTGCTAAGTAAGCTACTAGTATAGGCCGTCGAGGCGAGTAAGTAGTAGGGTCTTAGTATTGTCGGTTATAGTAACGAGCGGTAGAGGTAATATAAGTTAAGAAGTAAGCGTAATATCGGACTCTGTTGATAGCGTTCTATATAAGAGTTTGTAGCGCTAATTTGCTTGTTATAAGTAGTTTGAGGGTTCGTTAATCGTTAACTATATACTACGAGTAGTTAGTTTCTTAGTCGAGTAATAAATACTATCGTAACCGCTAATTGTAAGCGGTAAAGGGTTTTTTATAATTAACTATATTATATCTCTGTTACGTCTCTATAATTCGTATAACTTAAAAAGTCAACTTGACTAGATTTAGACAAGTCTCGCTTGTAACGACTTCGCGAGTAACGCTTCGTAGATTGTCGGTCGTAGGATCGTCGCTATCGTCGAATCTAGAGGGTTTTTAGTAATTAGTATAGATTTGGACGTTAGTATAAGAGTATAAGTATAGATTAAAATTTTCTTAGAGGTTAATGCCTCGGATACGTAGTATCGTATAATTGGCTCGGCTTAGGGTACCGAGTATCGTAAGTTATATATTAGAAGCTTCTAGTAACTAGCTACGCGTTCGTTTAATACCGGTCTGAGATGTACGCGTAGGCCGAGATAGGAAGGATAAAGTTAAAGTAGAAACCGTTACGGAATCCGGGCTTATAACCTGTTAATTAAGTAAATTTGAGATCTATAGTCTATCAAATTGAGCGGCTATCAGAGTGTCTATATACCCGCGAGATTAAGGCCTGAGGCCTCAATCTCTGCTATTACCTCGGCTGTCAAGGCTTTGATGCCTGCGTGCTGTGTGCTACGTCAACAGAGCACACACGAGAAATATGCGTCGTGTAATCAGTCGACGCGGACATGCTGAAGATGAAGTCAAGTTGTGAAGAGCGTCTACCTCCAATTTGTGGACTAGAAGGACCGGCCCGATGCCGTCCTCCCCATGCACTATTTACTACCTCCGGAGGTACCCGACTGTACTTAGTAGGTAGGCTAAGCCACATCACAGCAAAAAGGCAGATCGAGCTAAGGAAGAAGGTAGGAGTTTAGGGCTACATGTACCCTCCATTGTGGCGGAGTAAGGTATCTAGCGGTTCCGTCTATGCCTCAGGTAGGCAAGGTATGTCTCCCAACTCCCTGAATCTGTACCTCAGGGACTCTGAGTTCAGAGACAGACCTTCGAGAAAGAAAAAAACATAGCCTCAATCTTTTTCCTCATCGATCGATACAGATACCGTACCTTACCTTATCTGTAACCTTCACCGCTTCAGAATCAGCAGCCACCTCACGCCCTACCATACATTTTACCTACCTTGAGGCTTGAGGTGACGTCCTTACGCTTCCTAGGTTCTGTATACATGTGTCTGAGGCTTATCCCCGCGTAGTTCTGTACCAACCCGACGTATCACGTCCAAAGCTCTCCAAGAGCGATCTCGGCGCAGCCTTGCAGCATCGCTGACGACGCGAAATTTGGTGTGTTGATGCAACGCGTTGACTCGACGACGGCTTTCAAAGCATAGTGGAGTGACCGACTTGTGTCGAGGGAGGCTTCGGGGCTACGCCATTGTCTTGGTGTTACATCTAGAGGTATTTCGGATGCCGCCTACTCCTTCTCTCTATATACACTTCTCCCATGTACGCACGCTTGTTCTTTGTTTTACATTGTTACATTCGTGAACATTCTCCGGCACTTTCGTAGTAAACAGACAGCATCGCTGGATCGAAAGAACGACGTGGCACACAATAGCCCACGTTCTGCCCCCCGATCGCTGTAGCCTGCCAAGGCTAAGAGACCGTCCGATTCGATGAGGACCTCGAGATGCGCCTGGACGGCTCGTTGCAATGTTGGCTCGCCAGATGGCGATCGAGATGATCTTGCCGGCCGAAGCCCTTCGTATGGAATTTACAACCCAGAAAACGACAATGGTACCGTCTTCGATTGGGATCGTGTTTCGGCAAATGTCTCGCCAGATCTTTCCGATACTGAAAACGTTTGTCACAATGCGGACAGACGTGATTTCGGCTTTCATAGGGCTGATGCGATCGAAGGTGATGCGTCAGGTCGCTCTGCGTACTAAACGCAGCATCGCACTGGCTGCAACCGATCTCACCGAGAGCCATGTCCTCTTTGCTTCGGCGAGGTGACCTGCTAGCAGAAGAACCCCCTGAGGAAGCGGACGAAGGCGACAAGTGGGCATCTGATAAGGTCGGAGGCGCCAAGTGAGCAGTATCCAGACGTGGCATATCTCGATATCCAGAAGCTGCAGCGCGTCCCAACCAGCCTTGCATGTGACCAAGTGGCAGTGCATCCGTACGCAGATTATGATAGCCAAGGTTGTCGTCTGAGAGGGCTTGTGGCGGACTCGTAGTGGGGGTTGTTAGCTGGGCTTCGGTAGATGACATACACTGTCGCTGGTGCACGTCTTGTACAGGCTCGGCTAATTCTGGAAAGAACTGCTCTAGGTTACTAGCAGACAGCTGCGAGATGAACCCTGCCTGCATGGTTTCGAAAGCGGGATAAACAGACACTCCATAGAAGTTGTCGAAACACGGCGGGGCTGGGTCGATCGTCACCTGAGTCTGCGGAAGTTGGATGAATTGCTGATTACCAAGTTGTTCAGTATCGAGGGCTAACTCGCTCCAGAGATGGTCTATGGGTATATCCAACGAGCCGGCCACACTTTCGGGAGTTGCAGAGCGGTCCTGCCGATTAGCGAGAGCTCGCTGGCGTTCAATTTGCTCTCGAGGTACTTGAGCTGGTACGGAACGATTGTTCTGCATATCAAAGGCGGCGAAGTCGACTCTACAGGGCGCCGAGATCCCAGACACTGTATTGGTAATTGGTGTAGGTTGCCCTTGCGGTACGGACTGATGTAGCTGGAAGGTGGGTGTAGCACGAGAGTGCCCACGCTCCATGGGCGACTTCTTCTGGCCCAAAGTCAGCATCGGATTTACTGTTGATTCCTAGTCGACTGTATCAAGTTGGCATACCAATTGCGCACACTGGTATTGCCCCAACATGCTTGCCACTACGGGAGCTCACTCGAAGTTGATCAGGTTGAAGTTTTCGGGCCTGTCAGAACATGCGTGTGCGATTGTCGCCAGCGCGAGCATCAGTAGATCAATGGCAGTAATTAGAGCGAAGATTAGATGCAGTCATCGGTATCAGCTCTGTCAGCGCTACCAATAGCTCGGACCGATGAATGAAGTGGATGTGATGAAGTGTCTGTGTACGTTCATAGAGCGACGGCGAGTGGGAAATTCATGAAAATGCGCCTTACCTGTGCCTTTTATGATAGCCATTGAGCAATGGATATCAATTGAGGACGCCCATAAGCACTGCTCGTGGCTATCACAGTGTTGCTGCGGCCAGGCAGAAACTGGGCTGTGCACCGTCCGCGGGCGCCTGAGGTTTGGTAACGTGCATGCACTAGCACGTCGTACCACGTGAGCACATTCGATCAAATCGTGTCATGTTACAAGTCCTGCATCACATGGCAGCCGACCGAAGGCCGCTTCATCGCAGCAGATTGCTGTATTGAGGGGAGGTTCTTGGAAGTGTTGTTGTCGGTCTGGTATGTCGAGAAGAGAGAGCTGGTTGGAAGTGTGGTGGAGGTACCTGACCTTGTAGGAGGCACTCCATCGAGTGCCAAGTGCTTGGCGGCGGGGAAATGCTTATCAACGGGCGGCTTCAGCCCTTCAGATATGGATCCGGTCTGACGTCCTTATCCTGCGGCCAGTTCATCCCCAGCCTTCGCCTCTCTACCCTCCCTGGTGGCTAGAGGCCGATATTGTTAATGCGTTCATATTAGTTTGTACTTCACCTTCTCGAGATGCATGTCGACTGCCCTGGACCGCCTGGCTGCATCATTGAGCTCGCGCCCGAGGCGTGTGCTACGTGATTTGTACTCTTCGAGTTCCTTCTTCAGAGCTATTATCTGGTTTGCCACGCGATCGGCATGCCGAAGATGTTCTATCTCGGCCGTCTCGCGGCAGACGATTCTGCATTCGCGAGAGCGGTAGCCGCGACAAGCCCAGCGCTCAGCTTCTCCGCCTCGGACAAGTATTGCACTCTCGTGTCTTCACAAAGCTTATGATACCATTACCGCGCGGCCTTCTCGTCATTGCCCCTCGCGACTTGCTCACATTAAGAGGATTCACCCAAGAAGAGAGTTTTTGTGATATTCTCTTGGTGCGCTTTGTGCTCGACCTTGTATCTCTCCAGATAAGCCTTCCGCTCACGCTGAGACTGCAGCAACGCTGTGTTCACCTCGAGGGACTGTTTGCGCTCGGAATCGGAATCACCTTGCAAACGAGACCTCTCTTCCAGAGAAGCGCTTGCATCTCGCCCTTGGTATCCACATATTCCGTGTTCCGTAGAGTCGTGATGCGAAGGAGGATCGTGTTCATATTGCGAAGACGGCCAACTTTCCGGGCGACTTGATTCGACTCATCAAGCTTGCGCTTGCGATTTACGAGTACCTGCCGAAACCTCGTGTGCTTCTCTTGATACTCGGGCTTCCATTCTGCGAGCTCTATGGCGTGCTCTTTAGCGTGCTCTACTTTAGCAACTTCGTTAGCTGTGAAAGCACATTTGTTCTTGATCGCGATTTCCTGCTGAAAGGCACAATCTTCTTTCTTCAGCGCATGATTGTGGCGGGCGAGGTCCTCGAGTTGGCAGTGATGAAAGTTGAGCTTTTGAAGCGGCGCATTCGCTCTGACCAGTGACATGCTCGATACCAGGGAGAGTTTTGGCCAGGCGAGATGCACTCTGGTTGAGCAAGAAACTTTGGAAGACGTTGGGTATTGACTTTGCAGGAGGATATTCCCGCCATGCCTCGTTTGCGCTCTCTACTACCTTCGCACCATGGCTATCGGTAAGCTACGTATAGACAGGCGTGTTAGCGTTACACGACGTGTCTGAAACCAGGCATCCCAGCGGCAAAGTCGTCTTTGGATAGATGAGTTATACATCGCTGCCGGCCGTGTGCACCAAGCTAGGCATTGGAAAAGAGTAGCATTAGCGTTAGAGGTTGTGCAGACGAGGTAGCCTAGGTGAGGCAGAGATCAGGTGGGAGGAAGTCGATGGTATATAGTACCTACATGTCCCTGATAGAACCACCTCCAGGGGGTGCATGTAATGAGGTGTGTAAGGGCTCTGTCATTGGTTGGAAGTTTGCCTGCACTAGTGGAAGACCCGTGTCGTTCATCTCCACCGAGGGAATAATAGCACAGGCCCTTGTTCGGAGCATGCTCCACCCAGACTTCAGTGGGAGTGCCATGTCGCACTTCTTCCCACACAGTTGGCAGTTGGCACATACAGCATACGTCGGAGACCAACCATGTGCCCGCGCCCTGTTCGGGGCACAAGTTCTATATCGTGGCCTCGAGATGGGCGCCAACCTTGGTCCAGTTTTTGCAGCCCCTCAGGCTTCCAGCATAAATACAAGACAAGTGGAAACGGGAATCTTCAGCCTGATTGGGACTGTTAACGGGGCTGCGACGGCGGCGAGAAGATGCAGGGGAGACCTCCGCACTGTGAGCCAGTGCGAGGAGAGCGGGCAGAGCAGGCGTGGAAAGCATGATTGGACTCAAACTGGAGTCGGTGCTTGTCTGCTTGACATGCTCAGGTAGGGAGGCATCATGTCCATCTCATAGAAAGTGGCCTGAAGATGAGTACCTGAAACACGGCCCGGCCCACATGGAGCATCTCGACCTCACCAGGCTCACCTCGTGCGGATGTGGGCATGTGGCCTTGCCGATAATATGAAAGTGTCTTGACAGGAGACAACCGTCCAGTCGAGCATGATGCTCAGCCTGTCCAGGATATATCAGATCATGAACCACCTTGGCAGCCCAGTGTTGTGGAAAGGCTTCACGGCCTCATTGGTGAATCACATCCATATTCTTTCCGCTACTACAGAAACCCGGCTTCATCAACAAGCAACGGCAAGCAGTCAGCTTCTGAGAACGAGTTTCCCCAGACCAGTCTCGGATGAACATGCCGAATAGCAAGAGAACCGACTCATCGCTACCACAACTACCAGGGATCTACCTACTGTAGGGTAAGTTCATCACAGTGGACTCGTATGTTTTTGCATGGCAGCCGAGATGAATATATGGTATTTCTCTTGCGCAAAGAGTCGTCAGTGTCGATCTTTCTGTATAGGATCGTCACTGGACAGCGATCACGATGTTATAGTCGTGGACTGGGATACGGGGGTGTCATGTGGGGATCAAGAACTGACCAGCAATGTCATCCTTGTTCTGTCGTGATCTCCTCACACTCTATATCAGTTATGCTTCCAAACAGCATGACATGCCCTCGCTTCGTGTGCAAGGCCTCTATGGATTCGTAGCGGAGCGGATATTAGCACGCGCAAGGTCTCCTGGGTTGCAACATCGCAGCCTCGGTGATTGTTCTTGTACACCACAGAATGATTGGGTATATCGTACCTAGCATGACAACCAACACCCTCGTCCTTCATCACATTGGCGAGGCTGCCGTTGCAGTCAGTGTAATGGTTCCAAGAGCCTTGCCATCGAACTCATAAGACAGGGACGGACGATTCTGCAGACGCCATGTACACTTCGTAGAAAGCGAAGCAACCACACACACCTTCCAAAGCACATTCGTTCCTTTTTTTCAGTTCATCACCACCAGAACTTATTCCTTCGATAGTCCACTCGCTAGCAGCATCCAAACCCCCCCTATACCCTCAACAATGCGTTCCATCTCCAACGCGCTGTGCGCGTTGCTCCCCTTTACAGCAACAGCCCTCGGAGCCGCCATCGAGAAACGCCAGGGGGCCAACATCGTCTACGGGCTGCAACAAGTGCAAGCGCAAATCGGCGTCCTCAACCAAATGCTCTACTACTTCGACGGAAACCCCGCCACCGGCGCCCTCGACGCCATCAAAATCCAAGACCAAACCGACAACGTCGGCGAAGCTGTCGAATACACCACCCAAATCGCCAACGCCTCCCCGACCCTGGACGAGGCCGACTCGCTCGCCGTCTCCACACAAGTCCTCTCCCTTCGCCCGGATATCAAGAATCTCCTACTCAACATTGCGGCGAAGAAACCGGATTTTGATGGCGTGATTGTCGGCCTGTTTTCTGTGAGTAAGCAGGTCAAGGAGAGTTTGCAGGATCAAAAGGCTCTTACGGTCGCCCTGGGTGACGCGATTGCGATGAAGTTGACGGGCGCTTTCAAGAAAGCTGCGCCGGAGATTAATGATGAGTTTGCGATGGAGTTTGATGCTGCGATTGCTGCATATGTGAACGATGAGGGTATTCCTGTTCCTTCGGATCTCACGGATTTGTTGGAGTAAGAGGGGGGCTGCTGCTTTAGGTGGAGGTATGGAGAGAACAGAGGAAGAGAGCAGGGTGAGAGAGAGAGAGAGTGTGTGTGAGTGTATGTGTGATTAGTCAAGTTCGTCGAATCTTTCTTGCTAGCCGCCTCATTGTTCTTTTCCCACTGTTCTCCACAGCTACAGAGTTAACGAGATATTGTGTGTGGATGATCGGTGAGCGGTGGCACAAATGGGGCTGCCTTGTCGATGATCAAGTTGGTCGTAGTATACATCGGGTCGTATTGGTGGCAGGATGTTTTTCGGGCTCCGCTGGTGGCACGTCTGTAATCTCAGGTAGGCGCACATTGTGTCAGGTCGAAGGAGACTTACGAGTGCACGTTCTCTTTGATCGATTTACCAAAAGAGCTTCCTTCACATATTCGGCCCCGTGACAGTCGAATGCTAGCATTTTATTCAACTGAGCCGTCAAAGACTTCGTTGGCCCTCTCCAGCTATGGTATCCCTTTTAGACCGTTCTGTGCACAGCCATGACCCCAACGCCAGCCCGCTTGAACGCAACAAATGCAACATTCATCATCTCTTACTGCTGCTCATCGACCTTCCTTGCCCCAGCCCATGGCTCTCATTCTCGCCTCAATATTACTCCATATCGTCTCTACAACTTCGCGATCACGCCATCTGTTCTGCCCCTTGTCAATCTGCACGCTCAACACTTGTCTGCCCCAACCCTTGACGGTTTCCGGTATGACTTCTCCGCTGTAACCCACGTAAACACCCAGCGCGTGGCTGAACAATTCCGCTGGATTCGTCCATCTGTAGCTCTTGAATTGCCAAGTCTGACCAGTTGTGAAGACTGCCACAACTCTGTTCCAGTAGTCCGGTCGAAAGTTGGAAGGATCGTCAACAAGGATGAAACGCGTGCTATGCCCAGGAAGAACGGTGCGCAACTGTCGCGTGATGTGAAGAATGTTGGCTGCTTCGCTGGAAGACTCGAGAGGTTGGTACACACCTTCAGCGAGGAAGGATTTGATATTTTGCATCTTCAGCAATGACGAGAAGGATGAAGAGAGGAGGATGATGGGCTCCGGGCGACGGCCGGACTGCGTAGGCTTGACGGGAGGTCGTAGCGCAGGATTGTTGGTGAGCGTCGGCACTGTCGACTGAGCGCCTGGCTGTGGCTTGCCTTTGCCGAGAAAGAGGGCGCTGTACTTGCGTATGCCACTAAAGTCCTGAATCTTAATGCCGCGCAGCACTGTGTTGTGATCGCCCATTCTCCGCTCAGCGGCATAAATCGCACTCAGTCGCTCCTCTTCCTCCCTCCGCTTGACTTCGTCTCCCCCCGCATCGAGCATCTCAACATCGGCATCTCCTTGCGCCTGCTTGAGCGTGTCGGCCATTTCTGCACGATCGGCCTTGTTATCGGCCAGGCTCTGAATGTACTCGCTGTCGTTCTCGCCCATTTCTCCCGCCAGCCACATGTTCAGGTCCAGCTTCTCAGCGAAGACCACATTCGAGGCCGTCTCATCCTTGCCGGCAGCTTTGAGCTCGCTGTTCAGCTCACCGACAGCAGTGAGGTAGTCGGCGGTATTCTTCTCTCGGCATTGGTAGCAGAAGAAGATGGATCTAATGTCGAGTGGCTTGTTGCCGGCGGCGGGCGAGATGAAGCGAGTGGACGCATTGAGCGGTACGGAGATATGCTGCGCGCCATCTTGTACCGAGGCGAAGTTGAAAAGCAGATGTGTCGCTTGCGCCAGTGAGACGTCGGTTTGCGGTTGATCGGGGTTGGTGGTGGGGATGGGTAAGCGCTGGCCAACAATCGACCTGCGCAACAGGCTGAGAGGATCTTCCGCCATTTCTCCTGCTGTGCTGGCCATATTGGCTAAGTGTTGGTGGTGGAGGAAGAGGGGGATGTGAGAGTGATCGAAGAAAATGTGTTTGGAGCTGTACAGACATCGAAGTCGCGAACCTTGAATAGACGCGAGCTCCATGTCGGCTACGTGGTGCCAAGACGCCGACTCGACCAACTTCACTTAAAGGATTTGCTCACTTCCACTATAATGGACTGGAGGGATAGTCTTCTTCACTAAGCCTGGACTTCCGAGGCGACCAAAACTACAGAATTGCGAATATTGCTGTTCTATGTGTATACAAGGGGAATCTGGTAGGCTTCCTTCAGCTGTGTGTGAGAGCTCACCCTAAACATCCAGGTACTGTAACGGGAGCAGACTTTTCACGCTTGAGGCTCATTGCTCTTCTTGATCGCCTGTCTCATCTCCTGCTTAATCCTCGTGACCGTCCCTACGCCACCATACATCATGGCGGTGTAGACTTGGCAGACGCTAGCACCAGCATTCAAAATCTCCAGACATTGCTCGCCATTCGTGATGCCGCCAGTTGCGAATATAACCTTCTCCTTCGGTGGCCCACGCGAAGCAAGTTGTGGAGCCGACACTTCAGCATAGGGGTCGCTCGTTATGTGGTTGAAGCTGTCCTTGGCAGTTTCTGCCGCAGATTGGGCAGCGGCAGATGCCTGGTTCGCGACCTTCTCTGCTGTAGCTCTTGGTGATGTTGTAGAAGAGCTGACCTTGGCCTTGACTGTCTCTGCTGCTGATCGCGCCTTGTCCGATGCATCATTCGCAACAGCTTTTGCCTTACTTGATGTCGCTAGGACTTCAGACTTGACGTGTTCTGCTTTCGCGTTCGTGCCAGACGCAGACGCATCGCCGACGGAGATCACTTTTTGGACCGCACCCTCGGCGGCCTCTCGGGGGGAGCTTGCCTTACCCGTTTGAACTGCGTTCTGTGGAGCTGCAGCGTCATCAGGGTATATGGGAGCTCGCTCCTTGGCTTGGCCGACGTGCTTCGCTGCAACGAGTTCTTCGGATGTATGTCGCGCGGGAAGTTGTATCAACGGACGCTTGCTTGCAGCCTCGGCTTCGTCTGTCAGAGGCTTGAGCCGTTGCTGATCACGTTCGATGCTATCCTGAGATGCATGCTTTTGGGCGTTCTCTGGTGTTGCATCACCAGTCAGCCCACGCTCTAGAGGTTCCAGAGGACTTTGTACCACGTTCTGCGTATTGCTGGGGCGCTCCCGGGAGGGTCCTTGGTCGAGCTTCAACCGGTATCGCTTCACTAGACTCAGCGTTCGTTCGAACATCTGCGGTCCGGAATATCCTCCAACCTCAGAGAGCGTCTTAACGTCGTTCGCAGGCAGAATGTAGCCTTTTGGAATCGGATCAGGTCGCTTCTTCGTCGTGTTACCCACAATGACGCCATCAACACCGGAGGACCAAATCGCGGTGCATATGCCCTCTATTTGTTCATCCGAGTCTTCATCCGGCGAGACCTTCACCATGACTGCCGGTTTTGTCTTTCGGTCGACAGACTTCGCTGCCTCCACAACAGAGGACAGGATTTTTGTCAACGGCTTCGTCGCTTGCAGATCGCGCAGACCTGGGGTATTGGGCGACGAGACATTGACGACCAAGATATCCGCATACTTTGCGAGGTGCTCCACACAAAATACATAATCTGCAGCGATGGCGGCTATGTCGTTGTCCGGAGTGGTCTTGTTCTTGGCTACTTGCACAGCAAGTAGCTTGCCATCGATCAGACTTCCAGGAGGAACACCCGCTTCGCCATCGAGAATCCTACGTTCTGACTCTGCCTCCAAGCCCAGTCCATTCTCGTAAGCGTACTGCCTCACTCGTTCCCGTAATTGCATAGCAACATGCTCGGCGCCCTGCGAATTCAATCCATATCTATTTATCAGGGCATTCTGGCTCGGTATCCGAAACACTCGAGGCTTCGGGTTTCCTTCCTGAGGAAGAGGTGTCGCGCCTCCGACCTCAACAATCGCAGGCCCCAACGCGAACAAAGCGGAAGGGATCTCGGCATCCTTGTCTATGCCTGCCGAGGTTCCAACTGGGTTATCCAGCATGTGCCCGAAGACCTCAATTTTCAAGTCGCCCAGTGCCTTGTCCGCATTCCCTCGTTCTCTAGGGGCTAGCCCGAAGTCGTGGAGAGCCTTGATATAGCGAACACCAGCATGGTGCGCTTCCTCTGCATCGGAGTGTATGATGCGTACGAGCGGAGTCACGAGAAATTGGTGGATGCTTGCGCGCGTATCAGTCGCGTAGAGGTAGCCAAAACTCAGCAGCAGAACCAGACCGGTGCCATAGACATATGCAATGAACCGAGAACCGGTATAGGCTGTAGCAGCTCCCGCTTTGATTGCTTGCGCTTTTGCCTGAGAAGCCGTGGCTTCAGCAGCCTGTTTCGCCTGCGAGCCGGTGGACTCATATCGCCGTTGCGACCGGATGTGCTGTGTGATTCGGGGTGACTGGCGTGGTCGGCGGGATTCGAGTGACAATTGTCGTTGCCATTGGCGCTGTACACTGCGCCATTGTGCGCGGTTAAGCCCCACGGACTGCCGCACGGCGTGTGCAGAAGCAACAAACAGCCTCTGCGCGCCCAGCATCGTTGCTTGCGAGGTGTCTGACGAGTGCTCCAGGTGGGCCGCAGATGGAGCTTTTGACGTGGAGGTGAGGTACCTCCGGAGCTAACGGCACACGCGAAGACGGGTCTTCCCGCGTCTGTGCTTTTCCTCCGTCTGTCGACGTACAACTGCGTTCACCTACAGGTACCAGTAAAGTAGGGTACATGTAGGTAGGTAGGCATGTATATATGTAAGCGTCACACTGGATCCTCTACATGGCACTGTGCCCTCTGTTGAATTCCTTGTTTTTGCCATAACGAATGTGAATATATCTAGTCCCCTCTCCTATATCAACCCTTTTCAATACGCAAGAGAGCATACCAATAACCCCCGAATAGCCACATTCGTCAAGATCTGATGCTCGAGAAGCACGAAAAATATGTACATCTTGATCAGCCCTGGAACACAACCTCAAATCCATCCCTCGTTCCAACTATGTCTCAAATTCTGCAATGCCCTAGCAGCGAGACGAGCATCTGCCATATTACTCACATAATCCTCCTCGAGTCGATCTTACTCTTCCTCAGAGTCATGAAAGTCATGTGTCATTTTGCGTCTACCACGGCAATCTCTACGGGGGCTTTGCAAGATCTTCCACTGATTAGGGTTCGGTTTACGAGGCTTGAACATGTGGTCTTCTTCTCTCGGTTTCTCGACGAGGTCGTCATGAAGGAGACTCATGGCAGACATTATTTGGTTAATAATCCTGCACTAGCGAGCAGTTTTATTTACCACACGTAGGTACTTCATCGCTTGGTAGAGAAAATGGATATTTACTCACTTCACTGCATCTAGCCCAGTAAATATGTTTGTCATCGGCCCAAGCAGGAAACATCGTGTAGTCGAACACCAATTGTGTCTAGCGAAATCTTGGCCTTAGGATGTCGTAATGATGGCTCTCGCCAGTACGACCATTCCGTCAACAAGAGTTCTCGTCTTTCTGCGTCCCTCTGCCATTGCGGCGCATGAACCCTGCATTAGGCGCGAATTACTGGGTCCACTGAAAGATCTTCTCTGAGAAGGCCTTGTGGCGCCTATTTGTCGATGTGAGGGTTCTGTGCACCAAGGCAACTGAAATTTTACCCCATCGATGATGCAAGATCGTATGCTTTCGTCGCGAGGCTTCAACGCTTCACATTTGGTTTCCCTCCGAGACAGCAAGGGCTTGACAGGGGTTGAACAGGGCTGAGAAGGCTCCTAAGCCTTCTGTATTCCATTTCGATTGCCGCGGCTCCACCAGAAGCCCCCTCTTCGGTACAAGCTCCCAGGGCGCACACCTATACACTCATCTTCATTGCAATCGACTTGTGCGGTTCATACCCAATCACTTTGATATCTTCTGGCTTCCACCCATCAATGCTGCAGCCCGCCTCCCTGCAGATCTCCAGAGTGGGAAAGTCTTTTGGCTCTCGCTGTAGTTGAACTTCGAGGGCTTCCTTGTGATCCAGATAGACATGTGCATCTCCCATGGTGTGCGTTAGACTGCCAGGCACCAAATCTGTAGCTCTTGCGATCATGTGCGTGAGCAAAGCATAAGAAGCAATGTTGAATGGAACGCCTAGGCCCATATCATTGCTTCGCTGATACAGCAGCGTATGCAGAACGCCTCTTTTACTGCCATCCTCCCGCGTTTCAGCATTTTGAGGGAACGAGACATAGAACTGGGCGAACATGTGGCATGGCGGTAGAGCCATCTTCTTCATGTCTGCAGGATTCCATGCGGACATGATGATCCTCCTGTCATACGGATTTGTCTTCAGTTTGTGAATGACTTCCGCCAGTTGATCCACGCCCTGCCCAGTATAGTCCGTATGGCAGTCCTTATATTCTGCTCCGAAGTGTCTCCACTGAAAGCCGTAAACTGGCCCAAGATCTCCTACTTCACGGTGTGAGAGGCCAACGCTGTCCAGGTATTCGCGGGACCCATTCCCGTCCCAGATGTGCACATTCTGATCTTGTAGGGTCTTCGCATTGGTGTCTGCTGCAATGAACCAGAGCAGCTCGGCCAAGACTGCTCGCAGGAAGACACGCTTTGTTGTCAGAAGTGGAAGCACCAGAGTGCCGTCCGTTTTGGAGAGAGTGTAGCGATGTTGGGGCGGGAACGGGATGGATAACGTGCCCGTGCCTGTGCGATCAGGACGATGTTCCCCAGACTGGAGGATGTCCCGGATGAGGTTCAGATATTGGTATTCCTCGTGTGGCTTGCTGTGACCGTTCGCGCCCCCGATGTTGATCTGTGGCTCAATGGCGGTGTTAGCCTCGACCTCGACGGCGGCTGCGACCATGTTGTATGAGTCGATGCGTAGGTGGAGGCGGCGGTAGCGATGGCGGTGGCGGTGGGACAGTGATATGACAGTGATATGGGTTGGTGGGTTGGAAAGAGGGAGAGACTCCTCCAAATTAGAAGAACGAGCTCGACGCGTCGAAGTGTTACGCGCCATCCCCGCGAGCTACATGTATCTTCCGACGAACCGGAAGCGGACCTAGCAACGCGCGCTAGGACCTGCCCTATTGGGGATAGCGAACACGGGGCCGAAGCCGGGGGACTGCACCGGGCACGAACGTCTTAAGCCGAGGACGGACAGTATACTATAGCGGGCAGAGGGGAGGAGTTCACTTCGCGGCCCTTTAGCGAAAAGACAGCGAGTTCGTGCTATTCCACAGCTCCCCGTCTTGTGATCGACCAGTCTTCCCTCATACCACGAACATGTCGACTCGCCGCATTGTGTCCAAGGGAAAGCTGTTCCAGAGCTTGACACTCCGCCCGACTGCTCCGCTGGCGACAGCGCGCTTCACCTACACCAGGATGCCGCACAACGCCAATGCTGGCCAGGCCGCCGCCGCCGTACGCAGACTGCACGCCACCACCCGACACCTGCAAGGCACCACATCAGCAGCGACCACCGCGACCGAATATCCGACCACACACGAAAAGGTGCAGCAGCCCATCAACACCCAGAACTTCATCGACAACCAGTTTGTGGACTCGCAGGCCACACAATGGATCGACTTGCACGATCCTGCGACCAACAACCTCGTCACCCGCGTGCCACAGGCCACCGATGCGGAGCTCAAGGCGGCAGTGGACAGCGCTGAGAAAGCCTTCCCCGCATGGAAGGCGACCAGCGTGCTGCACAGGCAGACTATCATGTTCAAGTATGTGGCTCTGATCCGCGAGAACTGGGACCGCTTGGCCGCCAGCATCACACTGGAGCAGGGCAAGACGTTTGGGGATGCAAGAGGAGATGTGCTCCGTGGTCTGCAGGTCGCTGAGAATGCATGTGGCATCACCACTCAGATCACTGGAGAAGTGCTGGAGGTGGCCAAGGACATGGAGACTCGCTCCTACCGGGAGCCCTTGGGCATTGTGGCAGCCATCTGCCCTTTCAATTTCCCAGCCATGATCCCTCTCTGGACCATCCCAATCGCTGCAATTGCCGGCAACACAGTCATCATCAAGCCCTCAGAGCGCGATCCAGGCGCCACCATGATTCTGGCAGAACTCGCGGAGAAGGCGGGCTTCCCACCTGGTGTGATCAACATCATTCACGGCGCCGCCAAGACAGTGGATTTCATCATTGATGAGCCACGTATCAAGGCCATTTCCTTTGTCGGATCCAACAAGGCTGGTGAGTACATCTACAGCCGTGGAAGTGCACAAGGCAAGCGCGTGCAGGCCAACCTGGGCGCCAAGAACCACGCCGCAGTTCTGCCCGACTGCAACAAGAACGCAACTCTCAACGCCATTGCCGGAGCCGCATTCGGAGCTGCAGGTCAGAGATGCATGGCTCTCTCCACGCTCGTCTTCGTTGGCGAGACCAAAGATTGGGCGCCTGAAATCGCCAAGCGTGCAAAGGCTTTGAACCTCAACGGTGGTTTCGAGCAAGGCGCAGACCTTGGCCCAGTCATCTCACCACAAGCGAAGGAGAGGATCGAAAGTCTCATCGCATCGGCGGAGAAGGAAGGCGCGACAATTGTTCTTGATGGGCGTGGTCAGAAGCCAGCAGATAGCAAATATGCCAATGGCAACTGGGTGAGTCTTGCCATATGATGTCCCACGATCTTCAAGTTGTTGCTTGACTGACACATTCCAGGTCGGACCAACCATCATCGCCAACGTCACCAAGGACATGACCTGCTACAAGGAAGAAATCTTCGGCCCTGTTCTCGTCTGTCTCAACGTCCCCACTCTCGACGACGCCATCAAACTCATCAATGAGAATGAGTACGGTAACGGAACGGCCATCTTCACCGCTTCGGGCGCCACCGCCGGAAAATTCCAAAAAGAAATCGAGGCCGGACAAGTTGGAATCAATGTACCCATTCCCGTACCGTTGCCCATGTTCAGCTTCACGGGCAACAAAAAGTCGGTCGCGGGAGGTGGAGCAAACACATTCTACGGGAAGCCTGGCTTGAACTTTTACACGCAGCTCAAGACGGTGACGAGTTTGTGGAGGAGCGAGGACGCCATCAGCACGAGGGCGACTGTCAATATGCCCACGCAGTCGTAGGTAGATATGAATATACATGTGTCTAGTGGATTATTATTGATGGATTGATTGATGTGTCGTGAGACAAAGAAAAAGAAAAATGTAAAATGAATGATGAAACTGCTTGGTTTTGTATAGATGCCTAGTGCCAGTGTGCCATCACGTTGAGCCCCTTGTGATGTGCGCGAGCCTTTTGTAAATGCAGCGCAAACTTCACTCAATCATCCTTCTTCCCGTCTTTTGCCCAGCTCGCTTGAATACTCGAGCAGACGGCAACATAATCATTGAACCTTTGCTCATCCTCCACGACACCTTCTCCCGTCCAGAACATGGTCCAATTACTATCTGGTATCTGCCAGCTACCGGCTGCTCGCTCAAAGTACCACTTGTTGACGGGATTATCTTTCCTGCTCCGCCAGCAAACACCATTGGGAAAGCAGCTGCGAACCATGGCTTGAAATACAATGTCTGCAACACCGCTCGATCCCTGTGATGTCTGGAGAACGGCGAACTTGTCGAGATATGGCACCAAACGTCGTGGATCATTTACACCAGGCGGCATCTCCCAGGTCAGAAGAGCGCCACCTTCGTACTGGCCAGCAACGATAATTCCGGCAATGCGGCCACTGACGCGGCTGAGATAGTGTCCGACATTTAATTTGCGTCGGAAGCTGTCTTCGATGAGATGTACCAGTCTCGGTAAGTCGACTCGAGGGTCTTTGTCGAGTTTGAGTGGAGTTCTTCCAGCTGCTGGCTTCAGCCACCCAAGCAGGCGATCTGCGGCAGGAATCACGCTCACAGGCATGCCCTTTCTCAGAACGGTACTTGCTTCTGTCATAGGCGTGCACTCAATTTCATGGTCTGGCGTATGTAGTCGTCCTGCAGGAAGGGACGACGATATCACAGGCTTGTTTGTGAGCAGATTATGGATGAGCGGATTCTTTTGTCGCCTCGTCCCCGCACCAAGTGGTGGCATGGCTGCTCGCGCTGCCTCTGACGAACTCGCTGCCTCCTGTGGCGAGACAATGAGCCCTGAAGACGATGAAGGCAGCAAGTGTAGGCATCTGCGGACCAGCTCGAGGTTGTCGCGATGCTGATCATAAACAGCGGGTCCTCGTGGTCCACTGCTGTCTCCACGAGCCGCTTCAGCATACTCTGCAAGCTCGCTTTCCACCTGATCGTACTCCTGCTCTAGGTTGATAAAGACGTGAGCACCATGGCCCCTGTGCTTGCTGGGTATACCGCCGACAGCGTCAAGCACCACTATGCGGTCCAATGAGATCTCATCTGCGCTAATCGCAGCGTCGGGGTTAATTGGCTTATCCTTGCCGGTCACGTGTTTGGTCAGAGCAGCCATGATGTCTGCCGCTTGCACCTGTACCAGCTGGCCTTCCGAAGTGTAAGCCAGAGATGACACGATCGGCACCATGCCACGTCGCAATGGATCCAGGATCAGGTTCGACATGGTGACTTGCAACTCGGAAGTGTCAATCCCATGCTCCCAGTGGTCCTCGAGCATTTCCAGGGCGTTCGGCACAGATCGAGCTCCTTCGGGATTATGTCGATCTATGGCATCGCAGAGACGATCTGCTTGCTGTGCGAAGACTCGGCGCAGCGTTTTGACATCGGCCAGCTGATCAGCGTGCCCCTCGGCCTGCACGTTGCTCGTATTAATATCTAGAACCAATATGATTGCCATGTCGAGCTTGACCAGCTGGGCAATGGTCCTGGCGAGGCCATCCAGCGTCGCGTCGTCTATCGCTTCGGGCGCTTTGAGACATGCCAATGCGACATGGAGCTCTTCCACAGGCTCTGCTGGGTGCTGTTCATGTACATGATCCGTGGCGGAGAACTTGGGGCTGTCTGCTATCGCCCGCGCTGGAGTATACAGGCCACCCAGATTGACTCCAGTCTGGTCCAGGCGATCTTGGCACTGGCGTAGGGCGGCATTGATATGTTCTTGCTGTCCATGGTTGCTGGGACCGAGGTATGCCGTCGTCCTGGCCGATTGCTTGAAGCGGGCCAGGTACTGTTTAGCATCTCGTCGGGTGGCACTGGCATTCAAGACATTGACCAGCAGTTCTCGCTGTGCCGCCGTGTCCTCGGAGCGGGCGGCGTGCTTGCCGTTGAGGTTGGCGGGCGTGGGCGTGGGCGTGGTGGAGTGGGAGTAGACTCGCCCGCACTGGCGAAAGGTCACCGTCTTAAGGCCCCCGTATGCGCTTGCCTTTCCAGACGCCAACATAGAGGTAGTCATTTTCCATATCACGACGAGACTGGCGGTGAACACACGAGGCACGAGGAGGGGGGGAGTGGGACACGGGGGCTTCTTCAGCGATGCATAAGGTCCATATGGTATCGTCGCAGCCGAGGTGAGTCCGCGTTAATGGCAACCTCGCCGTGGAACGACGGCGGGCTGGCTGGCGGGCGGGCGTACGTGTGAGATGATTTCATGCACGCAACAGCAAAGTGTCGTGAGAAAGGAAAAAGGAAAAAAAGATGATGTGTAGTGACAACTCGAAGCTGCTGCGTAACTTTCTCCTGCGGCGCCTGGTACAACTTTGATCCAGCGCGATTTTTGGTAATCTAATCTGATGCAATTTTATCTGATCCGATCTGATATGATCAATACCGTCCCCGTCATTCATTGGGATTGCGGACACGCACGGGACATGCCAAATTTTCGCCTGTCTATAGCGTCAATTCCAGTGATGTCCGTGCAGACGGGATACGCGGGATCGGGCCAGAGAATGCAGAATGGCAGCAAAGCAGTGGTCAACTCAGAACTGCAGCATCGCTCTTCTTGCCGTGAAGAACTTGGCATAGGGCGTGTCGGATCAAAGTTCTTCCGATAGGCTCGAGGGTCCTCCGGGTCTTGGCGTGACATACTCTCAAGTCAAGGTTTGTTTACTACGCGTAAACAGAGCGACGCCTCCACTCGCGACCACCACGACGCTGTCAACCATGCGCGCCTGACGACTCGATACGACAATACATCCACCCACGATCCACCGCCGCAATGCGCATCACGGAGCTCATCATTGACGGCTTCAAGTCGTACGCCGTGCGCACTGTTATCTCCGGCTGGGACCCCACCTTCAACGCCATCACAGGACTGAACGGATCCGGCAAGTCGAACATACTGGACGCAATATGCTTCTGCTTGGGTATCGGCAAGTTCGAGCTGCTGCGCGCAACGGGCGGCGCCAGCGATTTGATCTACAAGCGTGGACAGGCCGGCATCACAAAGGCTTCGGTGACGCTGGTCTTTGACAACAGTGATACCGCCAAATCGCCCATCGGCTTCGAGGATGTGCCCATCATCAATGTGACGAGGCAGATCGTGCTAGGCGGCACGAGCAAGTACCTGATCAATGGACACCGAGCGCAGCAGCAGACGGTGCAGAACTTGTTCCAGAGTGTGCAGCTGAACATCAACAACCCCAACTTCCTCATCATGCAGGGCAAGATCACCAAGGTGCTGAACATGAAAAGCACCGAGATCTTGGGTATGGTGGAAGAGGCAGCGGGTACGCGCATGTTTGAGGACCGACGGGAGAAGGCTCTGAAGACGTTGGCAAAGAAGCAGACCAAGGTGGAAGAGCTCGAGGGTCTGCTGAAGGAAGAGATTGAGCCCAAGCTGGAAAAGTTGCGTAGCGAGAAGCGCGCTTTCTTGGAGTTCCAGAGCACACAAAACGACCTGGAGCGGTTGACAAAGCTTGTGATTGCCTACGACTACATTCGGAGCAAGCAGAAGATGGAGCAGAGCGCACAGGATCTTGCTACCAAGAAGGAACGTGCTTCAGAATTAGAGGACAGCGCGGAAAAGCTACAGCGGGAGATTGGAGTGCTGGAGGAGGACAAGGAAAAGGTGCGAGCAGCGCGCGACAAGGAGCTGCGAAAGGGAGGCAAGTTTGCGAAGCTGGAAGAGGCCGTCAAGGAACATTCCATCGGCCTAGAGCGTTTAGAAACGAAGCTGGAGCTCAAGAAGGCGTCCATGGCCGAGGAACAAGACCGCTTGCAGAAAGTGCAGAAGACTGTCGTGGAACTCGAGAAGCAATTGGCGCAGAAGACGGAAGCTCATCAGAAACTTCAACAGCAGTACGAGACCGCAAATAAAGAGCTGGTCGAACAGAAGGCGGAAGTGGACAAAAAAGAGGAGCTGCTTCAGACATTACAAACGGGAATTTCTTCCAATGCTGGTTCTGACGGTGGGTACGCTGGTCAACTGTCTGCTGCTCGTGATAGTGCATCGAAAGCAGGGACGGAGATCGAGCAGTCGAAACTCAAAATCAGCCATCTCGAAGCCCGCATCAAGGAGGACGAGCCACGCGCGAAAAAGGCCGAGAAGGAGAATTCAGGGTTGCTCAAAGACCTGGGATCCCTGCGAGCACAAGCCACGAAGCTACAGTCGCACCTCGACAAGCTTGGATACCAACCCGGAAAAGAAGAAGAGCAGCAGCTGGAGAAGACGCAACTCGAGAAGCGCATACGAGTATTACAAAGCCAAGCTGAAGGTCTGCGGAGACAAGTCGCGGGTTTGGAGTTTTCATATTCAGACCCAGAGCCAAACTTTGATCGGAGGCGTGTCAAAGGTCTGGTCGCACAACTTTTTCAGTTGCCAGAAGCTGCAACAGAGGCCAGTACGGCGCTTGAGATTTGCGCCGGTGGTCGTTTGTACAACGTGGTTGTAGACTCTGCAAAGACCTCCTCTGCCCTGATCGAAAAAGGCAAGCTCCGCAGACGAGTGGCAATCGTGCCATTAGACAAAATCGATGCTTCTCAAGCGGACTCGAAGAGAGTCAGTGCGGCCAAGCAGCTGTGTCCCGGAAACGTGCATCTGGCAATCAACCTGATCGGCTACGAGCACGAAGTGGAGAAAGCAATGGAGTATGTCTTTGGGAACACCCTGGTCTGCGCAGATGCTGCCACTGCTAAAAAGGTCACCTTCGACCCTGCTGTGCGAATGCAAAGCGTGACTGTCGAAGGCGACACCTATAATCCGAGCGGTACGCTGTCAGGTGGATCTGCAGCGTCCGGGAGCGGTGTGCTGCTAAAGCTTCAGAAGTTGAACATCATCACGCAAGAGCTGGAGTCGGAACAGGCGAAGCTCACTGCTCTCGAGGACTCTATGGCGCGCGATGCACAAAAATTGAAATCTGCGCGACAATCGAAGCAGGAGTTGGACCTGAAGACTCATGAGATTCAGCTTGCAGAGTCCCAGATTGCGAGCAATTCCTCGAGTAGCATCATCGCATCAGTCCAAGAGATGAAAGCAACCGTAGCTGCACTGAAGAGCAATATCATTGATGCCCAATCCCGTCAAACCGAAGCCAATGCTGAAGTGAAGCGCGTTGAGAAGGACATGAAGGACTTTTCTTCGAACAAGGGCGCGAAACTGGAACAGCTGCAGACTGAGCTTGACAAGCTCAGGAAGGCCCTTACGAAGACGCAGGCCTCAATAAAGCCTCTGCAGCAAGAAGTTCGCAATGCGAGCATTGACGCTGAGCAGACTGGCGGTGATCTCTCCGCCGCGCAAGAAGAACTCCATGACGCCGAGACCACGCTCAAAGGCCAGCAAGAGGAGCTGGCTATGGATGAAAACGAGCAGAAGCAGATACGTGATCAGCATGCACAAGCCGAGGCCGCACTCAACGATGAAAGAAGAAAGCTGAGCTCGTTTGACGACGAGATTGCTGACCTGGACCGCGCCGCGAAGCGTAAGAATCAGCAGATCTCGGATGAAAAGATTGAAGCGCAGAAGCTCGGCCATGCCATCGACAATTTCGCCAAGGTCCAGCTAGGGGCACAGCAAGCCGTGGCAAATCTCGAAAAGGAGTACGAGTGGATTCTCGAGGAGCAATCGTCCTTTGGCCGCGCAAACACGCCGTACAATTTCCACGACCAGAACATGTCGGAATGCCGATCGAACCTCAAGAACGTCACGGAACGCTTCACGGGCATGAAGAAGAAAATCAACCCTGCCGTCATGGCCACGATCGATAGCGTGGAGAAGAAAGAGCGAGACCTGAAGAACATGATGCGCACCGTAATTCGAGACAAGAAGAAGATTGAAGAGACCATCATCACTCTGGACGAATACAAGAAAGAAGCTCTGTTCAAGACGTGGTCCAAAGTCAACGAGGACTTCGGCCTCATCTTCAATGACCTGTTACCGGGCAACACCGCCAAACTGGATCCTCCCGAAGGCAAGGAAATCAGCGACGGTCTGGAAGTCAAAGTGTGCCTGGGCAAGGTGTGGAAGCAGTCGCTCACGGAATTATCGGGAGGGCAGAGATCGCTCATTGCCCTCTCCCTCATCCTCTCGCTGTTGCAATACTCACCCGCGCCCATGTACATTCTGGATGAAGTCGACGCGGCGTTGGACCTCTCCCACACGCAGAACATTGGCCGACTGATCCGGACGCGCTTCCGAGGCAGCCAATTTATTGTTGTGTCGTTGAAAGATGGCATGTTTGGAAATGCCAATCGCATCTTCCGAACGAGGTTCATGGATGGCACCTCGGTGGTGCAGGCATTGACGCCAGCTGATATGAAATGATGAAGTGCTAGTGGATTGGAGTTGATTGGTATACCTCGGGGACAAAGCCATGTTTTGGCGTTGAATGACATTGGAATGTTCATATCTCGTAGTCTAGTCTTATTCAAAGTTCGACCTGTCGTCGCTGGGGGGAGGGGCATCGCAAGCTCATTATGGAAATCCCCGACAAGCGCTGAACTGCACAGAATTGATCCGTTGTACTGCTGCTCAGTCTGTTTATTCTACATGCCCGTCATTCCATGATCTCATGGTCATCCGAAACCAGTCACGAGCTCGTCATTGGGGGTGACAGCAATAGCCATGTTGTTGTGTGCTATTTTTCGGCAGGACTCGAATCGTAATGGCCGTATGCGATCGTAAAGGTTCAGGTAAGGTAGGTAGGTAGGTGGTCGGAGGTGGGTGGAGGTGGGTGGCTTCACCATGCTCAGCTCACGGGATTTCCCCCAAGCCGTCGCGTTGGCTCCTACCTACCTAGGTACCTACCGATGGCATCGTGGAACTGATCCAGGTTGTATGTCACGACTGGAGGAGAGCTCAGAGAGTACATCGGGTAGGTAGGTAGGTAGGTAGACTGCCGCTTCAGGTCGGTTCAGGTCCAGTAGTAGTGGACTTGGTCGCCTCTTCTGCCGTGTCCGTCGTCGTCGTCGTCGTGGGAGCAAGCTCTTTGGCAGCAATGATGGCACTCTCATCCGCCTCTTCCCAGCCATATTCATCAGCATCTTCATCCGAGTCTGCAATTTCCTCATAAACCCGTTTACGAGCCGAATTCACCGGACTCGAATGCGTGTTCTTCGGCTGCGTAACAACCACAGGCGATGATGAGCTACTCGTCAAATCCACCGTTGCGGTATATTGCGGTCGTAGAAAGCTCCCTTCGTCCTCCTCTGTAATCTCGAATCCAATAGCGTTTCTAACATCCGATGTAGGATCGAGAGGCATCAAATTCCGGCCCAGACATTTTTGTACGCCTGCGAACCTCTTCCCCGCGAAATCGCGAAACACGACCATTCGCGACCAGATGACGGTTTCCCATTCGGCTCCGCCGAGTCCAGGGCCGATGGCTGCTGCGAGGCCATCGTCGGCTCGCATTTTGGAGGCACATCCCGTCGTGACAATGATGGCCATGTGGCGCAGAAGCGCAAGTTTGCTTAGGGCGGTCACGAAGGTGCCCAAAATGGCATATCTTCGACCTGCGTGCCACTTTTGCTGCTCGGTTCGCTGGCCTGGTCCATATGGCATGCGCGGATAATCTACATTCAGGAGCGCTTCTAGTCCGTCCAGGACGAGCAGTGTCGTGGTTGGGGGCGGGAATGATGGCGGAGGATGGAGAATGAGAGCAAGCAAATGCGAAAATGTTGGGGCGGAGAGGTATTGAAAGGACTCGCGAAGGATAGGTTGTTCTTCGGATTTGTCGGTGGGCAATAATCCCTTGCGAGTGAGAATTCTCAGTTTCGGTGCACTCAGGGGCGTGGCACAATCTAAAGGTCAGCACTATCTGTCAGTAATACTGACAGTGGACGTCGGCAATGCCACTTCTTCTTGCTCGTGCAAGTTCAAGTATAAGGTAGGTATATAGTACAGGTACTTACCAATCCAAGCGACTCTCCCTCCCGCCTTAATGGCCTCCACGGCAGCTTGAAAAGCAATCGCCGTCTTCCCCGCGCCTGTAGGACCCCAAATCTCCGCAATCTTACCGCGCTCGAAACCAGCAGCACCGATGGAAGGGTTCGGGTTCGAATTCAGGTGATTCCCCATCAAGGCGTGATCGAGATATGTGATTCCGCTCGAAATGGCCGAGGTGCCATTTGACCCAATGTCTTGCAGAGCTTCCGCTGCAGACTGCGTGGCGAGTCGATCTGTTTCGTGATGCCCATCATCATCATTGTCATCATCATCAGCGGCATGTCTCTGATATATGTCTGTGGATCAAAAGTTCTCGGCGTACGCGTGGATGGGCCCCGGGGCTGCTGTGCTTGCGAGCCCGAGTGGGCGGAAGAGGAGGAGATGGTGATGATGGGGTTGCGATGAGACATCGCTTTGCCGGCCGTGGCACTTTTCGCGGCGTTCACATGCGCTCTGGTTTTAGAGGCGGATGGATAGATGTAGTATGGTGGAAAGACAATCTACTGTAGGAGGTACCTTATGTATTTGATACGGTATGGGAAGACGCGATTGGACGCGTTCGCGTTTGCGATTCGTCATCGTCACTGCCAAGCCAGATCTCGTGTATCGTGCCGTTCCGTCGCTGCCGCACCCTCCCCTGTTACAAAGGACAGCACTCATCATTTAGCCGCGATGAGCAGACTCTCTGGGACATCCATACGATCAACGCTCCCGATACAGCTCATCGCGAATGCAACCTTCGTTGCGAAAGCAAGATCAATCTGGAGTACGGTGGTGCAGTGACTCTTGAAGAAGATACGTGAGATAGGCGGTGTCACCCTGCCAGGTAAACAAACATGCCGACGAACGCAACGACGAAACGACAACGATTGGAAATGGTGCCCTTTCATTCGACCTTATCATCGTGATATGCAGATGCTTTTTGCTTCGGCAGAGGTGGACTTGCGAGCGACGAACCGCCCTGCGACGGCCCGGTCTAAGCTCATCGATTCACTTGCTTGTGACAACATCTTGGCGGAAAGCACACCATTGTCTCCCAGGACACCATTTCAGACCCTTTTAGGCTGCTCGCAAATGTTCCCTCTCGCACTCGAGGCGCCTGCGAGAGCGAATCCCACCTGCCGTTTTGGTGCCATCGTGCTGGCCAATGCATGGATAAGGCATCACATCATATTCATCCTATAGCAGTCCTGAATTTTTCCGCCACAATGTCGTCGGCAGCCGCATTGCGAACGCATGCTATCGCCATGGGCTATTGCGCAAGACCAGATGCTTATTGACCATCGTACCGTGCTGGGCATGCAGCTCGTGCGTGCCACATGGCTGTCTGTCGTATCCTATAAGTAAGAGCCGAACTCTCAATCAGGAAATATGGTTGGTACACTCATCGTTCTTCTTTCGCCTCGTGAAAATGTCGAACAAGGATGCCACGACTACCGTGCAATCACTAGATGGGACGACGCCATCTCTTCGATCGGAGGAGCTGGTCGTGGGCGACTATGGAAGTGACGGCAATCATGTCTTTTCTGATCCGAACGTCGCAGACTACTGGCGAGGTGTCTACGAGAAAGCCCAGTACGAAGGTCGGCATCGCTTCGACCCCACCCTCACATGGAGCGCAGAAGAGGAGCGGAAATTGAAACGCAGGGTGGACTGGCGGATCATGACGTGGTGTTGGCTCATGTTCCTGGCCTTGGACCTGAATCGGAGAAATATCAACAGAGGTTGTAGACACCCAATGCTTCTTGAAAACGAGGCTCGGCTTGATATGCAGCTGACGACAGCCCTGTAGCCATCAGCGACAATATGCTCGCGGAGCTCGGCATGAATACCGACGACTACAACACGGGACAGACCATCTTCCTGCTATCTTTTCTAGCTGCCGAACTTCCCTCGGGTCTCATTTCGAAGAAACTTGGACCGGATCTGTGGATTCCATTTATCATCACCGGCTGGTCCATCACGTCGGCAGCCCAGGCAGGCTTGACCAGTCGGGCAGGCTTCTACGCTTGTCGGTGCGTCCTTGGTCTTCTCATGGGTGGATTTATTCCTGACACAGTGCTCTACATCACATACTGGTACAAGAGCAAGGAGCTGCCGATTCGTCTGAGCTGGTTCTGGACCGTGCTGTCCACCTGCAACATTCTGGGGTCACTTCTGGCAGCAGGGATTCTTCAAATGCGAGGTCTTCATGGTTGGAGTGGATGGCAATGGTTATTTCTGATCGAGGGCGCCCTCACCGCCGTCGTCGGCGTTGCATCGTGGGGCCTCATGCCAGCATCGATCAGTCAAACCAAGGGCTGGCTGAGAGGCAAGAATGGCTGGTTTACAGAACGCGAAGAAGCCATCCTTGTCAATCGTCTCCTGCGTGATGACCCTTCCAAGGGCGACATGAACAACCGACAGGCCGTCACGCCCCAGCGATTATGGAAAGCCATTTGCGACTACGATCTCTGGCCCCTCTACCTCGTAGGCCTCATGGCCTACATCCCGCCCAATCCCCCACAAAACTACCTCTCCTTCATCCTGCGAGAAATGGGCTTCTCGACATTCCACGCCAACCTTCTCACCATCCCCTCCCAATTCCTCTTCGGCATCAATCTCCTCCTCATCTCCCACCTCTCCGAACGGCTCAACGAGCGTGCCCTCATCTCCTCCCTCTCCAACATCTGGATCCTCCCCTGGCTCGCCGCGCTCGTCGCCCTCGGCAGCTCCGCATCCTCATGGACACGCTACACTCTCCTCACCGGCCTCCTCTCCTACCCGTACTGCCACGCAATTCTCGTTTCCTGGAACAGCCGCAATTCGAATTCGGTCCGCACGCGAGCCGTCTCCGCCGCGCTGTACAACATGTTTGTGCAAACGGGCAATATCATCGGCGTCAACGTTTATCGCGAACACGACCGACCGTATTATCTCCGTGGCAATCGCATTCTCTTGGGCATCTGCTGCGCGAATATACTTATACTTGTACTAGTGAAGTATTATTATATTCGGAAGAATGCGAGAAGAGAGGCGGCGTGGAAGAAATTGACGGGCGAGGAACGAGTGGAGTATGTGCAGAGTTCGAAGGATGAGGGTGCGAAGCGGTTGGATTTTCGGTTTACGCATTGAAAGGACGTACCTTATTTATAGATATGTACCTTAGGTACCTATGTATCGTAGACAAGATGATAGATCAGGTATGGTTGATAGACACAGAACAACATCATGTATCCAGTTACAATCTGCACGAAAATCAATACTCGGTGGCAAGGTAGGCAGAGATGTTTATTGGTAGGTAGCAAAAAAAACCCTTTCGTATTGTGCCAAGCATTATTTCAGCTAGTCGCAAACCCATTTCCCTCATCTCAACTCACCTTTCTCTCATCATCCACTGCATCAGGAAACGGACTCCATCTCCCACACGCTGTATTTTGTTCCAAGTCACCCGAATCATCAACATGCTACGAGAACCAACGTATTCAAAGACTCAAAACGAGGAAGAACAAGTCGACCGAGAGATCAGCTCATACAGATATGGTGCAACGACTGCCTCTCTCTCTCTCTCTCTCTCGCTATCCACGGGGTTAGGCTCGACAGACTATTGGCGCGACGACAAATACAGATACGAAACAAGCTCTGTGCGGTATGGCGTTGTCTAGCTATCATCGATTCTTGAATCCCAACAGCCAGCGGGACAACCGATTTGTTCGTCTGCCATGTTGGACCCAATCGACATTTCCCTTGGAGGACTACATTCCACGTCAGAATCACTCAGGCTATGCTCGCGACAATGAACATTACCATTCTCATATCTGGAATGTGCAGTGAGATTGTTCTCAGGTGCTGCGAAGCGCTCAGCGCTCCAGGTTTGGTCCTGCTCCAGGTTTGGTCTCAGGAGAGCGTGTCCTTCATACTGGTATGTTCTGCCGCACTCGTGAATTTCTGCTCACATTCGGGGTGTTGTATGCAAAAAAGATGCCAACAAACCGCCTATGGACCACAGACGGGTCTCTCGACATAGATCTGCGTTGGTCATACTCTAGGCCAAGGAGTGGTACTATTCAGCTCTGTGTGTTATTATCGCGGTCAGTCTGTCACGCACAGCAAGACACTTGTTCCAGTTTGATGATTTCTCAAGATCTGAGTAGAGTGACTGCATCGTACTTATACCCCCAGACTCCCTGGATATGCCTCCTTTCGACTCCTTCTCTCGGAGAACTGGTACTCAGCAAGAGTCTGTTGCTTAGTCAGCAGTCTGGTTTATACTACACTATACATTACCTGTATTTGACGCTATCTAGGTACTCTTGGCTCGCGATCGGGGGGACCTGTTCATTCACTGCAAGCTCAATGTCTTCGCAGGTGCACTACACGTGTCAAAATCACTCATATGGCCCTTCTACTCGGCAGGATCCCTCCCACGTGCACTTCCTATGGAGTATCTAGCGCAGCCACTTGCATAACTTGCATGCGGACAGTGGTCATTGCCAAGACCACCGCTCACATCCACATCATTCATGATTTTCCCTCGATGAATCAAGAGCAGGGACATCGGTATAGCGGGGTTCACGCAAAAACATGTGTGAGTACAGATGTCTAGACCAGCATCCGAGCTGACAGACCACAGCGGCCTCCCAGATCCGCCATCGCTTCAACGTGCTCGTGAGGAGACGGCCGGAAACACACAACATCGGCAATGTCGAAAGACATAGCCTTCTCTACCACATTCCCAGCTCTGGCGACTATGGGAGTCGCAGAGATTCTGAAGTCCCGGGTACTCTACGTCTGAACGGATCCAATGGCTTCTGGAGGACACTAACGCCACGAAGCCTGCTTCACACGACGTGGGCGGTGCTGAAGAGCAGCTACATCAACATCTTACTCATCTTCGTGCCGGTTGGCATCATCGCGGGAGCTTTAGATCTGCCCCCGGGAGCCATCTTCGTGCTCAACTTCCTCGCGATTGTGCCCCTTGCTGCACTGCTTTCGTTTGCGACAGAAGAGCTGTCGGAGGCTGTGGGACCACATATCGGAGGATTACTCAACGCAACATTCGGAAATGCAGTCGAGCTCATCGTCAGCATCATTGCGCTGCAGAAGAACCAGTTTCGCCTGGTGCAGGCCAGCATACTTGGAAGTGTGCTGGTGAATATCTTGCTGGTGAATACGCAACTCTGTAAGCAAACCTGAGCAAGAGTACTGATATTCTCCAGGTGCTCGGAAGTTGTTTCATCGCAGGTGGCATTCGCCGCACCGAATCTAGTTATGATCCGAAAATCGCCTCGGTCATGGCCGCCCTACAGACTTTATCAGCCGCCTCTCTCATTGTGCCTGCCATACTCTACCGCACAATCACGCACTCTAAAGGAGGCGACAAAATTGATATCCTGGATGTCTCGCGCGGCACATCCATCATCTTGATCGTGCTCTATGGCTTCTACTTATACTTCCAGGTGGTATCTCACAAAGATCTTTTTCGAGACGACATCGACGGTGACGATGGTGGCGAGAACGACGGGAACTCCGAACTCGACGACCCTCACGGAGCTGCTCAAAAGGAAACTCATGAGGGCGGGGAGATTCTCGGACCCGTCGGCGCCTTCATGTGCATGACAGTGTCCATCATAGCCGTGGGCTTCTGTGCAGAGTTCTTGGTCAACAGCATCGAGAGTGTGGTCGAGGAGACTGGCTTGACGACTACGTTCATCGGAATTGTGCTTCTTCCCATTGTGAGTAACGCCGCAGAGCATGTTACGTCCGCGGTGGTGTCGTGGAAGGGAAAGATGAATCTCGCCCTGCTGGTCGACTTGGGATCTGGCATGCAGGTTGCGCTGTTCGTGACACCTTTACTGGTCCTGATCGCATGGGGTCTCGACAAGCCATTCAGTTTACATTTTCAGCTCTTCGAAACTGTCGTGTTCTTTCTGAGCGTTCTGGTGGTCAACTTCCTAATCAGAGGGGGCTCGAGCAACTATCTTGAGGGGGTCATGTGCGTGGGATGGTACCTCATCATCGCGCTCGCCTTCTTCTACTATCCCGATGATGAGTGATGGATGATAGCACGACTGTATACGCGGCATTGGTACATACATTTCGCAGGCCTCTTGATGTCGTTCTCATAGTGATTTCAGCCGAGACCTGAAACGGTTTTTGCCTCTGTCCGGCGGATAGATATGCCTGAAGACTGGCTTGGCGCTTGGCAAGCTCGATACCGATGTCACTTCTGTTCTTGGTTTCTGTACTTATATGACCAAAGTGCGGGGAATTATGCGTTACTGATGGTGTGTTTGCCACCATAGTGCCAAGTTATCGTAATGGCCAAGTCTGCAAGTGCAGATCCTCCATTGTTACACAGCATTCGATGATTCGAAGGAGCAGAAATTTTCCGCACGTTTGCTTTTTGTAGGGGGAAGCAGCCGAAATTGCATCTGAATACCCTCGTATATATGTTATTCTTAGGTAGGTATAGAGACCTCTCTTAGACTCTTTCTCTATATTGATACTCTATAGCATATGCACCCATCCCCCCTATCGACGTAGAATAAACGACCCCTTTCCTCCTCTGATAATTCACCTTTTTCTTTGATGTTCAATGAATCATGCTTCTAGCCTTCTCCTCTCTCTTCCGGCTGTTTAACCGCCAAGTTTAAACACTTTAGCCGGATGAACATGAGAGAGATTGTATGTGTAAGAGAGAGCGAGGTTCTGAGGGAGACCGTAGTCACCGTACCTGGTAGTTCTAGAACTATTAGTACAGGACCAAACCTTGCAACTGATCTCACAGATCTCCTTTGTTGAAAACATTCCTCCAGCCCATCAACTCTCCTTCAACATACAGCTAACCACCATTAATTTTTTTTTAACCATGCTCATATCACCATCGCTGCTCGCAGCAGCCATCACCATCTCCACCTTCGTTACCGCAAGCTATGCAAACCCCACGACAGCCTCACCAGACCATCATCACCATCAAAAACAACAAAAACAACGCCAACGACACTCCGCCGATACCTACGTCGGCTACTTCGGCACCTTCTTCCCCGTCCAAGACGAAGCCATCTACGGCTGGCTCTCCAACGGCAACAACCCCCATTCCTGGCGCCAAATCAACGGTCCCGCAGGAAACGGCTCACTCCTCCGCTCCAACGTGAGCACGAAAGGCGTACGAGACTCACATCTCGTTCGAAGCCGCGACGGCAGCAAATTCTGGCTCATCGCAACGGATTTGAACGTGAATTCTTTCAATGAAGATTTCGACGAAGCTACGCGCTTTGGAAGTCGTTCCATGGTCGTTTGGGAAACTACTTCTCCCGATGATTTGGGTCAGTGGACGCCTGGTCGATTGACGGATCCTCTCGTGGGTGTTGACGCGGGGAATGTCTGGGCTCCCGAGGCCGAGTGGGATGAGTCGGTGGGGGCTTATGTTGTAGTTTTTGCTTCGAGGTTTTGGGATCCGGAGGATGTGGAGCGGACTGGTCCGCAGCCGCCGAATCAGTTGATGTATGTCCTTACACAGGATTTTCAGACGTTTTCCGAGGCGCGCGTGTATGAGTTTCAGGGTACGCCGGTGATTGATGCGACGTTTTATCATGCGAGTGAGGAGGAGGAAGAGGGGAAGGAGATGAATGTTTGGTATCGATGGATTAAGGAGGAGGTGACTTATACTGTGAGTTGGTCTTCTCTACCTACCTACCTGATGACCTACTTACTACCTAACAACATTCATCAATAACAACCTACACGGTGGAGCAAAAAAAAGTACTGAATCTAACGGGGCACAGATCTATCAAGAACGATCCGAAACCGGCATCCTAGGCCAATTCTCCCGTGTCGGCGGAGCTCCCCTCGACGAAAGAATCACTTTTGCTTCACAATACGAAAACAATGAAGGTCCTCTGATTTTCCACGATAACCGCCATCGGGGCCTCTATCACTTGTGGATCGACGAGAATACGCTGCAGTCGTACATTCCCGCCACGGCGCGGACGTTGGACGACATGCAAGCGTGGGAACCGCAGTCATTGAATGGGTTTCCGAAAGGTATTAAACACGGATCGGTGATTCCTGTTACGCAGGCGCAATATGATGCGCTAGAGGAGAGGTATGACTTTGTTTAGGTCAAGGGGGAAAAGGGAAAAGAAAAGGTTGATGTTTTTTCTTGTTTGTTCTGTTGTATATGTGTATATTTCTATATGTATACCAGAGCTCGAGTTGTCGCTACCTATCCAATGAGACCTCATGACTACATCCCTCACAAAACCAAAAGAAAAAGAAGAAAAAGACCCAAGTCCCCCCAACAACGCAATGAGCAGTCACAATGAAAATGCCTGACTGAATGACTTGACTGACCTTGTTGTCATTTCCACATCGTCATCATCATCATCATCATCATCGTCAAAAATCCCCCCTTTTCAACCTTCCCCATTCCCTTTCAACAACTCTCCAAAACATTCACCCGTATACCCTTCGAATCCAACTTCGGCGACGGCAACATAAAATCATGCACAATCGCCACATCCGACCGATCCGTCTCATACAATTCCATTTCAAACCTCCGAAACACCGCAGCGAGCGTAAGATATAATTCCACATATGCCAAATTAATCCCCAAACAACTGCGCGGCCCGCGTCCAAATGCGACAAAATACTTATCCAAAGGCTTCTCGGGGTTGTGTGGACTTGGTGCGTTGTCGAGCCAGCGCTCTGGTCGAAAGGTGAGCGGGTCGGGGAAATAGGTTTCGTTGAAATGTGTGTCGGAAATGGTCATGGAGATGGGAGTTTGAGCGGGAATGGTCCAACCGCGGTATTCGAGGGGTTCGGGGAGTTGACGGGGGTTGCGAGCGGTGACGACGCCGGAGAGGCGGATACCTTCTCGAATGCAGCCGCGGAGATAGGGGAGTCTCTCCAGTTTTTGGTAGTCAAAGGCGTCTTCGGCGTTGAGGTCGGGGATGGCGGCGAGGAGTTCGGCTTTGAGTTTGGAGCGGGCGGTGGCGTCGGAGAGGAGGTAGAAGGTCACGTTGGTGAGGGCCCAGGCGGTGGTTTCGGTTCCTGCGGCGAGAATGGTTTGTGCCTCTTCGCCAAGTCTCACGGGCTGTTTCTGCGAGTCTGGAAGGTTGGATTCGAGGACGGAGTGGAAGATGGTGGTGTGCTGAGGAGGTTTCATCTTGCGTTCGACCTCGCCAATGATGCGTGCTACGACCACTCGAAGATCCTGCGTGCTGTTGTTAGCCGGTGGGAATCCAATAGATGCAAAGGGGGAGGGGAGAGAGAAGACATACGGCCTGAAGCTGGAGAAGTTTTGCAAGGGATGGGTTCATGGCAATGTTCCAGCTGTCCGGCAGGCGACGGAGCACCGAATGCATCCATTGGAATTGCAACGCAACGTGTCCGAATGCGGCGACGGCTCCGAATGCTTCATGAAAAGCTTCCTCAAAGCCCGTAGATTTCAGATGGTCGTAGCAGAATCCGAAGCAGTACTGGGTGATAATATCTCCCGTGAGCGCAGAGTATGCGAGACGCATGTTCACTGGCTTCCCAGCTTCCTTGTATCCCTTGAGTCGATCACACAGGAGCTCGATCTTTTTCTGGACGAACGGCGAATAGGCCATGATGGATCGGCGAGAAAACCTGGTGGGTGGGAAGGGGATGGTATGTCAGTCATTGGCAACGGTGCTGAGGGGACGGCAAAAAACTCACATGGGATTCAACGGGGCCCTTCGAACGCGATGCAGAGACGCTTCTGCTGTCGTGAACACGGAACTGTTGTTGCCGAATCTGCCCGCCATCCATTCGTATTTGTTCTGCTTGGGACTTTTCGCGTAGAGGGCGTCATTCCATTCGGCATCGTTGATGTGGATTTCATCCGGCGTGATGCGAACAATGGGTCCTAAATCACACATATCGTGAGCCAAAAAAGGGTCACCCACGTGCGTGCAATCGCTCTACTCACCATACTGGCGATGTAATTCCTCGATGTGGAAGGAGAACTGTCCCGTCTTTGCAATCTCATAGTATGCCTCGTACCATCGAGTGAGAGCTGCAAGTTTCCTGGACCGTCTGTTAGCTGCCTAGTCTTCGCAAGGGGTAGGGGCTGCTGTTGTCTTGATCGATCTGGGGGTAGTGGTGGACCAGGCACGAGGCCTCTTTCTGAAGCCCAAGGCTCGTGAGAGAGGGTGGTGGTATCCGACAGGACTTACGGGCCAGGAAACTTGCGCAGCGGATGCCTTTCAAGATGTCAGCATAATGAATACCACGCGGACAATGTCCACCAGCTCAGAAAGGGGTATGTGTACTAACAAGAACAGTCGATAGATGGCAATGCAGACAAGATATCCCGTGATGCCCCACGCGGCAATCAACGGATATGAGAGAGAGATCATCATAATGGGGAAAACGTGAGTCGAATGATTTTCAATTTTGGCGAATCTAGACCAAACCAATGATGATGATTTTGAGCTGGCAGCACGGAAGCCTGAGGAGATATCACTGCGGGTCGGGGCCACGAAATTCCCAGCCCAATTTTCATGTCAGCCATGTGAACAAGATGTTCGCACCATGAAAAGTGCGCATCGGCCGCTCGCATCGAACAAAACATCACATGCCGGTGCGATGACACACTACCTCCTAGCTGGAGCGAGGTAATGGAAGAGTCGGTCTCTGCGCGATTGGTGCTTGATTGTGACACACAGTATGCACCGTGATAGTCTCCCCATCACAAAAGCAGGTACCCTCTGGTCGCACTACTAAACATGACCATGCGTAGTCATGATGACACGCACACGCGCAGAAGACCCAACGAGTTCCATGCTCTTTTTGCTGCCCCACTGATTATACACTAGGTCGATATAGTGCTCAACGTCGATTGGCAGTCCCACGGAGGCCTCGTATCCACCCTTTATATAGTCTGCGAGTTGAAGCCATCCGGACCCCGTCATCTCAGACAATACTAAACAGTGCCGTCGGTGCAAATTCCTTCGTTGGTGCCTTTAGAAACATGGAGCCGACACCACTCCAAGTGGAAGAGGAGGTATGCAAGGTACTGTAGATTAATTTGAAAATCGCAGCAAACGGACATACGGGCCGGAGGAAGCCCCGTCCTCACGCCCCGATCTTTCAATGAGGCCGCGAATCGAGTGCGGTGCAAATATTTTATCCTGGGAGATGCAATATGGAAGTGAACTCAACGCCATAAGAGCATTTACCTTGACGTGACGTCTCAGTATCTCACCGATGCGATCTGGTTATTCACTCGATGACTCAGAATGGTTGGCTACCAGGGCAATACAAGCAACCCCGTAGCCTGGCCCATGCCACTCGAATAGAATCGGGTCTTGGGAGGTCCAGCCTTACGGCGGCGGGAATGTGTTCGGAACCAACGAACCGAGCAGATCTCCACCGAGGACCCTCTTTTTCGTGTATTTTCAGGTAGAGATAGGAAAGGATGCGAGGCGAGGATGAGGTGAGGTCTGGAGGAAGTATACAGTACATAGGCCCCTAGGACCGGACGGAGGGTCATTAGCGAAGTCCGGCCGAGCTGTATTTCTTTACCTTGACTTAGTTGAGCCTAGGGGGTAGTGCTTCCGCTTCCTCGGTTCAAGATTCACAGTTCACGCTTTACAGGTCACGATTCACAGTTCACGCTTCCTTCTTCACGCTTCCCTTCTTCACGCTTCTTTTTCTTCACACTTCACGCCGAGGGCCGGATGGGTACTCCCGTTCTACCTATACCTGACATTAAAAGAATTTGCCAAGCATGAACAAGAACGATCAAGAACGATCATGGAATTAGATTTGATATAGCGAACAGGAAAAGAGTATGGGTCAAGCTCAAGTCTGGTATTATTCTACATATACCTGATACATATATATCTAGGTATATGTACATATTAAGCGAACATCTCCATCACATCCCATGCCGAGCAATACAGTGACTACCTGACATGTACATGTCTGTACCACAGACACGTACTCAAGGGGTACAGTATACCACTCGAAACAAGTCATCCAATAACCCATGTAAGTCTAGAAACAGCCTTACGTTGGAATTGTACCGCCGCCGCCCGCTCCTGCAAAGCAAAAAAGTCAGTCAAATTGTTTCCTGGCATGGATTCGGCTCTCAATGGGGTGATCTTCATCATCATCATCATTATCATCATCGTCATCATCATCATCAATCATGGGCTGTCGTTGTATTCCACGTTTCCTATCAGGCTGCCATTCTTTTGATCTATCTATTGCCCTAGGGGCTGGATTGGACATGTTATTAATGTAGAGACCTTCCTCGCTATACACAATTGAGCAAATCCCTTCATGGTGAATGCCTGTCTGTAAAAATAACGCCATCGCCCAAGGTGTGTACATCTACCGAATGATTAATGCACGTAATCAAGCTTTCACCATGAGCTTCGGTCCTGCCGAGACGAGCCTCGCTGCCAACATGGATGCGACTCCTGCAAGGGTCAACACGCCCCCAAACACCCAGACGTTCGTGAAACCACTTGCGCCCAGAATCTGACCCGCAATGGGAGAGCCCACCAGGACCCCGACGGATGACAGTGCGAATCCCATTCCCATCCGGGTGCCTATGACTCTTCGATCCTTGGTCAGGCTTGCGAAGATCGTCGGCGGCAGCGACACTAGACTGCCAGAGAAGAAACCGTATAGTGCCATGAGAACGATGACGGCAGCGGAACTTTTCGCAGCGATGAGACAGAGACATAGCATGCCAGTGATCGCACCACATGGGATGATCATGTCTAGCGCGGGAAACACATGTCAGCAAGGTCGCGTACGTGTCTTCTGCATCGTGTGTAAGTACTTACTGAGCGGACCTGTCTTATCGGCGCCAGCGTTGGGGAAGATGCGACCGAAAAGACTGGTTCCATTCATGATTGACAGGAGGTAGAAACCCATGTTCTCGCTCAAGATATTGTTGCGAATAACATAGCTTTCCACGAAGAAGAAGGGTGCGTACATGCCCATGAACTATGATCCCAGTCAGTCGGCCTCTTGATTGTCAGTAATGTATTACGCCTGCGTACCGCCAGAATGCAGCCCACTGAAAAGAGCATGAATGGGAGATCCACGAATGCAGTAAGATCTATGAGCTTCCTGCGTTGCGGAGGCGAGACCCGAACCCGTATCACCATGATCGAGACCGAAAGCCCCGCCAGAGCGATGAACCCAAGTACACGAGTAGCCCACGGGAATCCGATGCGAGGCTGCAGTCTGTGAAAGACGATGGGATATATCACGCCTCCGATACTACCACCAGCAGCAGAGAGTCCTGTAGCTGCGGCGATGCGGGTGCTGAAATACTGCTGGAGAATGGCCACGGCCGGTACAAAGAGAAGGCCGGTGCCGATGCCTATGGTCACTGCTTGAGCGAGAACGACCTCGGTGTAGGTGGTGCATAGACTCAAGAGCATCTGGCCGGCCACCACGAGGAGTGATCCCACCCAGAGCAGTTGGTGGACATAGCCAGCATCGTACAGCGGTCCAGTCACACTGCCGACGAACAGCAAGAGGAAAGCTTGAATCGAGCCGATCCAAGCGATCTGCGAGGGCGAAGATGATGAAAGAATTCCGGTGCCGTAGTAGGTCTCATAGGTGCCGAATGCATTCAATATGCCTGGAGCGACTGGTCAGCAGGAGCGCAGGGGCGAGTGTGTGAGGAGAGAAAAGTAAGATACCCCAAGTATTGAAAAAGAGAAAGAAGGAGCCGAGGACTTGTAGCCATGCTTTGGCACCTCCATTGGGAACGTCGCTGGCACTCGAGGTCACTGGCCTGCTGGTCACATCGGCATCGGAGCCTGGGACGGAGACGCTCTTCTCAGCATCCTCGAACGAGGGAGTTTTGGACTCGTTGGACATGTTCGTCTGGACTGTTTCGATGACGAAGAGAGAGCGGTCTATCACAGCCGGTTAGATGCTCATCGTCCACACCCAGGTGCTGTATATATGATGTGCGACATGTTGTGCCGTCTAGTCGTTTATAGTCAAGAACGTCGACTAATTAATATGCCCATGGCTACGTCTTTTGTTGAATATCCGAACACCTTACTCATACTGGACTTCGAACACTCTAACGGACATATCTAATGCCGTCCATCACGGCACGCCCGTGATGGGACCACTCACGCCGTGAATTAGCCGGGTTTCGCTGTGATCAAGTATCGTGATCGCCACCCAGCTCGCCGCCGACCGCACACGATGACCTGTGGTGTTTAATATGGGCATTATCAGTACAGATATTGGAATAAGCGGGTCAGGCGGAGATACAGTCGGGTCGATGAGGAGCGTGAGGGAGGTGGTAACTGGAGGCGGTCGGTGTGATTGATCAATACCTACCGGTACCTCCTAGGTACCTTAGGGATGTAGGCACGCGTCGCGTCTGGGCAGCAGTCGCGATGTCAACCGATTCGAGCGCCAAGATATTCGGAGTGCACTATTCTAGAATCTTCTTAGCTTTCAACCTCTCATTCCGATCTTCCTTGATCCTTCCAACGAGCGACCATCAACCACCAACCACTCACTCAGTCGTAACGAAACAATCGCCATTCGCTTCATTGCCCACCACTCCATATTCCAGACACTGCAGCTGAAGGTATATCATCCTTGATTTGTCTGCTTTCTTCGACGCATTCATCACATCCGTGTGGCTTGCTGTGTCACCCTATGGAAACGTTCCCGACATGCCCGGCCCACTGGAAGCCTGAGAGGTGATGTTTCTGGGAGGACTGACTAAAACGGGCACTAGGAGAGAGATGGCCGCGCAAGCTTTTTGGCTGGCGACAGCGCACAGCAGCAGCCCGGGTTGGCAGCGCACCTCTTTTTACTGTACTACTTCGCGCAGCAGCACAGGAATGCTGAAGTGATTCATCGGAATGTGAACAAGCAAATGTCGCCACATCAGCAGCAAGCCCTGATCTACGTCTCCGAGACTTGCCTACACCATAGTAGCTACATGTAGTTACCAGTGGCAATGGGAACAAAGGAAACAGGCATTCTCGCCTGGTGGCACAGGCTTCCTCCAGCTCGATATGCCGTAATATTCTTTGCTGTGTCGTTACTCTCGGCCATCTTCAGCCACCACTTCGTTTTTGGCAAGTAGTTTCATCCGCATGCAGGACGTACGCCAGCATCGCTCGTACTCACTAACGCATGATTGATAACAACAGATGCTGATCCGCACAAATGCCAAGCGCTAGTTTCGGCGGGCCAGTGGTATAATGAACACACATGGCTTGTTCCTGGATGCACCACTATATATCACGATGGCAAAAGCATCAGGGACTGTGCTGGTGGGTATAAGCGCAAGATAACCTTGATTGGCGACCTCCACGTACAGAGATTGTACTTTCAAGTCGGCCGCAGGCTAGATCGCGACATTCAGATTCCAAACAATCGCCGGCAGGATCTTCACTTGACCAAGGATAACATTGAGCTGCAGTTCTTCTACGATCCATATCTCAATGGCAGTGGACTTATCGATACTGTTGCCTCCTATCACAATGGCGGAACGGATCGGCCACTGCTTACTGTCGTCGGAGCTGGCAATACCTATGCCGAAAAGGCCATGGCAGAAGACTACGCCTTGACCATCCAGAGTCTCGCCTCATCTGCTGGCACATCGAAAATTGGCCAGGACTTCACCTACGATCAAGGACCTGGTGACCTTCTGCTCTGGACTCCAGCAGACGAGCCACTTCGCCAAGATTCGAGTGACAATTTTCATCGCATTGTGAATGATAGATTGGCCGATACTGTCAGCACTAATGTGTTATGGAGCTTTCGAGACATGATTGCAGGCCGCAAAGATCTATATAAGGATGATGGTGTTCGAGTCCAGGATGAAGTCATTCGCAGACGCGTGGATGTGCTACTGAACCTCAGATGTAACGCTCAGGTTGGCAGAAAAGGGAATTTTCCGAACAGAGCTGTCTGCTGCGGTGTCTGGCGAGGACCAAACTGGGTTCAGATGAGCTTTCTACTGCTTGGCCTTGCTATCCTGCCTCTCGTGGTTCTTAATGATTTCAAGCTCGGGTTTCTTTCTGATACTTCACGTCCAGTCTTACGAGCGTTCTGCTTCTTCACAGTAGCTGTATCTCTACAGTGGATCGCGGATCGCACGCACATTTTTGACCAAGGCACAAGATTGGATCTTGTGAAGTCGAACCTATACTTCATGATTGCGGCTGCTTTCCTCTTCGGCTTCATCACCATTCGTCGCTGCAAGCCTCTGCGCACGAGCAGTCCTGGTGAAATAAAGTCGAGCCTTCCATGCTTGCCGCGAGATCAAACCAACGAGTGGAAAGGCTGGATGCAGGCACTCATCGTCATATATCATTACAACAAGGCCTGGAAGTACGATGAGTTTTGGCAAGTCATTCGCCTCTCTGTGTCATCCTACCTTTTCCTGACAGGCTTTGGGCATACTCTCTATTTCCTCCAAAAGAAAGACTATTCCCTTCAGCGATTCACGAATGTGATGATCCGGACGAACCTTCTTCCGGTGACATTGTCATATGTCATGCGGACTCGATGGCTGCTGTACTACTACATGCCTCTATCCACCTTCAATTTTGTGGTGGTGTACCTCACACTCGCTCTCGGTCGCCGCTATAATGCGTACACAGCATTTTTGCTGGGCAAGATCGCAGCTTCAGCATTCCTTGTGCACATCTTCCTCACTACAAGAGACCTTCCGACGACTTTCGTCCGCCTTTTCCGCATTACCTGCAACCTGAACTTTGATTCTGGCGAGTTCTTCGGCCATCGCGTGGAGCAAGACCAATACATTGTTTTCGTGGGCATGCTCGCCGCTATGGTATACATCTGGATTCGAGCTATCCTTGAGAGCAGGGACCGGCAAGATCGACCTAGCAGAAGCTTCCGAGCGGCCTGGCCTGTTCTGAAATGGTCTGCTATAGTCCTCGCAGCAGCTACGCATGCTGGCTTCTGGTACTGGATACGAACGCATATCCGAACCCAGGCCCAATTCCGCAAAATCCAACCCTATGCCACTGGCATTCCCATACTGACATTTATCGTTCTACGAAACGCACATCCAATCTTGCGAAACTGGCACTCTGCTGCTTTTGCCTGGCTGGGCAAGTATAGTGGGGAGATGTATGTGGTGCAAGATCATTTGTGGCTCGCAGACGATCAGGAAGCTGTGCTCCAAACCGGTCTTTTCCATGGCAATGAGACGCTCATGGGCGACAGGTGGCGAGATTTGTTGCTCATTACGCCTCTCTATCTGATCGCCTGTTCTGTGATTGGCGACGCTACCGGCGTGATTGCGGATTGGTGCACTCGGGAAGAGCCAGTAGCAGGCTATCAAGCATCGATCAATACTAATCGACCAGTCGACGAAGTCGAGATGGGACTCCTGGTTGGAGATGAAGCAACCACTGAAGAGTGCATGAACTTGAAAGATAAGGTGACCGATACTCCGCCATGGTGGACGCAGACACATGGCAAGATTTCAGTGTTGCACATCTGGCCGAACAAGCTCAAGTACAGGATATGGCTCATCTTGGGCATCATGTGGCTTCTCAATATGGTACGTTCGAAGCGCACAGTACATGTGTCTCTATGGTGACTCTTGACTGACTGACTGGCTGGCTGACTGAGAATTGCACAGACATACACTTAGACGTCCTATAGCGTCAATGCTGCCAAGAACTAATATAGTATCCGACTCTTTGCATCCAAATCGCAATCTTCAATTGTGTGAACGACACGTGCGGCAGGGGAAGATATGCCAACACTACTTGGACCCATGACCAGCAGCCAAAAACTGGAGAGCTTTTCGTCTGCGCAATCTACGCGCTGTCGCAGAAGTGCAGCAGGAGTATAAGGTGGCAAACAAAAAGAAACATGGGACGCACCACGAATAGCACAGAAAGCCCGACTTTCATCAAAGCTGGCTTCTCTCAGTCGTCTCGACGTTAGCACTATTGATTGCATTCGAGGCAGTCAGCTCTCACTTTGTTTCCGCCAACGGGTCCAATATCAGTTTAGGACTGTTGCGAGATGCTTGGGGTGGAGATTCCATCACGGAGGTGTGATTCCGAGTAATGGAAGCGTGTGCGCAAATCCGACGAGGAGTCGGATTTGTGAGGCGCCGAGTATGATGCTGTATCTAGGTGGTGGTGGCATCAATTCGACTGCTGCGAGCCATGCATTTGTTACGGATACCTGGTTCATGCAGACGAATGGGAAGGTATTGGGAGGTACCTAGGTACTGGTCGATTTTGCATCGTCGATCTAAGGTGGAGTCACGAAGGAGGTTCGTTCTTTCTTTTTTTATATCCCAGCAGTAGCCCCTGCTCCGAATAAGATCGTCAGATCAAGAGTTTGCATCCCATGTCGAAAAGACAAGGACGCCTGCACCTTTGATCGATGATCACCGCTAGAACTCAGGCACATACCTAAGGTACGGTATCACATCATGATCTTCCGACGACTGGAACTTCCTACAACTCTTCTCACCATCACCATCTACGTCGCCCATCTCCTCGTGCCCCATCACTATCACATGTGCGGCCTATGTCGCAACAGTCCTTTTCGAAGAAGAAGAAGAAGAACTTCTTCATCATCCCGCAGCTCTGTCAGATCGCGTCGCAGCAGCACCAGCAGCTGGTCAGGGAGATGGAAGCAAGAATCGAGTGTATAGAGGCAGGTATTATGGGATGTTAGCTGGCTAAAAGGAAGAAGAAGGTTCTCATCTCTATCTACTACGATTAGTAAAATTAAAAAGAGAAGAAGTCGATGATGATGATGATGATGATGATGATGATGATGAGATGATTGTTGATTGTTGATTGTTGATTTTAGTACTATACCTTAGTCTGTGAAGCCTAGAGAAAGAAGTCGACTCCTGAGGACACTCACGAGAGAGAGAGAGGGAGAGAGAGAGAGAGAGAGAGAGAGAGAGGGAAGGAGAATTGTTATTCCTCCACTATTGCAGCATTGATCGCAAACGTTTATTTCATCCCAGCTATTAAGAAAGTCGAGTTTTCACTAGGAGTGGGGAGGTACAAGACTACAAGTACCTGAAGAAGAAGAAGAGACAGGTGTGTTGTTGTTGTTGATGATATTTCTGACATGGCCTCTCGCTCTTCTCTAAGATTCGGCTTGTCTAGGTATTTCTGTTCAGGTTACAGGTCCCAAGTGCGATAAGGAGGTTCGAGAAGGCGGATAGATTCGTTTATTTTGGTTCTCCCCCTCCACGTCTTAATAATGGTGGAAGATGGGGACAAGAGTCAAGTTCCTCCATAGATCAGGTAGGTAAGAATAATAATAATAATAAAGGGCATGCGCGCTGCGTGACCCACACGTAGATATCTTCGTGACTGTCGTATAATGTGCTATCTCTGAACAAATCGAAAAGAAATGCGGCTTTCCAAACTAGTGATTCCTCATCTTCACGTCCCGATCATGTTGCAATGTGCCAACTCATCCCCCTCAGCTGAGCGTAGCCATGGCAGCAGCGACGATTTTAGCATTCCGTCGTTCTACACACAACAGTCAGCCCAAACTTTCCATCTCCACCAGGAACGCGTGGAGCACGGCCTCACCAACTCAATGTGAAGACCGAACCAAGGCCATCCTACCTTTGCGGTCTTTCTCCACCCGTATCACATTTCTCGGTGGACTCTTTTCCCGTTCATACACCACGAGATCGCCCCGAGGACGGCTGCGATTGCGATATTCGACCATCTGGAATTCCTCCGAAGAAGGATCGCGTATCCGCATCGCGAGATCGCGCTTCTGCTCGGCGTCGCGCTCGAGTCGCAAGGCACGTCGTTCCGCCTCGAGAGCGCGGATTTCTTGGTTGATGTCGCGGTCGGATTGGTGGTGGCGTTCCGAGAGCACCAGACTGCCAGCGTGATGGTGGTGGGAGGGTGCGCGCTCCTCGATGATCGTCTTTCGCTCTTCGTAGTATTCGGGCGCGGCCGGAGGAGGTGGTGCGAGGGGTGCTGGCGGAGGTGAGCGAGTTTCTGCGACAATAGTTTGTTGCTTCGACACATATGTACCAGGAGAAGAAGTTCGTCGGGAGCGAGATCGTGGCATTTGACTGATGCTGCTTTTTGCGCTTGGGGAGCCGCGGCGCTCAATCACAGTGGGTGGGTTGATCCATTCCGTGCGTTCCAGTACTTCATGCTCACCCACGGGGGGCGGCGGCACGGCGTCTTCGACAGGCTGCTCGAAGCGGTATACCTTCTTCTTCTCTGTGCGGCGACAGTTAGTTGGCACGTTTCTCTCGTGTGTATATCTCTCTCATGCAGCCCACTCACCTCCGTCCTTGTACTGCTCGCTGATCTTGATCACTTCATCAATCTGCTCCTTCTCCAAGGCAATCTGCAAGACATAGAAAGACTCTTCCTCCTCGAAAGGATAGCCAAGATCCATGATGGCTTCCACGCGGACGAGTCGTTTCGGCATCCGTGTTTTGCCCTTTTTGAACCTCCTCTCCTCATGAATGCTCTCCTGGATCAGAGTTTCGTGTACGCTTTCGATTGGTCGAGGTGGGGGAGGAGGAGGCGCTTCAGGCAGACTTGCTAAGCTGGACTCGGTCAATACGGTCGTAGGTGCTTTCTCGCTCTTCGCCTTCTTTGTACTTGGAGCCTTGCTCGGAGCTTTACTGGGAGCTTTGCTTGGGGCTTTGCTAGGAGCTTTACTGGGAGCTTTACTGGGAGCTTTGCTGGGAGGCTTGGCTTCGCTCACGGCAGAAGCGCTGCTGCTGCTAGTGGTGCTACTGCTACTGCTGCTCGCACTGCTCTCGCTCTTCCCCGCTGATTTTTCACTCTTTTTGCCGCGCCTCCGGTGCACCGAGCGTTCTCGCTGGATCTCTACTTCACGGTAGCCCTCTGGTGGCTCGTAGTAATGGTCATAGTCACGGTAGTGCCGATCGTCGTCATAATAGTGGTCTCGGCGGCGGCGTATGGGCAGGGGAACTGGCGTGTACGGGGCGATGCGGTACTCGTCGTGCTCATAGCGTCCTGGCCGGCGGTCGAAGGTGTCCAAGCTGCTCTGTCTTCTCAACAGGCCCGGACGTGTTGGGCGGACGTGGATATCCAGCTCCTCTCTGCTGATGCTGTTGCGTCGCGGCACCAGTGCCATATCAGCAAGCTCTCGAGGATCGATATCGCCGAACAGCTCCCGGTCTGATCGCCTCGGAGGTCTCGACGGAGCCATGCGTTCCTCCTCGAAGAAGCGATCGCGCTCCTCATAGCGACCTCTCGGGCCACGACTCTCCACCCGGTCCATGACTGCAATATCTCGGCGACCTGGGCGGTCTCGTTCGGTGTACTGGTAGTCCTCTTCGAATCGTCGAGGGGGAAGAGCAGGTCCCCTGGCGCCCAGACGCTCGAAGCGCTCTCTGTCCCATCTCTGCGGTATGTCTCCATACGCCAGGTCGTCGTTGCGGAAGCGGGACATGTCTGCCTTTTGCTGCCTATTTGTCTCTTCAGGCTGGAGCTAGTTGGTGACACTCTCTGGCTCGTGACGGTGAGCTCGTTCAGCGGTAGAAGGCTGAAGGCTGGGTGGGGAAGCGCAGGAAATGGAGGAGGAGGGGGAGGGAGACGGGAGGTGGTGGAGGGAGGGAAGGAGGGAAGATGGGAAGAAGTAGGTAGTGGCAGCAGTGGTGGTGAGAGGTAAGAGGTAGGAGTCGAAGGAAAAGGCAGTCGCAGCCCAAGATCAGAGTGACCCGGTGGCTGGCTGAGGAGCTCAGGTATACCAGACAAGGAACCAGGGTGCAGGTGTTACGTCTCCGCCCAATTCTGGGCTCGGGCGGGAGTAGTCGTCGGGCGTGCGACAGCAGCGTAGGAGGTATAATTAATGTCCAAGCGCCGGGTCGGGCAGCCTTTCTTTTTTCTGATTTCTAGTTAATACATACATGTACCTTGTATGAATTGATGATGGAATCTTCGCTCGCCTCATAATTCATTTGCATCGCCGGCAAATCACAATTGGGCAGCGAGGCCTGTCGATAGTGAGGGATGACGTACATTGCCTTGCCGTAACCATCCCAGTCGTCCCAGCCCTGCTCTCTCCGTCTCTCCGTCTCTCGGCCTTTGGTGGGATTTGTTTGTCTACCTACCTTACCTAAGGCATCTTCTACCTCTTCTCCATTCTTCAGACTACACTCTACACAGACTACCTACAGCTACATAATCCACATCCCTCCCGTGCTTGTGATTGCTCATCCCGTACGGCCTTGTACAACGTAAAGAGCCCCAGGTCTAGCAAGCGACCACAACATAACCTAAAATATACTTGTTTGTAACGAGCTATTCGCTGGACATTTGCGTCTTGTGTGTATCTAATAGAATGTATACCTACAGTCATATATACCTCTGTGTGCAGCTACACCTTTCGTATATCCATTTGATTCCATATACATCTCACACGAACGCCTATACAAATACATACGCGAATATACATGTCCTCTGGGCTTCAAGACTTGGCTTTGACCTCTTGACACACCTGGAGCGCCGTCCCTTACCCGACTTCACTTTGTCCTTCCAGCCCCCTCCATGACCTGCCAGCCACCATCTTTTATCTAATCGTAGGTGAATACAACACCATGGGCAGATACAGCTCGTACAATGGATGGCACTGAATAGTCTGATCTAGAACCATCTACTGTTTGCTGATACTTCTCGCGCAGTGGCTCACGCAATAGACGCGTCTGCATACTGTACAGGTCCATATGTCCATATTCCAATTGAGATGATGGGCACGGTGCACAAGAGGGTATAAATGTGTAGGTGCTCGAGGAAAGGTGCAGCGATTGCAGCGACTGCGATACATGTAGTCCTACCGCACTCTCTGGAACATCAGATAATAATCTGCGCGTTCTGTAGCCTGCCTGATATGGTGTCCAAGTCCAGGTGATGCACGCTGTTGATTCATCACTCCCTACCTTACATGTTCTGGAGGCTAACAAGCGTCACAGGCTGCGGGTGACCGCGCAGTTGTAGCGGAATCCGTATCGTACAGTACATACCCGTGAACGACAAGACTTGTGGTGCTGACGAGGAAGCTACCTGCCGATACCTACGTCTTGTACTACTGTATACTGCGCTCGAGATGCGCTTCGACGCATGACGAGACGAGGCGACGCTCAGTGGGAGGGAGCATGGCTCGCTCGGCAGTGCATTGGACCCTCCTGATAGTCACAGCACCTGGTGGTTATGTGCGCACCTTCCACACCACAAGACACGTCGCACCTGCCTGGCCTGCTTCCTTTTTGCCCCGTACTGTACTATACTCGTCCATGTACATGTCCCGCTCGCTCGCTGCTTTGCACTCATGCTCCCACGACGGTCCTCTCGCAATGGAGCTCACTCTCTCACATGAGGTGAAGTGTGTCGGTCTGGTGATGCCGCATGCACGCACTCGTCACTTGCCAAGCGGACCCCAGCCACCATCACACCATCGCACTCGCTCCCTAAATGAAAAATTTCTCTTCCTCCTCCACCATCATTCGAACACCAACATTCGCACACCAACATTCGCACACCGCCCACCGCACACCAACTGCCACACTCAGACAGCACACATCACCACCACAACATGACAGCCCCGCTAACCCAGGCCCTGGCCTTTCAGAGTCGCCTTACCGACACAGTCACTGGTGGCCCGATCACGGACAAGACGACGCTCGTGGCCTTGCACCAGCCAGCCCCCTTCTCACTCACCGACAGCCTGTGCAGAAAGGCGTGTCCATCCAAGCAATGCCGTATGGTGATCGCCGGCGAGTCCTTCCCACCGTCACAGTTCCACTCGAAGACTGCGCATCCCTATGATTGCACGGTGACTTTTTGCGAGCTAGTAAGTGCCTCCACTCCCGTCTTGGTCGCAAGAATACTGACCCCACCAGCTCACCGCGCCCCGCCTCATGGTGGAATTCGTTTGGCCAGACCTTGCCAACCTGACCATGGCCGTCAAAGTTCGCCTGACCGACACAAATACCCGCTTGATTGAGAAGGTGGTTCGAGACGACTCTGTCGCGGACGAACTGATTGTCAGCACTGGCATGACCAGTGCATTGACATCGCACCCTCTCTCGAGCGAAGGTCTCAACCGCGCCTCCAAGCGGATCGACAGCATGGGACCTGATGGCGCGCGGCTCCTGGAAGTAGTGAGAACCCTCTTCGCAGGCCAAGCACCTGACACCGAAGGTGACACCGACTTTGTTGCCGCACGACTACCTTTGTTTGCGACCACTTCACCTCCCAAGACCTCCATTGGAGTGCGCTTTCGGCAAACTTTGGCGAACGAACCGGGCATATCACAAACCCTACCTTTCGTCATTGGTCCACACAAGCTGCTGTCACTTTCGAGGCCGGACTACTATCACAACTTCCCCCTGACCGTAGACAGGGGCCCTCAGGAGACGATGTCCCGAGGACCACACCCGATGACGCCGCAATCAAGTGGAAACACGTTCAATAGCATTCAAGACATGCAAGTGCAGCTGTTCGAGACTGCTCGTGTCTCGCATGTGGAGGCCAAACTAGGAGTGGCCCAGTGGGCGAAAGTCGAGCACGATGTCATACCGTACGTTGAACCATATCCTTCCCATTGAAACGATGCTAACATATCGTGCATTTCAGATTCCAGCTCGGCCCTCTTGTGATCATGGCGGTCATGTTCAAGAATCACACCCCACTCAGAGGCCCGAATGGAGTGGAAGTTCCTTTCCGCTTGCCCGAGAGTATGGTTGTGGAAATGAACTCGGACTCGGCTGGTATTGCTTGCACCGCTAAGCTCTGCGCTCCAATGCCAATCCTCGAAGGCTTCGATGCCCTCTTCTCCGTTTCGTACCCGTCGAAAGAGCTCCGGGCCATTGCTCAGGACATCCATACCGTGAATTTACGCTCGATCTTGATGAGCTTCGCCGCGCAAGTCTCGGAGTTCACACTCCGTAGCCAACTGGGTACCGCCACGTCGCTTACAGCAGAAGATGTGAAGTCCTGGCTGCCACTCCTGATTAACCAGTCGCCTACGCTCGAGACGGTCGACCTCGCTACGAAGCGAGCCGAGGACTTCACAGGGGAGATCAACCACCAACAAATTCAGGAGGCATGGGATATGATGATGAGCTGGAGACACTGGAACCCAGAGCAGCTTGCCGCCCTACACAGTGTTCGCAGTGCAGTCGGTTCAGTCGTGCTCATTACTGGCCCCGCCGGAACTGGCAAGACGCTGGTCCAACAGATCATCGCCGCCTTCTTCTTCCTCGTCGGTTTTCACGTGCTGGTTCTCGCACCCGCGAACAGCAATGTGGCTGATTTTGTTGCAAAGCTGCACCAAAACTTTCCTGACGGCAACGTCCAGGCGCTGCGCATTCTCCCCACCTCAGCTGAGATCAAACTGAAAGATGTTGCTGGACAAACAGAATCGCAAGCACCCTCCTCCACTCAAGACATCCCTGTAGCAGATGCCCATGTCTTCGAGTTTGAAATGGTGCGTGCTCAGATCCAAGCTGCAGGCGAGAAATATGACAATGGGCGTGACGCTAGTCTTGGAGCCCAGGTTCTTAAGACAGCGCGCAACAAGTCCTTGATAGGCAAACACCTCGCAATGCTGTACACGGGACCCAGAAAAGAAAAGGTTGATATGTGGAAAAAGTTGCTTGAATACATCGAGCAGTGCGAGCGTGATGACTTCGACTGGAACGACAAAATCGCAGTGGACCACTACGACCAGTGCTACCGGGCATGCAAGAAGTATTACATTGCTCGTCACAGATTCCTGGTAACGACTACGGGCAACGTGTACAATTCGGACATTCAGGATTTCTGGGCCCAAGATCTGTACAATGTGCCATGCCAAGGGGTGATTGTCATTGTCGATGAGGCCTGCAAGGACAATGAAATTGACACCCTCGGCGCTCTGATGTGCCGAGGATTTCGCCACAAGGTTGTTGGCTTGGTCATGGTAGGAGACAACCGACAGCTCAAGCCTACCGACACGGCTTCCCGAGGGCAGGTGATCTTCAGCCCCTTTCCGCAGCGCAAGAGCCTGCCTTTACTCTCACGTCTGAAAGATGAGGGCCATCCTTGTGTGGAAATGCTCGAGCAGCATAGAATGGTAAGTTGACTACATTTCAATCTGCACAAGGTGCCAACGTAAGCTAATTGCGCTTTGCAGAGTGCGAGCATCGCAGAGTGGCCATTTGCCAATTTCTACCCGCCAGGAATGCGCAGCTCAGCAAGCACCTATCGACTCCTCCGCGAAAAGCAGCCTGGTCTACAACAATGCCTGACCAAGGCACTTGGTGAAGATCCATGCCGCCTCGCAACCATGTATAATCCACAAGAACAGGATACCTATCTCCGCACCCACTACATTGAGCTGAACGGCACACGATTGAAGCGTAACCTGTCGACGGTGGTTCGAGAGCACATTGTGGCGTTCTTCAATCACATTTTCCCGGCCTTCCAGGCCTACTATCGAAGCAATCTCCACGAAAATGTCACGATTATCGTGGCATACAAAGAGGCTGTGAGTACCGATCTCTTCGACCTCTGGCATTGAATCAGATCAATTTGCTAACGCTTGCATATAGCGATACTCCTGGCAGCAGGCCATCAAGCACATGATGAAGAGGTTCGGCGCGCCAATGAGCCACCTCCCCAAAGTCATCACGATCGATTCCAGCCAAGGCACCGAGGCACCCGTGACGATCATCGACTGCTCCGTCCAGCAATTCCTGCGAGACGCCGACATTGGTTTCGTCGACGATGACTGCCGCATCAATGTGGCTATGACTCGTGCGCAAGACGTTCGCTGGGTCCTCGGCGGTTCGTGCAGTGCAGGCAAGCGCTCCCCACGTCAGAAGAAGTTGCCAGCCTACGTGAGGTATCGCGACTATACCTCACGCAGGGATTCTCTCACGATTCTCAACAATGATGTGCTGCCTGGTGGTGATGGTAACGCCTGGCTGGAGAAGTTGGAGCGCAGAGTCGTTGCGCTCGACAGGACCTTTGCCGATGACAAGGCTCGCCGTGTTGGTCATTGAAGACATGATGGTCACTAAGAATGGAAGCAAACACTGAAGGCCCAACAATACGAATGAAGGAAAGAAGAAACACATGGCGGTTAACTGGCTGGAAGCGAAACATGGCGTAGAACTCGACGGCCTCGTCGCGGCTTGGTGTCAGAGCATGAGGGGCTCTACATACAGCAGGTAGCCTATCGACCACGGTCTTTAACTACCGCCTTGACAGATAGAAAGTTGCACTATGCACAAAAATGAAAGATGAAAACGACCAGAAAATGAATGCAGTAGAAAAGAATACCCTTTGGTGTCCATTGCACTTACCTACTGTTTGACAGTGATGATGATGATGATTGATGCCATCGCCCTTCCATGGTTTTCCTTTCCTTCCTTTTTTCTTATTCAGAACCTCATTTTTACTCCCCACCTCATGCCCAATCAATACCACATACATATTACTAGTATACTCACTCACTGCTCGAGAGAGAAAAGAATTTGCCTTTGCCATGTCATACAATACCATGTCTCCTATGCTGTTCTATCTATTTATCCCGTCTAGAAAACACACAACTTCCTTCTCCACCCCGCCCGAATATAAAAAAACGCCCTTTGTGTGACTATGATTGATCCTACTACTTCCCACGATCAGATTAGTGATGATGATGAACCAGTAACATTGGAAATAAGGTAGATAGGTAGATACAATCACTCACTCATGACTGCCACTACACGGCACTGCACGGCACGGCACTGCAAATATCTCATGTTGTGGGTAGGGACTTTTTTTGCTGGGCGGGGCGAGGTCGGAAAGGCTCCAGGACTATGTTTATCAATCTGGGGGGTTCTTTGAAAAGGGTAGCCTTTTAGCATGCGTGCGTGCGTGCGTGCGTGGGAGATGAAATCATCACACCACCCACGGCTGTGTGGTGACTGGAAGACGAAGAGTGAGTGAGTGAGTGGTTGCCGGACGGGCGGGCGAGGCAAAAGGAATCTGGAATCTTTTTTTCTTCTTTGCCATGAGTAATATGTGAAAGATCATATCTGCTTCTCTTTTTTTTCTATCCCCGATTGAACAATCGCGAAAACATTGCGCCTCCCACATTCCTCGCCAATGAACCCGTGAAGAGGCCTCTTTCCACAAGTCCGCTTGCCTGACTAAACTTGTCACATCTCGAGAATGCCAGAGTATTCGTAATCGTGAGCACCATCGCAATAGCTGTCCGCATGTCAGTTTTACTCTTTTGTTCCTCTTACGACAACCTTCCCCTCCTCCTCCCCATCACCACCAAGCAAGCACTCACCAACAAGCGTCAACCACACAAACATAAACTTCACCAACGCGACCACCGCGAGAGCAACCCACAGCGCCGGCTGAGCATACAACGCCAACCAAAAGAATCTCTTATCCGTCGCGTTTACAATTTTCCCTCCCGGTTCATTCGCCTGCGGAGCACTCTCAAAGACCCAATGCGAGTCTCCCGATTGTCCATTGACTTCATTCCACCATCGCAAGCCGACGAGCCGTCTTCCGGCGATATTTTTCAAATAGTAGAAATCCATTGCGAGCAGGATGATGGTGATGATGAAGATCATGACGAAGTTGGAGGTGAAGAGCATGCCGAGGAGGTAGACGAGGAGACTGGCTGTGGAGGAGTGGAATGGGAGGTTGCGGTCTAGCGTTAGTTTACAGGTGGTATGGGAGAAAAGAGAGAGAGAGAGAGGGAGGGAGGGATTGGCGTACCGATTCGGAAGGAGAGGAAGGTCAAGAGGGTGATGGGGTGTGCACTCAGTCGCCAGTTGAGCTGGCCGGGAGTAGGATTGATGTCGGCCATGGCTGGAAGTGTACGCGCGATGCGCTGGGTGTTGGGCTTGTCGACTGGTATAGACACAGACGGAATGTTCACGATAGTGCGGCACGTTGGTGAGAGGACGCGTTTCGTGAAGTCTCCAGTCAGTGCAGGGGTCTTCGGTGCGAGCCGCGCCTAGCTCGAATTGAGATACGCTGCGTCGCTGCAAAATCAAATACATGTATCATACATGTATATAATAAATGATAATGGATCTCTATCGTCGCTATGATCTATCTCTCCACTACTGTGCAATGTTATCATCCATCTTCGGTCTACACCAGGTTGGAATAGAACAGAGCCATAATACGGAGCCTCCTGCTGCAGGAGTCGTTTGGTAGTCAGCGTTGTGTATGAGGTCTACATGTGTGATCTATTTACGAAGACAAACGGACTTGCTCGTCGAAAGCTCGCTTCTATTAATCTCAGAACCTCACCAAGTACCTGTCGCCCCTGATCTTGGAAGCAGAAAGTTGACACGTTTGCAATTCATCCGGAGCTTTGAAATGGTGCAGTCGTCTACTTCGTCTTCGTAGCACCACCATCGATAGTAATGTCCTCGGCAGTGACAAACCCAGCGTTGACCAGGTATTCCACAGCATCCGCAATGTCTTTTGGCCGTCCAGCACGATTCGCCAAATGATCTGCCACGTCCTTTTCCTCATTCAGCTCAGACCATTGCGTACCCTTCTCATCACCCTCTTTGCACTCGTGGGCAACCTTGATTCGGCCTGGAGCCACAAGGTTTACTCGGATACCGAACGGCTTGAAACTGGCTGCCATGCTGTGAGTCAACCCTAATAGTCCAGCTTTCGTCGAGGCGTAGCCTTCCTGATTCGCATCGCTTTGAAAGGCGCGGAAAGATCCGATGTGGACAATGCAAGGTCCAGCCTCGCTGGTGTTCCAGTCTTGTAACCTTGCCTCATTCTTCATGTATGGTAGACATGCTTGTGAGACCACGAATGGAGCTGTCAAGTTGGTGTCGATGTATCTGTCAACTGGTCAGACTGGAAGGCTTGCGAGCGCGCAAAACCAGGCACGTACGCTTGCCACTGTGGAATTGTCTCCTTGTTGAGCATGGTCTGATTGTCTTTCCATTTCGGATTTGCAATGCCCCCTGTCCAGTTCATCAGCGTGTGCATCAAGTCTGACAAGGAGAGCACCGACCATTGTTCACGAGCACATCGATCCGGCCTCCCAGAAACTTGGCAGCTTCGTCGATTGCTTTCTGGATATCGTCGACGTTGCGTAGATCGCAAATCCTGAATCCCAACAGCTTGTCATCTGAATACTTTTGAAGGTGGTTCTTGACGGCATGTGTGAGCTCTTCTTGGTCGATATCCAGCACAAAGACCTTGTAGCCTTTCTCGAGAAAGCGTCTAACCAGGGATCGGCCAATACCTCGGGCGCCTCCCGATATAATTGCGGTTTTCAGCATGATTTGGATGTTCTCAACCTAGAACTTGCTGGTATTTGCTGACTGCATGTACCTTGCACATCGATGGTGGGAACATGAGGTGTAGCACTTCAGGAAGTTCCATCCAGTTGGTTATTACGCACGTCATAATGATCCGTCAAGCGTGCCACGCGAGGGGAGGTTGAATGGCAGGTGCCAGACATTACATACATGTACCTTACACGTGCATATAGCTGATAACCTTCCAAGGTTCTCAAGCGAGGTTTTGATGTTTGATATTCACACTGAGTGCCTGTAAACCTCGTTACCGATCACATCAACACATTACGGTCTGATAGAGTATGGTCTCTAGACGCTGAGAAACGCCATATCAGAAGCAGTGTCCATCCGACGCGAATCTCCTTCGTTAGTAGGCATTTTCTCTTCCTCTCTACAGGTTCTCATTGCATGCTGCAAGGGTTTGAGGTCCCAGTCTTCGTCTTGACAACGTTCGTCTCTTGTACGCTGGTGCTAGCACTTCTCGTGAGTCTCATCAGAGTCGCAACTTGTGAAAGGAATCTCCAGCCTTGTGAGCGTCCTGATGGGCGGCGGGCAAGTCCGCAGGAAAATGGACGCGCATACCGAACACGCCCAGGTCAGAAAGATCGGCTTGAGATGATTCAAAAGGGCAAGAAACTTTATGCGTCCGGTGCTTGCGGCCTATTCCCACGCGAGTCGCGAAACAAGATTGAGGACAAAGCTGCATCACCCGAGGCCCAAATAGTTGTTGCGACGAAATGGCAATATTGTTTTAGTATGGTACAAAGTGCTGATGGAGAGGGGTGACGCACAGGAGATGGTCCAGTTCGGGACGGAAAAGCTGTCGTCGCTCGGGAGACCCACTTTTTTGGCGCGCTGTGAGTGAAGGACCTCGGTCCAAGGCTCTCCCATCACAGAGATCTACCTCGTCTCAAAACCCCAGCTCGAGTCTTACAATGTAGTTTCGATACGGCATCGCCAGCAACATGGCGGGTCCCATTAGACAACCCATCAATCTGGACAATCTGTCCAAATATATCGATCAACACGCTCCGGAGATCAAGACTCCCCTGGACGTGAAGCAGGTAGCTCCACCCGGGACATCACTTACCTACCTACTACTACTTCTCACAGCAGCCAGGCCAACGCTGACACCACTCTTCACCACCTAGTTCGGCTATGGCCAGTCCAACCCAACCTACCTCCTCACCGACTCTACCAACTCCAAATATGTCATGCGAAAGAAGCCCCCGGGCAAGCTCCTCTCCAAAACCGCCCACCAAGTCGACCGAGAATACCGCATCATAGCAGCATTACAGCACACCGACGTTCCCGTCCCCAAAGCCATCTGCCTCTGCGAAGATGACAGCATCGTGGGCACACCCTTCTACATCATGGGCTTCCTCAACGGCCGCATCTTCGCCGATCCCGCCTTCCCCGACGTATCCGCCGCCGACCGCAACGCCATGTGGAAGAGCGCAGTGACGACTCTCGCCAAATTCCACAGCGTCCCGCCAGCTCGCGTGCACATGGAAAACTTTGGAAAACACAACAACTTCTACAATCGCCAGCTCAAAACCTTTGCTACCTTGAGTGTCGCGCAAGCACAAGCCACCGATCTCGATACGGGCGAACCCGTGGGTCCCATACCGCACTACGACGAGATGGTGGCCTTTTTTGGAAACCCCCGGACACAACCGCACGATCGGAGTACATTTGTGCATGGGGATTACAAGATTGACAATCTCGTCTTTCACCCCACGGAACCGTACGTGATAGGAATTTTGGACTGGGAAATGGCAACGATTGGACATCCGTTATCCGACGTGGCGAATTTGACGACGCCGTGGGTGTCGGCGTCGAGTTCGCTGGCGGAAGCGGCAGGGAAAGCGAATCAGGCGTTTCGAGAGGGTGTGACGCCGGGGCTGCCGAGCAAGGCGGACGTGTTGCGGTGGTATCATGAAGTGGTGAGCTGGGAATTCTCACAGCAGGAAGTGACGTGGGGTGATGCGTTTGGGTTGTATCGCGGAGCAATTATTTGTCAGGGCATTGCGGCGAGATATGCGGTACGGCAGGCGAGTAGCCCTAATGCGAGAGAGTATGGAGTGCAGATGCGGCCGATGGGCAACATGGCGTGGAATGCGGTGCAGAAGTTTGGAGAGCAGGCCAAGGAGGAGGAACAACAACAACAAAAACAGCAGCAGCAGAAACAGCACAGGGCGAAGTTGTAGATGCTTTTCTTCTTCTTCTTTTGCGAGCTTGGTATTCACAATGTACATCTTTCGGGGCGGCACTGTTGCCCCCCTTCCTCTTGAGTATCGCGACGGATTTCTTTTTCTCCATGACTACTCTCTCGCGTTGATCAAGAACAACCCAGGTATCGTATGAAGCCAAGAAGAAGAAGGAGATTCGATATCAGTACATGCACTCAGAAATATCGCACACAGACCTTGTATCAAGCCTCCTACGAAAAAAAACAAGGAAAAAACCACACAACCATCTACCATCTACCAACTGGTACCAGAAGAAGCACAAACCCACCCCCAATTAATTTAAAAGGGCACCTTGTAGTCCTCCGCATTCATCTGTTTCGGCCACACTCCATTCTTCCCCGGACTCAAAATCCCCTTGGGATCCAACGCCTCCTTGATCTTCTCATTCAATCGCAACTGCGCATGATCATTCCAGCTATACGTCTTTGCAATTTGATCCATGACAGCTAAATGGGTGCGATATTCGCCCCAGCCTCTCGCGACAGCGTCGTCGATCAAGGTCTTGATGAGCCAGTGTGCGCGACGTCTGCTCTCGGGATCTTTGCGGTTGAAGACGATGCAGACAATGTGGTGCATTTCACGCATACTAATCGAAACCATTTCCCTTCTCGTCAGTGATTATACGAGGTGGTGTTTGGGAAGCTCAGGTACTGTAGGTAGGTACCTCAGGTACTACATGTAGCTGTGTGGTTAGGGGAGGGGGGGGAGGAAGATTCTGCCTTACCCGATGACGAAAGTCCCGATAAAGTCGAAGCCGGCTTCTTCGCAGCGTCTGCGGGTGACTTCGTATTGGGCCACAGCGTCGTCGCCAGAGACTTTGGCGATGGGGCTGAAGAATAGGTGGGCTCCGTTGGGTAGCCTGGTCAAGATTTGTTAGCAATCCAAAAGTAACAAGGCATATATATATATATGCTGTGGGATCACTTTACCAGTCTACCCATTTGAGCTCGGTTGTAGTCGGAACTCCTTGGAGCGTGAGGTGTCGTGTTTGGAGGACAAGATTGTCCGGCATATCTTCTGGCTCGTAATACTTCGCACCCTCGATCGAAAGAAAAGACTGTTTGATGACGCTGAGCATGACTTGCCGCACTGGCTCGGGGCCATACACGGCACCATAGAAGTTCCATCTGCCAAGATTGAGCTTCTTCGCGATTGCATCCATCTCGTCGTCTGTGAGTAGTTCATCCGACTCTTTGTAAGCCTTTCTATTGCCCATGACTGCTGCGTCAAGAAGAATGTGTCGGATGGATGGAACGTTCTGTAGCACCATCCCTACGCGCAACGGTCTGATGATCTCGACTGCCTTGTGTAAGTCGGAGTCTTTTGGAAAGGTGATCAAGTAGGATTGGTAACCACCAGCTACACAAAAAGGTCAGCAGAGTCCACATGCACCAGGTCGTGGCCACTCACGATTCACCATCAACCAAATTCCCATCTTTACGACTATGCCCAGCGACGATTGCGTGAATATGCCATCGTTGTATTGGCCAAAACCATAATTGAACAGACCAAACGTCTCGTTCCAGGCTTGGTCTTCCGGTCTTGCATTCGGGTCCGCCTTGGGGTTTGGTAGTCCTCCCATTCCACTTCGCCAGAGACTGCCATCAGGCAAAACAACCTCCATACCACAGTGCATCATCCAGTGGTCTCCATAAGGAGTGTATCCAACTCCTCTTTCGACAGTATTGCCTATCACCGAGCCTCCACCAAGATCTGGCGTATCGATCCACAGCTTGTCTCGCAAGTTCTTTTCGACGAGGTAATTATGGAGATCCAAGAAGGTGACGCCCGGCTCCAAAACGGCATATGCACCGTCTTCATTCACTTCGAGAACTTTGTTCATGTTTCGCCCCATATCTAAGCCAATGCTGCCAGGAACCCTTGGTGCTGCACCACCATAGCCCACATTCCTACCAATGCTAAATGGCCACACTGGGATTTCGAATTCATTGCAGAGTTTCATGATTGCTTGCACTTCACCAACATTGCGGGGAGCGACTACAGCACTGCTCACGAAGTACTCCTTCTCTGTAATGTGGTACATCTGTCGAGGAATTAGCGAATGGGTCCATAAAGCACTAAAGGCTACAAGAATGGAGATTGCCGACATACATCATGTGCCTTGCTCGGATCCAAGTAGTCTTCTTGTTGGAGCTCAGCATCAGAGGAGACCACAGTGGCATTCTCTGTTCCCACAATGCCCGCGATGGAGCTCATGAAGTCGTTGAATTTCTCGAGACTGGTGTTCGGTGGCAATGTCAGTGGCGCGGTGTTAGTCCCGCCTCCAACAGGTGCCCGAAAGGCGATGGGCGCTTCGCCCTGTAGCTCGTCAATCTGCTTCATTGTCGATGAAGATGCGTGTAATGAGAGGGGGCTTTTCGCTTTTCCAGCTGGAGGGAGATTCACAGTCAAACGCAAGTGCCCTCGTGGGGATCAGATAGATGCTGTCAGCAACAGGAGGCTGTGATGAAGAGTTGCTTTTTCACAGCGAGATGCTGATCTACCTACGATCTTATTATACCACTACCAGCATGAGGCTGAGGTTGTTTCCCCGCATGCTGGCCATTGCCGAGCGCATCTTCTACTGTACAGACTCAGCTCCCAGACCACATGATCCCTGCCTGAGGTGTCCGAATACGTGGTGATCGTGGTCCATAGCAGGTAGCGGTGCGGACAGCTCTCGGCAAATCAGCTCGATGAAGGCTTGTAAGTACTGGGCTAGTTGGAATTTTCTTGCAGCATTTGAGTCTGGAGAGAGTTTCCCAGGCGAAGGCTTGGGCGCAGCACGATACCGTCGATACGACAATCGCAAATAGTGGTATCAGGTCCCGTACGTGCTTGCGCCGCCATGTTCACGAGGATCATGGGGGGCTTCGTCTGCAGATGACTGGCAAACGCGGCAAACATCCGCCAAGGCCAGGAATGACTCCACAGTCATTGGGAGGCCGGTGCTTCGCGTGATCAATAGGTAGAAGCCTAGGACCAGGAGGTAGGAAGTAATCCTTTTTCAGCTTTTCGTCAGAACTCCCAGACGCATCTCCAGAGTCTACTCCAGTCCCCACGCCGCGGGGATGCGGGGTGCAGACCGTGCAGTAGCAAGCACGGGAACTGTGCCCTGCCCTGCATGTGTCGTGAAGGTATTGTTGGAGATACCTATGTAGCAACCACATCTGGTGGCTGCAGAAGGCGGCCGTACCTCCAACCACTACCTGATCTCGGTCACGGTGGGTGTATACCGTACATGTACTGTACACCTCATGTCGGGTAATGATGAAAGGCCAACGCGGTCTCCACTAGCGTGACACTGACGCGAGGTCCCCGCCAAGAAGACGCGACTTTCGCAGGCATTGCTGAACAGGCTGACACCAACACCACTCCTGCTCTCATCATCACTCACGCTGTCACCAGAGCCAGACTGCAGAGCAATCATCCCCGTCCGACTCCCAGCTCGAGCACTCGGCATCTACTTCTCGTCTGCTTGCCGGACTATACATCGGCCTCTACCGCCCTCACAAACCATGTCTGCCTTCATCACCTTCCACACCACGACCATGAACCCCGCGAAGGCAATGCCAATGTAGGACGTCACTATACGCGAAGCCCTGTACGCTGTACGGAACAAAGACGTCGAGGCCAATTGGTCGGGAATGTGATTCAGCCGATCAGGGACACTCTATGAGAATGCAGTATATCGTGCTTCCGGCTGTGGTGCAATACAGGAGGAACTCGGGTGCCTGGCCGTCCAGCGCCAGGAAGTACAGCGACTTAATAGCAGTGTGGGTGACGCCTTGTAGAGGACCAGAGGTATGCGGGAGACCAACCAGGGTTCAATATCAGCAGTCTAGGGTCTTTGCTGGAGCAGACAATGCCAACGCAAAGCACTTCCATGACTCAAAAGTCTATGTTGCGGTACCGCACCGTTCTTGCCACTTGGGAGACCTCTCTTCGAGGGTTTTGATCTTGCCTGCTGCGAGCGCGATCAAATCAGGTGCTGATACAGAGAATGCAGCGTAAAGCATCAGCATGGCACTTCCACCCGTGCACTACCGAAAGCCCTAGGCATTGTGTCGCGGATTGCCACCAACCATTGTCACCAAGGTGAACAAGCAAAGCCTACCTAGTTATCAACAACAGCTTGGTGCGACGAAAGATGCATTCCTATCCCCCGTAGCACTTCACCGCGAACATGTCTCAACCGAGGCATAACAGAAGCACCACCGTCACCCACACACCAGGATCAATTGGTACTTCACAGTGCCCCATTACAGTCGCCACTGCCGATATCTCAGCACAGTACACTGGGTACAGTATTGCCGAAGCATAAAGTATGTCGGTATGTCCAGCCGGGGGGCAAAACCAAAATGCTGGAACCATACATCTGCTTGAAAATTCAGAGATTCTGCCCCTAGTCGGAAGGTGGTATGCGCAAAGGAACGTGAGTAAAAACGAGGTATGTGAGTACGCAGCTCAGCGGTCCTGCATTTCTCAAAGATGATCCAATTCCCACGAACGGGCCAGCACCGATCGAGTCTTCAATTGCCATGAGCTGGTCGTGTCGGCCTAATAATCCTCGCTTTGTCTGGCCATGCTTCTCGACTGTGTTTCTGATCATATCCACTTCTCCCTCCACAATATTGTCAGGTCGCTCTCTGTACGATGAATTTTTGCTTCTGTGCACCTCGAAAACCGGGCTACATATGCTGGCGGTGTTCGGTTACATGTTTGAATCATGATCTCATAGCTGTTGTTAAGAAGCATATATAGGTGGCCTTGAAATTAGGCGATTTGAAGACTGACACCGAAGATGATGCAGACCTATCTGCGGTGACCACTGTTGTATAGTCCAGAACTCTGCGTATAAGCCGAATCAGTTTATAACAGCACAAGCGAACACCTACGGCTTATAGCTTCAACTATAAGGACCCACATTTAAGCCAGAAGCTATAAGGAACAAGCGAACGCCCTCTTATAAACCCATGGTCTGACAGCCATCCACTAGCGTCCGCAAATATTGAGCCAATCGCCGCTGCTGCTGCAGTGCCGCCGCCCTTGCCAAGACACTCTCCGCCACGACACAGGAGGTCCCACGCGGAAGTCTCTGCCGCGAGGGTCCCGTCTTGAACCACCACCTGCATCGAACAGCCAGACAGACACCACATGTAACTTCGCGTACAATACTCGGACCTCTCCATTCTACGGACTATGAGGCGGGATGATTGGGATTGCGCCAATGTGACCACACAAATCGAAGGTGGTCGGTCTGTGATCACCCCGTTACAAGCCGTTCGCTGGCGACCAGCAATGTCTCACAAAACGCGGTTCTCGAATCTAACCATCGGAAGATTCTAATCATTCTAGCCAGACGTCGTTGCCCATCTCGACCGCTGCCACGGTAGTGACAAACAGCCACTAGAACTCTTACACCCTTTCCGATACATGTATGGAACAACGTGGCGAGGTCGGCGGCTCGTTACTAGCCAGCACTTAGGAGGTACCATCAGATTGGCATTCTGCCATGTGGCAGCTATGTCTGGAAACTCTTGTTGCCTGGCCGTTGAAGCACGATACTTGCCACGAATACAATCTCTGTAGCCACACCCAACCTTCAGAGTCTGATAGCGTAGGTTTCGAAGTATTTAAGCTGACTAGTAGCACGCATGAATCGTCCTCTCACACCATTCCTCTCGTCTCATCTCAAGCAAAACGTACATACCACTCATCATGAAGTACATCAACATCTTGTCTCTGGCGACTCTAATCACAGTGTCATCTGCACGCCCGGGGCGGCTTTTGCAATACTCTGAGAATACCACATCAACAGCTAGCGACATCACATCTCCAGGGCCAGACTTCAACTTTTCACAACAAACTACCAACGACTCATTCATAAGGTGCGCTTCGCATCCCACAGAAGCGCAACGTCAACTACTGGACGTCTTCTCGGAATCACAGCAAGAGACGACTAGAGTTCTGAACCACGTCGTAAACGTTTACGTCCACATTGTGGCATCTCAAGCCAAGCGATCACAATACAACAACGCCATGATCCAAGATCAACTCACGATCATGAACGACGCATTCGCCTCAACTGGTTTCTCGTTCGAACTTGTAGGCTTCGACATCACGGTACAAGAAGTCTGGGCCAAAGCGGCTGCTGGATCTACCGATGAACTCACCATGAAGAAAGCTCTTCGCCAAGGCAACTACCAGGCACTGAATCTTTACTTCTTGTCTGACCTTGGAAACGGAGTGCTTGGATTCGCATACTTTCCCACTACGAATGTGTCTGATCAGACGAAGACACTAGACGGCGCCGTCCTCCTTGCCGACTCTCTGCCCGGAGGAAGTGCAACTAATTATGATATGGGATTGACAGCAGTCCACGAAGTCGGACATTGGTAAGTTTGAACGCACTCGAGATCGCAGTTGAAGAAGCAGCTATTGATTCACGTTGTGACAGGTTCGGCTTGTACCACGTCTTCGAAGGAGTCGCTTGCGGTGACGCACAGGGTGATCGAGTTGGCGATACTCCGAGACAATTGACAGCAACTTATGGATGTCCCGCATTCAAGGATACCTGTCCGGGTATCAAGGGAGTGGACAGTTTTAACAACTATATGGTAAGAAGGGCTTTCTTTTTCCGGCTGCGCTGCAGCGGCGAGTTTTGCTGCGACAGGTTCTAATATTGTGCCCAGGATTACTCGTATGATGCTTGTCAATTCAAATTTTCGTCTGGCCAAGGGCGAAGGATGAGGACGTTGTTCAATTCGCTGCGAGGAGCAGTATAGATTACGGCATTTGCATGTTCGGCGCTGGGACAGAGAGGCATAGATGGAAAGAGAACGTAAGGTACCTACAGGATGTAGTAATGATTAATGAGTGGTATGACTTCAATGTTTGTACGCCCGTGCGACGATAGGTACCTTAAGGATAGATGTAATGAACAGATTTCGAGAATTTCTTTGCGGCTTTATTCACAACCGTCTCAGTACCTCACTTAGCCTAGAGATTCCGTCTTACCATGCTGTCGACTGTACTACTAGTAGGAACTGTAGTAGTACAAATCCGACGGGGCTGAGCGCAGCCTACCACCAATGAGAGAGTTCGCTTGGCAAAGCTTAACAGCAACGCCACGCGCGACTCCTTGTCGTTCGCGTCTTCCTCGCGAAACACTTTACACCACCGTCCATTTCCAGTATCACAAGGGACATCTTGGTACGATGGGTGCCCTTAACTTGGCCGAATGGCAGAGACTGCCAGTCTCCCTCTCCGAACTCTGCATCAACACGACACTCCGCTGTGGTCAATCTTTCCGCTGGCGCAAGAATGACCTGGGAGTCTGGTCCATCGCTCTGCACAATCGGATACTGTCTCTACACCAAGACAAAGACTATCTGTACTATCGCTCAATACCGCCCTCTCTAACCAAGATCAAGCTAGAAGCACCACCCACGCCCCCATCATCGAAACCTCCAAGCCTGCCAGAAGAGGGCGACATGGACGACGATACCCTGGACTTAGTACGCCACTATCTCAACCTGTCGCCGAACTCAATAGAACTATACAAGCAATGGTCTGCCAACGATGCCAACTTTGCTCGGCGGGCTCCAGCTTTCACAGGCATCAGAATCCTTCAACAGGATGCCTGGGAAGCTCTGGTTGGCTTCATCTGCTCCTCGAACAACAACATCAGCCGAATATCCCAAATGGTGCATAAACTCTGCACGAACTACGGACCCTACCTCGGAACCTTGGACGAGGAAGCATACCATGACTTCCCTTCTCCAAACGCTCTCGCCGTTCCAGGTGTGGAACAAACCCTTCGAAATCTAGGCTTTGGCTATAGAGCAAAATACATCGCAACCACAGCCAGACTCGTCTCAGAGAAAGAAGATCCCAACTGGTTAGACTCTCTCCGAAATCCGGCGTCGCCATCATACCTGAACAGCAACATCAAATCCCCGTTACTGTCCGGAGAAGAAGAAGATAATGGCTACGACGTCGACCCCGGAGGTCGACCAGGGTACCGAGCCGCTCACGAATCTCTCCTCACCCTACAAGGCGTTGGACCCAAAGTCGCAGATTGCGTCTGCCTCATGGGTTTAGGCTGGGGGGAGGCTGTACCCGTGGATACCCACGTCTGGCAAATCGCACAGCGAGATTATAAGTTCGGCAAAGGCAAACACGCGAGTTTGACGAAAGTGACTTATGATGCTATCGGAGCAAAGTTCAGATCTTTGTGGGGGAGAGAAGCGGGTTGGGCACAGTCGATATTGTTCACGGCGAACCTGAAGGCTTTTAGCGAGAGGGTTGTCGCGAAGAAGGAGGAGGTGGTGGTAGCGATGGATCTTAAAAAGGAAGATGGCACGGAGGATGGAGAGGGAGAGGTTGTGAGTGTGAAGAAGGAACGGGTGCTCAAGCGGGAGTATGTTGATGATGAAGAGAGCACGGTGCTGGAAGTGAAACACGAAAAGAATACGAGATCGAAAAGGAAGAAGAGGAAGAATTGAACCATCCGACAATTGCTGCAGTCGCACATCGGATCTTTAATTCAACTCTCCTCCACAGGCTCTTGAAGATGCTTCCAATCTATAATGTCCGCCACACTCTCCAGTGATACCTTAGTAGCAACCACCCGGTGATGAGGCAACGAGTCGCATGCACGACTTTAGTGCATCGCTAAACTCGTCTGACAAGTCCACCCGCTAGCGTTTATGGAAGCGACCCAATCGATATGAGTGCAGAACTTGTTGCCTTGTTGAATCAGTGAACGATTAAAATTACATGTTTGATCGAGGCGTGCGGGCTGCCTTTGAGTGAAAATTTAAAAAATATAGCCGGCTGGCTTGGGGATTAGGTAGGTAATGTACCTTAGGTACCTAGGTAGGGTAGCTTCGAAGCTATACGTACCTTATAGCTACCTTAGTAGACACGACCTGAGCAAGTGAAAGCGCGCGCTCTCTCTCTCCGCTGCAATGATTCCGACTCTTACCTACTGCAGTAGATAACATTACACAAGATTGACATTGCTGCGTGAGCTTCCGAGGACAGACTGGTCCTGTCTTTCATCCCTTGTGGACTTGGCGTCCATTATTTCATTCAGGTACCTAAGGTACATACCTACCTCTTATATATCTTGTGACTGAATGCAGTCAGAACATACCTTATCCTAGCAATGTGGCCCGAGGAAGAAAGATCTGACGTGTCGCTGCTGGTTCGCATAGGTAGGGGAGGTCAGGGGTGATAGTGGTTGATCATCTTTGGGCATTGCTACGGAGGGTACATAGAGTATCTGTATCTGTATCACTTGTGTCGAATGATTATACGGGTAGGCGTGCTGCGCCGACCACCGGCAACTCAGCTCATTCAGCACGATATGCTCTCGTTACGGTGAAATGCGTGCCTACGCGATATAAATGACTCGTGAGACGTGTTGTATTCTACGTTCATGATGCGCGTTGTTATGTAAAAGTGAAGACACGCTAGAAGATACCTTATACTTCTACGGGGGCGGGCAGGAGCTCCCTAGGTAGTTTACCGCCCAGGTGCTGTGCCGCAACCGCAGCATGTAAGGCTGGCTTCGACAACCTCAGGTATGGACATCTTGCGCGGGGTTATTGGAAAGGTTGGGAGTTGATCTCGATGCATGTACGAGCGTAGCGGAGGGCGTTGACCTCGTCGAATACTTCGTCGAAGCGTCGCAGGTCAATCATCTCTATCGTTGTTTTCTTTGGCTTGCTGTACGGTTCATGAGGTGAAACGAGTGGTCCCTCCTCCTGAAATGTATTAAAGAAGAAGATCTCTCGTCATGTGCGGTTCATATTCGCAGAGTAGCTTCCATATCAAAAGGCCGATAGAGGGTGTATTTCTGCCACCAAGTCAATTGCCCGAATCATTGCAAAATTGATTACTGAGCACTGTGACTCCGCCATTCTTCGATCTGAATTTCGTATTCCAGTGCGTGTGGCCAAAGATCCAATGTGTGACGTTCTCGGCTCCAGTCCAGGTGCTCATTTGCTGAAGAGTGTGGCTCGAGAAACATTGACTGACTGCGTTGTTTGTATGGAGAGGGTGGCAGGTATTTTCAAAAGCTAGCGCATAATGAGTGACTACTATGACTCTCCGACGACGAGTAGATTCCTCTGCGATCGAGGCGATGGAAGTTTTCAGCCATGTTGAATCGCGTTAATGTTCCTCATTATGCTCTCTGACCGTCCTGTTTGTGATGTGTTGAAAATCGTTAGTTAACTTGGTATAGTCCGGCGCAATATGAGACTGAAGCGTGCAGGCCAATACCGTAGTGTCGGATCCGGAGAGATCTAGCCTGGTGCGATTCAAAAGTGGAGTTTCCTATTCATTGCTTTCATCTTGAACCCAAATTTGCGCGATATTGAGACCTTCCTCGCCAGAGGTCCCGTAGAATTCATGATTGCCGGCAATCAGCAGTACCATATCGAATTGTGCACATTGTTTCACTAGGAAAGCTCGGTAGGCTTCTTGGTCGCAGAAACGGCCGATATCTCCAGCGAGGATTAGAATTGGTGCGACTCTTGTGATTTCGAAGTCGTACTTGACGCGTTCCAGATGGAGGTCTGACATGTATTGCAGCGATGATATTCGCGTCGCGTCATCGTGGCTAGACCGACCATCGTACGCTTGAAAGGGATACATGTGCTGCGCAGAAAGAGTTTGTAGACTTGTTCTGTGGAGGTGAAGGTAAGTCAGAAGTGGAGGTGGAAGTCAAGTACATGTAGCGAAGACATATACGTAAGCACTTCGGACCTTGCTCCTCACTGTCAATGTACATAGAGAGTACGTAAGTAGGTAGGTAGTGTCAGAACGAACTTCTCCGAGCGTTCTTTGTAGCAAGAGATGTCTCCGTGAACAGCAAAGTCGCGATGCCCTATCTCCGTGCTGCTCTCTGTTCCAGTCGGACTATGCGGATGAGTCAAGGCAATGAGGTCTAGGCAGGTCAATAGGTCACTAGAATGGACTGAGCCATCCATCAAGACTAGACGTCGAAGTTGAAAGGAACAACAGAGACTCTCCAAAAATATCATAGCTTTGACTTCCTCATCCCTGGCAATAGTCATACAACGTTCTTAGCGAGCCATTTCTCCCAGTCGTCCTTAGTGAAACTCGACGAGATGCTGTTATCCGGATATCCCTATAACACAGCTGTCAGTCTACTGATGATATCGCCACGGGGAGAAAAAAAAGGCATCGACATACATTGAACATTACTGTCGGCGTAACGTGAACACCTTGCAGACGTTGCGCTTTGACCAGAAGCTTGATATCATTCGTGACTGCATTGCCGCCATTCAAGCCGCCGTCTTTATCTGGCTTGTCTGAAATTTCGAGGCGACTATAAATGTCCTTCTCGTTCAAACCAACAGACGCAGCAAGCTTCGCCAGTCGCTTATAAGTGTCATTGCGAGTTTCGTTGACGACATTGGCATCGAAGTACTCAGTCTGCTTGGCGAACAAAGCTTTACTGAAGTCCCAGAATTTGTCGGGATTGGTTTGGAGAACTGCTACGCCTGCTTCGTGGACCAGCGTGGACGAAGGGTGCCAGGGCTGAATCTGTTGCCGGAAGATGACTTGTAACTTGTCTGGGTACTGACTCTTGAGGATGGGGAAGACTTCGGCATAGACTGTATCGAATTGCTTCTTGGAAAACGGGCAGACGTAGTCGAGAACTGCGTTCGCTCTGATTAGCGATGTTATGGGACGTTCTCGACACAAAATCGATGTATGCCACCTACACAGCTCCAACGTGTGGAGAGTTGCTGGCGAGGATGTCGCCGCAAATTTCTGACCAGCAAACTTGGGTGCGAGCGCCATGATTGTGTGAGTCTAGATGGAAATAGGCTGATTTCTTGTGCAATGGCGAGATGAAGAGTCGCTGTCGATAGTGTCGTTATGTAGGTATCGTATGTATAGGTATGTACCTACCTACATTCAACCATCTTGAAGCCAAATTGCATCATACCATAGATCTTGGCGGTTGGTTCCGCGACAGATCCGGGTAACGGGTCCCGGCAACAGGTGATGTGTGGGGCGCATTCGTTCTGAGGTCCCACGCACTCATTACTAAGCAGTTGGCGTGCATGCCATGACTGAACGAGTGCATATTGGAGTTTACGAGTGCATTGCAGCCTCAGGCAGGAGGATCCGGGATGCCTTGGCAGGCAACGAGCGCGCGTCACCTGTACACGCGTGCACCTGCCGCGACTCAGTGGACGCTGTGGATCCTCAGCGCGTCCTCCCAGACGCGTCGTGCACTCCATCTCGCCACCATCATTCGCAATTCCCTACTTACGAACACTCCGACCATTTCTCCATCTCTTCGCCACCCATTTTTCTTATCGCCATGAACGCAGCCTCAACATGGGTATTGAAGCACTCCCACAAGCTACAGTGAGAGTGCTGGGAGCATCACAAGTCCTCACTGATCCTGCTGCTGTTGTCAAAGAACTGCTCGATAATGCATACGATGCCAATGCGACCTCAATTGCTGTGGAAATACATAACAATACCATCGATGTGATTCAAGTCCGCGACAATGGGCACGGCGTTGCACCTCAGGATCGACCATTGATAGCGAGGCGTTACTGCACCTCGAAAATATCTCATGATAGCGAGCTCAAAGATATTGGCGGCTCCTCACTCGGCTTCCGTGGAGAAGCGCTTGCGAGCGCTGCCGAGCTGAGTGGATCACTTACCATCAGTACTAGAATCGAAGGGGAGCAAGTGGCGGCGGCGCTCAAGATCAGCCAGAATGGCGAAGTTGTTGGCCAGGAAAAAGCTTCTTTGCCTGTCGGCACCACAGTCCGCATCACTGACTTCATCAAATCGAATCCTGTGCGTCGGCAAGTAGTGCTCAAGGGCACTGAGAACTGCCTGAAGAAGATCAAGCGTACCTTGCAGGCCTACGCATTTGCGCGACCACACGTGCGACTCTCTCTGCGCGTGCTGAAGGCGAAGAACACGAAGTCTGACTGGGTGTATGCTCCGAAGTTGAATGGTAACGCTGAAGATGCCGCTTTCAAGGTTGTGGGCGCAGCTTGTGCCTCGCAGTGCATGTGGTCTGTCCTAGAGTCCGGCGGCTTTTCCTTTCACGCTTTTCTTCCTTGTTTGGACGCTGATCCCAGCAAGATAAGCAATGTTGGACCATTCATATCTGTGGATTCTCGACCTGTGTCAGCTGCTCGAGGAATCTTCAAGCAGGTATCCAAGATCTTCCGGGAAGCATTGAAAAGTGCCGCAGCCAGCCTTGTCGATCTCAAGGACCCATTCCTCTACCTTGAGATTCAGTGTCCGCGAGGCAGCTATGACGCCAATCTTGAGCCAGCAAAAGATGACCTCCTGTTCGAGGACGCCGACGTTGTGATCGACACGGCGCGTAGACTGTTCGCTATGGCGTATGAGCGACAATCGACTGGAGCTCAGTTATTGCGTCCAGAAACTGCCGATATGCCTAGGCAGCAGTTGCAGCAAGATCTGGATAAATCTGCCAGCAATATCCCAGACCGAACGTCTCCTGGACAGGCACAACCCGAAGACCTTGGTGCATTCGCCGATCTGGAGAGTGGGAATGGAGTTCATGACCCTGCCAGCTCAATGGACTGCAACGAGGAGCTGCCCACTAGTAGTACCTATAGGTCGAACATGTATGGCTGCGACGAGGAAGACCTTGGAGTGCTAGACCAACGTACTTCTACGAGTCACAGTGGAGCCGACTTTGCAGAACTGCGGCGCTTAAAGGACGATGTGACGGTAAACAATCCTTGGATTGCAGCCAAGCTGAACGCGTCTGTACGACGTCCCATGCCAGTAGCGGAAGATCAAACATATCTTCGCAATAGGAGCATCAATGCCGAATTGACGACTCCCGTAACCTCAAGCTCGCCACTCAAACAGGGCACTATCGCTTCAGCAGCACTCCCAACGCCTCGGCCTTCCTCTCCATCTCCTGCGCACAATGATGGATTCAATCCTTCGGATCATGTCCCAGACATCCGTCTGGCGCGAGATGGCAGAGTGATCGGCTCGTCAGCGCTCGCGCGACCAGAGCCGTATACTCCGATGTCTTCGGCTAGCACATACAGACATCCGGAGTACAACTACGCTCCGACCTCTGACAATTCTAGAGGAACCCCGCTCGAAGCGATTCCCGACATTAGCTCGAAACCTCGTCGTAACCCACGCAGGGGTCCGTACCAAGGCCAAACGAACAGGCCATTCGTATCTCCAATGACGGATCAGTCTTCACGAGAGAAGGTATGGTTTGACCACTTGCAAGGCGCCGACCGGCCGCGTGCTCCATCGACAAAACGACGAAAGAACGCGTTCAATGATCACGGCGGCCTTGTAGTACAAGGGGAACTGGGCGATTTGGTCGAGGACCCGAGACCAATGACACCACCCCTACGGAACCGCGACATCCGAGACTTCGTCGGCAGGGAGGAGGATGCCTCAGTTGGGTCGATGATAGCGCACGACAATCGCACTCGAGCGGAATCTGCTCTTCGCGTCCCCAGATCGGAGCGTGAGGTGCTTGACTTGAGTGGAGATGATGCAGCTGACGGAAGACCTCATCAAACGCTAGACTTCGTTCCCGCAAGCGAGATTTTGGGTCTGAGCGAGCGAATGGGCTCACAGGACCAGATGTTCAAGCGCGTGCTCAAGCGGCGCAAGACCAGTGAGAAGAGAGCGCTACAGGAAGTCGATCTCAATGCTGTGTCGCATGAGCCTTCGAAAGATCGCACAACATTCGATGAAGAAGAATACCAGCCAGCAGCCGGCAAGCGTACGCGATCCAGACGAAAGAGCTCCAGTAAACTTGGTCGTACCAAGTCTTCGAAGCTTCCACTCGAACGCATACCTCCCGGGAAGGGTACACATGATCTGGCAGTCACTTGTTCCACATCATCGCAGAACATCTCTCGCATGACAGAGAAACCTCATATCGCGAATGCACTGCTTGGGTTCAACGAGCCTGCTCTCCCAATGGCTGACGGCATGGACTCTGCATCATCTCATCTACTGTCCCTTGCAGCCAATCTACATGGCCTGCTCGTGAGCGCTGGAGGTGATGTCGACAGTCCAGGACCTGCAGCATTGCTTTCAGAAGTAAAGGCGGCCTTTGCCGAAAGGAGGGAAGTGCACGAGGACGAGATGTTGATGCCGTCTGGTACATGATATAAGGTATCGTCCGTTCCGCATTCGCACGATACTTTGCTTGCTATGGCGTTTCTTGACTTTTAGCGACGGCGTTGCTTCATGGTGGCGGACGATGGCACCCAGAGTCGCTTTGTGAATTCTCTAATGTTCATACCTATGTACACTAGGAGGTACCTTTGCTCAACTAGGGACTGAGCGTATACATACATGTACCTTACCTCCCTAGGTATGGAGTGATCATCTGCACTCGCTTGCCGTGTGTGAACTTTCCTCGTCAGCAAGAACAATTTCGCCTCCAACTTCTCGAAACGGAGGCGCACTGGTAGCCTTCGTTTCACTTGTAAGACAGAAAGGCCGCTTTGCCTTGAACAGTGTACGACTGCTTGCTGAGCCCATGAAAAGCAGGTGGAGGACGATGCAGTGAAGCAGAATTGTGGAGAGCGGAAAGATGTGACGGGACGGGAGCCCGGCACGGCGCGGACAGGGTTGGAGGGTTGAGGGGGTCTCTTGACGCGTTGATAACGCGAACACCATCCGGGTCCAGCATCTCGCTTCACGCGAAACATCGACACCGCGACAATATCGATACCTACTGAATGGCTCCGTGCCACCGGCAAGTGCTACGACATGGTGACTCGGCCCGCTCGAGCCGGAGCTGGTGGTGGTGCTGGAGCAAGTGAGAATGGAGACGCGCTGGCGCAACTCGACCTGGATCGCAACCGCAACAACCAGAAGCTCAAGTCCCGCTTCGAGCACATTTTCCGCAAATACGAACACGACTTCACGGGCATCGGCGACGAGTTCGATATTCACACTGACCAGATTGTCGTCAATAATGGCCACCTGGAGCACATGCGCAACGAAGCCGACGCGGGCACTACAGCATCATCACACTTCGTTAAGACGTTTCGGGAGAAACTGGCGCACGAGGACGAATCGGTGACCTCGGAAGACGACGAAGACGATGAAAATGAGGATGATGGCAGCGACGGCAGTGATGGCAGTGATGATGGAAGTGATACAATCTCTGACGGGACAGATGCTGAGGACATGTCTCACGCGACGCCTGCCACAGGCCGACTCAAAGTAAGCGAGAACCAACTGTTCAAGCAGCACGAGCTCGAGTCGAGTGATTTCATGGCCCACCAGCCTACTCCACGCCTGCCGCAGCTCTTCAGACTTCTTGCTGGTGCGGGTACCGCTGAAGAACCGCTGGAGGTGCCGGACGATGAAGACACTGATGTCAAGCCGGTGTTAGAATTCAATGCGCGCGATTCATCATCCTCCACATCTGAGCATGTATCAAACACAGTGTTCTCTTCGTCTGCGGCGGCCCTTGCTAGAAGTAAGCGACCAACGAAAAGTGACGACACTGTCCATGCGTTAGGCATGACCATAGCGTCCCAATTGGCTAGGTTGATGGGTGCTTCGACCAAGAAAAAGTCCAAAAAGAGAGCCACTGTTATGCATGGCGCCATGGATCCCGTTTGGGACTATCCTGAATTGACACAGACAAAAAGAACAAAACGTAAGCGTAGTATCTCTCCAGAGCCGCCACGGCCTCATTCAGCTTCCTCGCCTCACACGTCCTCACCGGAAGGCCCCTCGTTATGGGCTGTGCACGACGCAACGCAGCCAGGAAAGCGCAAACGGCGAGAAAGCGCTGCTCACGGTGTAAAGCCATCCCTTCATAGATTCGGCAATGCAACAGACTCTACTGACGGTAAGAGGTGCTGGAACTGTAGCTTGACAAGATCTCCAAGCTGGCGGAAGGGCCCTCATGGCCAAGACCTTTGCCTACCTTGCGGCCAATACTACGAGCATCATGGGCGCATGAAGGGCTTTGACTCTGCATCTCCCCCTACGCTTGATCACGAGGGAGCGGAAAATTTGAGACCGGAAAATGCACCGCAGTGTGAGCCTGTGACGGCACTGGAAGTTTCTGAATCCTTTCAGCATGGCCATGGCGGTTATAATGATGGTGATGATGATGATGACCCTGTGATACAGCACAAGCACAGAAGCTCTCTTGATCAGATGCCAAGGCCTCCAGCAAAGGCGCAAGAGAATGAGTCGACTACTCCAAGCATACCGTACCAGGCAAACACTTCTCGGCCCATGGTGTCTAGCGAGATCAAGCGAAGGACCATTGCACGATGGACAGTTGAGGAGGATGCCTTGCTCATACGACTGAAAGAACATGAGCACCTCAGCTGGGATGAAATTTCACCTCACTTCCCCAGCAGAAATACATTTGCGATACAAAAGAATTACAGCAGCAGATTGAGAGGAGCCCACTGCCCAGGTCGGAAGCTGTTCCATGATCAGCTGGGAAATAATGCGGATGCGTCAGAGACTGAGAACGAGACCGGGGACTATGATAATCAGAACCTGAGTTGGAGTGCGCAGCAAGACGAGCTGCTTGTCGTCCTGCGAGATGACGATGGGCTCCAATGGGTCGAAATTGCAGACCTCTTACCTGGCCATGACCCAAAGGCGGTAGAGCGACGATACATGTTCCTAACGGAGTCAATGAAGAAACGAGGTGTGCCAGATTCTCTCGAAAGCAAGCTCGCGAAGCATTCTCATGTCGCGTCGAGCGGCCTTTCATCCATGCCGCAGCCTGATCCATCCTCGCCTCCCATCGGGGTGTCCACCGCACTTAGCATCAGTGCCTCGATGCCATCTAGCTCTCGTAGATCTGGCAATGCGCTACTCCGACAGGCACTAGGGAACAGCCATCGTCGTACCTCATACTTGGATTCTGTCCCCGTTCGTGCGCCACTTGATCAAGACGTGGCGGTGAGCGGATCGTCCCCTGCCTCAGATGTTACTCCACACAACATTGACGATGATAACGATCCAGTTGACTCTCTGGACCCTCAACGTGCCTGGTCCTCGGCCGCGGCATCGTCACAGCTAGACATGGACATGCAGCACGCACAGGCAGATACTATCAGCGAGAACGATGTTGCTGAAAGTGTCGGCGGTCACCAACGGACTGCGTCAAAAGGCGAGGAGAAAGGTGTTGCCCAGCATAATGGTGACAGGAGGAAGTCATCTAACAGCGACGGTCGTGGCAAGAGGCGTTCTGCGTCCCGATCTGTGTCTATCGATACGGAGCCCGATGTACGCGAGGTTCTTATTCGTAGCCGCGGCGATGAGGAGCAGCCACCCGAGAGTACAGCAGACGACGACATACTCAGCTTGGCACGACCACCCGATCTTTCATGGGAAGAGATCGTCGGTAGGGCTTTCAGCTCCACTAAAAGCAAGAGCATGCCGAATCGAGAACTTTTCGCATGGATCGAATCGAAGTACGGATACTACAGCACAGCGCCACCCAGCTGGAAGAACCACGTTCGCGAAGAGCTTCGCAGAAATGATAGGTACGAAATTGATACTGCCCGGAGGCGAAACAATGTATGGCGAATAAGGCAAGACGCGGATGATCTTGTGGACATCGATGCCCAGGACCACTTGGACGTGCCTTCAGGTTCACTCCATGAGGCCAATCCCGACATGCCTGTGCCGGATAAAGATGGAACGGTAGCCTCTGGCAGCACCTCATCCCAGCAGACTTCTCACTCAGCATCACGCCATGTTACTTTCTCGCCCGTTGTGACGGTCTCGACGCCTATGCGGGTTGAAAGAACGAGAACTCGTGGCAGACCAAAGAAACGAAGTTCATTGCCGATTTCTAGCTTGGAGCGACCCGCAGAAGTGCTGGAGATCGCAGACAGTGACCCCTCAGAAGCGTCCGTTGCTCCAGAGTCCTCGCAAGATACGCATGCAAACCACAGCAGCATCGCAGCATCTGCATGTGCAATCACTCCTCAAGTTGCTAAGCAACCATCAGGCATCAACAGCGAGCCTGAGACGAAACCGCCACTCGAATCTCCGGCGGAACATGAGCCACAGGCTGAACAACCTCTTTTGAGGAAACCCCTCGCCAGAGCCGCAGGGACTAACAACGCAGGACAGACTTCCAGTTCACCAGTGGCCATGAATCGTGCAAAAAACCGTGCAAATGTTTTCCAGACGCCGAAGCGGCCTGACTGGCCTCCCTTAGCAACGGCGAGCTCACAGAGTGATCCAGCGAGGGGGCATAGCACGCGTGTCATCAATCATAAGATCATAACACCCAATCCAGGATCGAGAAAGCGAGTCGTGGAGACACCGCTTCGAGAGTTGGGGGATCCCGACGAGGACGAGCTGGCAGGATAAGCTAAAACGAGTGTTCAGCAGTAGAGATGGCTATGCTCGACGAGTATATCACGCAACATGTAGATCTCCAGGAGAAGGAAGCCTCGGAATGCATAGCATGAGATGCTGACAGGTCTTTCACTTTGTACCTGTAGTGCATATGTACATCGAAGACTCTGCTGCTGGAAGTTATCTTTCACTGTGTCCATACGTGACAATGTAAACTATATCTATCTATACTCTCAGCGATTGATGTTGGACTAGTCGTTGGACTGTTGGACTCCTGCAGATTGGATACTCGCCTCCGATCGGCCTGGCGAGGAGATAGATAGGCCAACAGAAGTTTAGTGCTATCATCATCCTCTCATGCACGACCTACCTCTCGTCGAAGACGTCAAGATAGCGGATAGGTAGCCCAGCGGCCGCCGGCCAGGCAATGAACTGCATGGATTCAGCGAGCTCTAGCTTCCAAGCTCTCGAGCTTCAAACTTACGATACATAGATGAATCTTCACGAATACATAAAACTTCTCATCACATATCTACAATCGTTGTGTGTGGACGACAGAGACGGACGGACAGACTACTCATTAGGAATTCACGCACACACACGGCTTCTTCAAGGAATATTCTCACCTACCTTACCTTACTCACTCACCTACCTCTTACTTACTTGGTAGCATCCATGTCAACAACCATGCCATCACCACCAGCACCAGAAACATACGTGCCCCATCCCACATTCCACTACGATCGCGATTTCCGCGGATATGGAGAGCAAGGTCTTCAAGGACTACAATGGCCGAATAAAGCCAAGATCGCAGTTTCGTTTGTGATTAATTATGAAGAAGTTCGTTTGATTTTACTTTTACCTTTCACCTTACCTCGAAACCCCATCATTTCGCTAACTTGTTCCCTTTTCTTTTTTTTTCCCCTTTTTTCGCAGGGCGGTGAACGCAGCGTCCTATCCGGCGACGGCCAATCCGAATCCAACCTGACGGAACAACCGAGCAAAGCAGCACGGATCAATGAAAGGAATTATCAAGTCGAATCTGAATATGAATATGGATCTCGAGCGGGGTTTTGGAGATTGTTTCGGCTGTTTAATAAATATCACATGCATTTCACCTTGTATGCCGTGGCGCAAGCCGTCGAGGAGCTGCCTGAAGTTGCGAAGAGGTGTGTGGAGATGGGACATGATGTGGCCAGTCATGCGTATCGATGGGTTGAGTATCATGATATGAGTGTGGAGGAGGAGACGGAGTGGATTCGGAAGGCGCTGGTGAGCTTGAAAGGGTTGACGGGCCAGGCGCCCAAAGGGTGGTATTATGGGAGGGCATCACCGCGGTCGAGAACGCTGGTGCCACAGGTGTATGAGGAGATGGGGGAGAAGTTGGTTTGGATGTCGGATTCTTATGCGGATGATGTGGGTGGTCCGCAGATGTACCTATCGGTTGTGGTGGCTGACTTCTGATAGGTGCCGTACTGGATGGATCGTCCAGATGAAAAAGATAAACCTGATGCAAAGGGCATACTGATGGTGTAAGTTACAATCTGGTGGCGCACCGATCTTCTCTAGGGTACTAATGTTTTGCTAGGCCTTACTCCTATGCAAACAACGACTTCAAGTTCCATACGGCAGGATCAGGCTTCCGTGACCCTCAAGGATTTTACATCCACCTTAAAAATGCCTTTGACATGCTATACGAGGAGGGAGAGGAGGGTTCGCCAAAGGTGAGTCTCGCTTGACCAAATGGACTTGTGGTTTCGATGCTGACTGTAATAGATGATGACAATAGGACTTCATTGCCGGATCATCGGTCAACCAGGCCGTGCGAAGGCGCTGAAAGACTTCGTGGACTACATCAGCAAGAAGGAAGGCGTCTGGGTCGCTACTAGGACGGAGATTGCTGAAGCCTTTGCCGAGCAGTTTCCGTATCAGAAAGGGTTTCTGGCAAAGGCCAAAGAGTAGCCAAGCGGATGATGTGCCGGATATGTATATCGTCAGTGTACCAGTTTCAATTCTGCATACATGTCGCTGGACCTTTCTGGAACGTCGTTTTTGGAAAGGTTTGGATTTCGTTAGATCGTCTGTCATCACCACTGCACGTAAATGGCCCGTTCTATCGGCTCTCTTGCAGACTCCCAGGCTAGCCAGTCTGACCTCGTAGTCCTATAGCGATATTAGCACGCGCATTCACTTCGTCACATCGACCAGCTCGAGTTCATGCAAGGCTATACTTACGGCAAGAGCCCCATAGCATTAACCTTCCATATCCCCAAAGCTAGCGCGAGCAGATTGCACCCAATGAATGCCAACTTCACCATGATCATCTGCTCTTTATTTCCCGGGCTCTCCAATCTCGAGAAAGTGTTTTGTATGTTTAGCACCGCTTGTATCGGTCCCTTGAACAACATGAAGACCATCATGATGCTGAAGATCTGGAGGCCATTGCCCGTCATGTACATGCCTATGGCGTTCATGGGCAGCTGTTTGGCGGGCGCGAGGGCCAATTCCCACGCCTTCTTCAACCTTGAGAACCTCCGTGTCAGCGGTGACCTGACTGGAACCAGGTCAAGAGGGGTATAGGGAGGCGGCTCACTTCAGGCTGTCCATCTCTTCCGTCGTAGGTACCTTTCGCGTGGAGACGGCCTTCTTGTTGGCCTTGCTGGAGGCGGGAGCTGGAGCGGAATAGCCCGGGGGGTCGGCAAGGGCGGTGGTGTTCTTGGCCGGGACCAGCGCGGTGGTGTTGAGGTCGACGAGCCATTGCGGCTGCGGTTGCGGGAGGGTGAGCGCCATGGTGGACAGCGAAGAATGGGATGTTCTGCAGATGGTCAACCGAGAGACCTCGTGGAGTTGTCGCTGTCTACAAACGCCAAGAGAAATCCAGCGCTGGGGTCTAGGTTACGTGTGTGCTCGAGCTCCTGCCTCCTGTGCAGGACGCGCCGCGATCACTGATCGATCCATTTCCCGTTGCAACTGGAACTCTACTGCTGCCACCACCTCACTCACTCTCGCTCTCTTCCTCTCCCTTCCTGTGCGCCGCTACCACGACACGCATCACCTCACCCACCAACCGCACATCAAAACCGACATCCTCGACTGCCCCGCACGAGCCGACAGCATCATACCGAACGGCCCCCCTCCTCGAGCCGCATTGCATTGGCCTGAGGCCTGATATCTGTATGGCAGCTCGATCAGTGGCTCGCAGTGAGCGATAGAAACAATTCGATTGTCGCTGAGGCGACAGGACCGTGGTCAAGATGAGCTCTGGCGGACAAGATGCGAAGTTCTTCGCGAGAGTACGTGCCCATGTCGCCTATACACATCTCAAGAGAAAGCCCTTCTCCAACTGTCACTTGTCCTGCCTGAGCACCGTTCCTGGCGAGATACATGACATCGCCAGGAACCTGGAGCTAATGAAGTCTACATTATTGTCTGCTTAAGATTCTGCGTTCTAAGCTTACCATCTGCTCATTAGGGCAAAGTCGCCGAACTCAAGCTCGAGCTCAATTCTGGCGGCGGCAAGAAGGACAAGAACTTTCTCACCAAGAAGATTGCCTTGAAAAAGATTGTGGCGAATATGACCATGAGCAACAATGACATGGTAGCACTCTTCCCAGATGTTGTAGCCTGCACGGGCATCCCGAATCTCGAGATCAAGAAGATGTGTGTTTCTCTAGTAGCGACCTAGATCTCACCACTCAGGCTGACACGAAAGTAGGTGCTTCTTATACCTGGTCAACTATGCGCGAATGAAGCCGGATATCGCCCTCAAGGCACTACCCATTCTGGTCCAGGACCTGGACGACACAAATCCCCTCATCCGAGCACTGGCATTACGAACCCTCTCATATGTGCATGTACGACAATTCGTAGAGGCTTCAATAGAGCCACTCAAGGGCCTTCTCAGAGATCCAGACCCCTATGTGCGCAAAACAGCAGCCTTCACAGTAGCCAAAGTTTATGACCACGACAGACACTTGGTAGAGCGCAGCGACTTGATTGATCGGCTCAATATGATGTTGAGAGACGAGAACCCCACTGTCGTATCGTCTGCTCTGGCAGCATTGATGGACATTTGGGAACGCAGCGAAAGCATTAAGCTGACGATCGATTATGCTAACGCCAGCAAGATTGTTCAGATTCTGCCCGACTGTTCAGAGTAAGCACCGTGAGACTGCTCTGGCTGAGACATCGCTGACGGGTACAGATGGGGGCAGACATACATCCTCGAGGCACTTACGTCCTACGTGCCTCAGGATACACAAGAAGCGGCCCTTCTCGCTGATCGAATCGCACCGCGTCTATCACACACCAACTCTGCAGTTGTGCTTACATGCATACGAGTCATTCTCTACCTCCTGAACTACATCGACTCGGATAAAGTGGTAGCGGGACTTTGCCACAAGTTGAGTCCGCCTTTGGTCACACTCCTGAGCAAAGGGCCCGAGATCCAATATCTCGCGCTCCGGAATGCCTTGTTGATTCTGCAACGACGGCCGGAAGTACTTCGCAACGATATTCGAGTCTTCTTTTGCAAATACAACGACCCTATCTACGTTAAGGTCACTAAGCTTGAACTCATCTTCATGCTCGCGAGCGAGAACAACATCAAAGAAGTTCTCACCGAGCTCCGTGAGTATGCCACTGAGATCGATGTCCATTTCGTGCGCAAGTCTGTACGAGCGATCGGAAAGCTTGCGATCAAGATTGAGCCCGCGGCGAAGCTCTGCATCTCGACACTACTTGAACTTGTTTCCACCAAAGTGTCCTATATCGTGCAAGAAGCCACAGTGGTCATCAAAAACATCTTCCGAAAATACCCTAATCAGTACGAGTCCATTATTTCCACCCTCTGCGAGAACCTAGACTCTTTGGACGAGCCGGAGGCCAAGGCAGCCATGATCTGGGTCATCGGCCAATACGCAGACCGTATCGACAATTCCGAAGTCCTGCTGGAGGATTTCCTGGACAGCTGGGCAGACGAGACCCACGAAGTGCAACTCGCGCTTCTCACCGCGACCGTAAAGCTGTTCATTCAGAGACCGACGAAGGGTCAGGACCTCGTCCCCAAGGTGCTCAAATGGGCAACAGAAGACACCGATAACCCCGACTTGCGAGATCGTGGTTACATGTACTGGAGATTACTGAGCAGCAATCCTACAGCTGCAAAAGGCATCGTCATGGGCGAGAAACCTGCCATCACGGCGGAAAGCGAAAAGTTAGATCCGGTGACACTCGAGGAAATGTGCCTCGTGGTCGGCACGCTGGCCACAGTATACCTCAAACCCGTTCAGACCGTCTTCCGGTCCACACGGCCTCGAAAGCTGCAGGAGAGCCCGGCTCTGCAGCGCGAGAAGCTGCCGTCGTGGAGAGCGCAACAAGAAGCGAACATGGTCAGCGCAGATGCTCAAGCAGCCATGTATTCGCTCAGTGGGCAGCAACAGAGCGGCCAGGTGCTAGACGAGGCCGATGCTTACTTTGCGAGCGTGGGCGCGCAGGGTGTTGCAAACGACGGCCTCGCCTCCAGTCTTGGAGATGGAATGGGTCACACAGAGCAGATGTACATGGTTAATCAAGGACAAGGCTTGGGGACAGTGAGGCCGATGACACATGTGCAGAACGGCGAGGGGGACCTATTATCGTTCTAGGAAATGATAGTTGAAAAGGAAGGGGGACTGTGGAGTCTCTCTCTGTCAGCAAGCTTCGTTGCTCGCCGCGTTGACTCCCATGTCAGATCCTTTGATATAATACCCGGTTATTGCAAGCCTACTTGTTCCTCATTCGGCTCTCCCGCCGGAACTCGAGTCTCCGTTGCAAGGCGATTGTTCGCATATAACTGCAACCCACCCGTGCACCACAATGCAGAGTGAACGAACATGTAGTGTATCCGCTAAAACCTTTATCACAGCTATAGGTGGTGCAGGCCTATCTGGAAACAACCGGGAAGCAGCCGTGTGACGGCACGCTGGACACAATGGGACAAAGCGCCGAAGAAGAGTGAGTGATGATGATATGGAGAGAGGAGAGAGTTCGCCTATTTCTCGCGCGCTTAGGTACCTACCTTAGTTCTGGTACAATAAGGTACCTAAGGTACATGTAGGTAGGTAGGTATACATGAGATCTATCTTACTTGACCTATCTACCTATCTACCTACTTCATCAATTTTCTTCTATTCTTATATCATTTTTCATAGTAGCATTATCACCAAGCACCAAGCGCCAAATATCAAGCAACATCAACATCAACATCAACAAAGAAAAAGAAAAAGAAAAATGTCCCAAGAACCTTTCCGCCTAACAGCCACCGAGGCCTTACAAGCCTTCGATTCCGGAAACTTGACAGTCGAAGTCTACGCACGTTCACTTCTAGATCGTATTCACAAACGCGATGAAGTAGTTCGAGCATGGGAATTTTTGGATCGTGAACGGGTGATTGAGCAAGCGAAAGCTTTGGATCAGGTACCTAGGGAGCAAAGAGGTCCGTTGCATGGTGTAGCTATTGGGGTGAAAGATGTGATTTATACCAAAGGTATGTAGGTGTCTTGTGTACCCTGTATATATATACTTCACCACGAGAGAGACATGACTGACCCCAAAAAAGACATGCCCACACAACACAACTCGGCAATCTACAAAGATAGCTTCCCCGCCATCGACGCCGGCAGCGTCGCTATCCTCCGGCAAGCCGGTGCCCTGATTTTCGGGAAAACCACCACCACCGAATTCGCAGCAAACATCATCGGCACCAAAACCGCCAACCCTCACGCTCCCCATCGCACCCCCGGAGGTTCCTCCTCGGGCTCAGGAGCGGCTGTAGCGGATTTCCAAGTCCCCCTCGCTCTAGGGACCCAAACCGGCGGCTCGACGATTCGTCCTGCGAGTTATAATGGAATTTACGGGTTCAAACCGACGTGGGGATCGGTTTCTCGTGAGGGCCAGAAGATTTATAGTGTGAGTTTGGATACGTTGGGATGGTATGGACGGAGTGTAGAGGATTTGGAACTGTTCATCTCGCTCTTCGCGATGAAAGATGATGCAGTTCCTCGCTCCTTGAGCGATACTGGAGTGCGAGGTCTGAAGTTTGGGTTTGTGAAAACGATGGTGTGGGATCAGGCCGGTGAGGGAACGCGGCGAGCTTTTGAAGATGGAAAGGCACGACTCGTTGCTGCGGGGGCAGAAGTGGAGGAGATGGAGTTTCCCAACGAGTTTGTGGATTTGCCTGCTTGGCATACGGTGATGCTGTACTCGGATGGGAGAGTCTCGTTCCTGCCAGAGTATCGCATCGGGAAAGCTTCTTTGGCTGCGGATTTGGTGGAGCATGTCGAGGAGGCTCACGGGTACACGAGAAAGCAGTATTTGGACGCTTGTGATGGCATTGCTGCGCTGAGACCCAAATGGGATGCTATTGCGAATCGCTACGATGCGGTTGTTGCACCTTCAGTGCCAGACATTGCGCCTGAAGGCTTGGAGAGGACGGGCAGTGCAGTTTTCCAGAGCTTCTGGACGGCGTTGCATGTGCCGATTGTGAATGTTCCCGGGTTTCGAGGCGAGGACGATATGCCCATTGGACTGAGTCTCACTGCGGCGAGATACAAAGATCAGGCATTGTTGAATGTCGCGAGAGAAGTGGGAAAGGTGTGGGTGGCGAGACGTCTGGATCTACCGGAGACGCGGAACGATTGATCTCGCCCTTGTGATGATGATAAGGGAAGAACATTGAAGCTCAGATACCTATGCCAGTGTTCTTGACTGCTGTCAGCCACATGGATGGTGTTTCCTACCTCAAGGTACTTGTATTTGTGATATCACCCTTTGTGCCTTCCAAGCACATCTCAGGAATATGAAGGCGGCAGGAGATCTGCTTGAGATCTCCTTTCCGACCTGTTCTAGTGGCCAGCCTTCCACGCACTGATCTAGGCTGCCCGGGAATCTTCTTGTCTCTCCAGAATTCTTTGCGCAGTTTGCTAAGTGGCACGCAGAGGGGAAAGTGTTTGCCACAAGCCCGTTTCTGCCACTATCATAAGTGTGTTCGAATGCCGGAAGGGGTCACGCTCTTCCAGCATCCAGTGGATATGGCACAACTTCAAGCGGCCGGCGGAGCTGACAACATCTCGCACGAAATCCTCCATGCTCTGGATCCATCTATAATTATCAATGACATGCATGACCAATTGCATCTGCAACCCTCTGTTCGCTTCCAATTCCTTATGTTGGTTTGGCAGCACGTTCACCATAATTGTGGCAATCGCGGCCACCTGGGCAAACCGCATCGTGCTATCGATGCCCCTTTGCCAGCCCACATACAGCCCGCTATTCGATCGTTCTTGATCACATACGGACACCAGATTTGGCCCGACCCTGGCGATGGACGTGCTCGACAGCATTTGACTCCTACCTCTCGCTACTCGTACAACGGCTATTGGAATGCGCGTTTCGGCGCCCACGAGGTCCACGAGCCTTATATGTCTCTGCATGGAAGCGAGGATGTGCCTGGGAATCCTGGTGATGTTGCACCAGGTGTCATGGTCGCCGGAAACACTTCTTCGAAGCTGGATACCGTTCTTCGGCTGTATTTCTCGGCCATGTTACGACTGCCGGGTGGTGGCGAGGGTGGAATCGTGGCAAACACTCTCGAACCAGGTCAATTGTTGCAAATCATAGTGGCTCCACAGCAGGATCAGCAGCAGCAGCAGCAACCACACCCAGCGAGGGCGACCTATGTTCCACAGCAACAGCAGCAGCAGCAGCAGCAGCAGCCAGAGTCACACCCAGCGATGCCGAACTATGCTGATACATTCGAACATTCGCTTCATAAATCACAGCTGAGTCCAGCCATGGCGACCAATCCCTGGGCGCAGTCCAGCTCGTCGTCATCATCAGCATATGTGCAGCGTCTCCACGCCTACCTTCACCCCAACGAGCCGTTCCAAGACCAGCAACAACAGTCGTCAGACCTATCTACTCATCAGCATCAAGGCAAGCCTCAACCTCGGGCAGCAAACGCCTTGCCTTTCGTGCCCACGATTGATGCTGCGCCCACCGGCCGCGGCCGAGGGAAAACGAAGCAACAGTCTCAGTCCGGCCTCAGATGGACCAAGAGTGTCAGACCTGGTGGCGGGCCAGGCGCCAGATTGCCTTTTCGTGAAGAAGTATCTCCGAAGGATATGAGTGGGCAACCAGAAGAGGGCGATAAACGAGGACGTATGATGGACACGAGAGGGAGGAAATCCGGTGTCAAGTTTGGACCTGTAAATTGGGGTGCCTAAGTTCCTAGTGGCGTACTGTACTTCGAAGCGAGGTAGTCAGTGCATTGGTCTATCGACGGCGCTCGTATACGTACGTCTTGCACGTGACATTGTTGTCATCGGTGCTTGGATGGCAGTTTAATTACTGCAGTAGGTAACATTCTTGTCGGTTATGCGAAGTCTTGGCAATAGCAATAGCAATGGCAACAGCAACAGCAACGTGCAAAACACAATCCTCGCGTGTAGTCTACAATTTACATCAAGTGTCCGCCTGTTCAATCAAGCATCTCTCAATATTTATCAATCATCTCAGTTTTCGTTCCATCTTCATTAAATCAAGCCTTCACAAACTCCTCGACCGCGCTCGCAAACTGACCCGGATCTTGGACAGGCGCAAAATGCGAAACCTGCGTCAACACTTTCAACGTACTCCCCGCAATCACCTTGGCCAGATGTCCATGTACCGCCAAATTTACCGCTTCATCGTGCTCGGCACCCACAATCATCACCTTGGAACCATCCGAAATCCGAGCAAGATCCGCATCGCTCCAATTAGGCATCGTACCTTCCAAGGTGGCGACCCGGGTGGCGAAATCGGTGAAATTGGCTTGAGGCTGTAACGTGGCGTATTCCTTCGCGCATCGCGAGACAAATTCTTGATAGATGGGTGTGGAAGTGAAGGTCGCGTTGGTATCCTTGTAGGATTGGAAGCCGGCGAAGACGAACGCTTTGGCAATGTCTGAAGAGATGGAAGGGTCTAATAAGCCTGCGAGAGTGGTCGCTGCGCCGTCGGACCAGCCAACCCAATAGGACGAGGAGATTTTCAACTGGGAGCGGAGGAGGTTTTGGGTGTCTCGGGCGAATTGGGGAAAGGTGAAGACGTCGTTGGGCAAGTAGGTGGATCTGCCGTGGCCGCGACGGTCGACGGCGATGACATGGTGGGATTGAGAGAGGCGGGAGATGACGGCGCCGAAGTAGGCGGAGTAGCCGAGGCCGCCATGGATGAGGACAATGGGGATGTTGTTGCTGTCCGGTGATGCGGGTTTGTTGTATTCTTGGTACCAGAGCTGCACGCCGTTTATGGAGGCTTTGACGTTGCTGATGGGAGCGGGAAGGGCGGGCGTCGGTGGGAGGGTTTCCCAGATTGCGCAGAATGCTGTGCCGGTGCTGGCCAAGGCCAAGAAGAATGTCCGGAAATGCATGTTGGTGGTGTGATACGCGTAACAAGAGGTGGGTCTATACACGAAGAGTGAAGTGGCGTGGATCGGGTGATATGTGTGTGAAGGAGGCGATGGTGACCGGGTTCGTAACTTCGTACAGAGTGTCTGCACGGGAGTGTATCATGTAGATGCCGTCGGGCGTCCACCAATCTGAAGCCATTGTTTTGCTTCCCCGAGAAGGTTTCACGCTTCCAGGTGCAAAGAATCTGGATAACGATAGCCATGATTGACCCGGGCTAAAAGTCTCGCAGATTGACTCAATATCCACCTATGGGGAGGTCGGCCGATGTTCAGCCCTACGGCGTGAGAAGGCGCCACCCAGTTCGACAATTTCGGCAGCCGCATGATGCTGGCAGACCTGGCACGTGGTTGCAACCATTCTCTGGGCGACTAAAGCAAACATGGAACAACAGCACGGCAAGTCGAAACAGGCCTCACTCACTGACCTGTACTGTCACAGTCTGGCACTCTCTCACGTCTGCCTCCGAGCCTGCGCGTGCTCCTCTTCTGGCTCAATTACGACTTTCTTACAACCCGACCGGCGAGGCACTTCCATCCTGCAAGGAACCGGATCATCTCTTCCACCATGGCGGCGTCCTCTGTCTTGTGTGGTATCATTGCTTTCTTTTGCATTGGAGTGGCTCGCTTGATACCCGGCTGAAACGTTCTAGCATTGGGTCAGCTGAAGAAGAGTATAGGTCTCTCGGCGTGGCTAATCTGGTAATACGGCATCGCATCGTGACAGGCTCAGAATAGCATCATTCATCGCCCAAGGGCCTTCACTCTCTCTTCCAGATCATCGACCCAGCCCTTGACGAAGCTCCCGTTCCTACCATTATCTTCACCGTGCCGCCGAACAGCTCCTTCGACCTTCTGGAGTCCTTCGCGCCACATCTTCAGTTCTTTTTCCATCTCTGCCTGTCTACTTTCGATATCATCCAGGTCTTGGCTCGCACTTGCTGCTGTTGTATGCAATGTTCTCAAAGAACGCAGTCTCGTGACTAGTGCGGGCACAGTAGGTGATAAGGATTGTAGACCTGGTAGAAGTGAGTAAAGTGTCTCGAGACGCTTCATGTCATCAGATGATAGAAGAGCTGGAGCCTCGCTCTCTTCATCATTCGAGCCAGCAGTTGTGTCCTTTGTGCTAGCAGCTGCTTTTTGAAGCTGCGCCAGATTCTGAGCTTCAGTCTTGAGTTTTTGAATTCGTGATGTAGCTTGCTCAAGAGAGCTGAGAGATGCTGCGCTCGTCAAGCTGGCTATTTGCTGGTCTAACAGCGTCAAGGTGGGTAGAAAAGGCGTGGAAGTTGTATCAAAATCTGTCACAGAGTGGAGCGACGCAATGCCCAGTGCAGTTTCCAGTGCAGCCAGTCTCTGATCGAACACGGATATCCTCGCAAGTGTGTGCTCGTCGCCTTCTGGGACGTCCCTATCGGCTCCAGTATCAGGTATGGCGATCGTCGGCGCATCATGAAAGACACTCTCACTCTGATTTCGAGCATGTCCCTTCTTCCTTTTAGCTTTCTCGGGCAGTTGCGCCTCAGCCAGTATATCGCAGAGCTTCTCAGTGGCATCTAAATGGTCCTCATCGCCGTCTCCATTCTGCTGCTCGCCCCTCTCTTTCTTCTCCGCCTCGGCCTCCGCCCGGCATTCCTCCACCTCTCTACGCAATCTCGCAATCTTTTGCTCCAGCGTCTCATCATCGTCCCGTGTCCCGCCGCTTCGCTTGACTCTGTAGCCTTTTCTTCGGCCGTCGACCCTGTCGCTGAGATCCGCTCCCTTGGTCTCTATGGCACGACTCGTCTCGCCGAACCTCCTGCGAGCAGAGCTGGGAAACAACCGCCGCGTGTTGACACCACCCGTTTCATCATCGTCATCGTCGTCGTCTGCACTGGTGTCGTCGGTCTCGGAAGGAAGGGGAGGTGAAGAGCGGTTTCCTGCTGTGCTCGCTGTCGTGTCGTCGTCGGGAAATGTTTCATAGACGTCAGGGGCGGTGTCCAGATGAGGCAGACCAGGTCGTTGCACAGGAGCCGTTGCCATTGCGTTGCTGATTTGATATAGGAAAAGGTAAAGTGCGGTCTGCGTGAGTGTAAGAGCGGGAGTAGGAGGTAGTTAGATGGAAACAAGTGAAGTCAAGGGTTAACACGAACCTGACGCGTGGCAGGCAGTGTGCGACACTACAGCTCTACCTGCTGCAACTGTTTTCGAAGCGCTTCGAGATATCATACAGCACAGAGCACCTCATGCGTGAAGGGAAATACTACAGACTTCGTAGTCGTAGAGTGCATCGCCATTAGTGGCAGACCCTAACTGCCTCAGGCGCCCTACTGGAGGAGGGGAGAGAAGAGGGAGAGGAGGCCAAGCAACGCGGCAGGAACCTTCTTTGGTGACTTGCATGAGATACCCACCTTGGCGGCTTGGCCCGCCCGCAAGCTCATACACGTCGGAGGTCAAACACGCCGAATGTGTGCCCATTGCTAGGAGGTATACCTACCTACATGTAGGTACCTACTTACCCTCACTTTCACCCACGACATACCCAACCGCCTTGGTCACAACTCGGAAAAGCCGTCCAGACAGCCAGCTGACACGACGAGGGAGAATACTGGGATCCAGAAAGGCTACGACCGCGACGGTGACGACGACAGTGCACGATCACCGCCGAGAACGAGTTGGGGAGAGAGGAAGGACACATCCAGACGTACACCACACGATGAACGCCCGTAGCGGTACGTAATCTTTGTATGGTTCTAGGCAAGACGTTCATGGCAAACCACCGGCCACGCACGCGCATCCGTGGCAAGAGGCAGCAGCAGCAGCGGCAGCACCGCGTCCTACTCACAACAGACTACTATTAAGACAGCAACCCAGTGACTGACGAAGATGTCGATGACACAGGCAGCCAAGCGCAATCGCTGCGCAACATGAACATGGCTTCGTTCGGTGCACAACCCAATGCACGTCAGAATTCGCGCCTCCAAAACACGCAAAAGACGGGCTTGGGGAATGGCAATGCAGGAGCGGGCTGGGCATTTGGTGCGCCCGCATCGGGGAGTGGATTCGGAGCACCGGGGCTGTCACGTCCACCGCTATCAGGCTTTGCACAGATCATGGGTGGTGGAGGTCAGACGCAGATAGACATGAAGTAAGTCTGCCGACTTCATGCGCCAGCTGTGGACGTACCAGGAGCTATCTTTGTACTGACGCACGGCAGTGACTTCCCGACATTGGCCGGGCCTGGGCGATCCAACTACAACTCCAATAGCTGGAATAGTAATGCTGTCCGGCAGGCGCAACCCCCACAGTCTTCATCGCAGCCACCGATACAACAACGAGCCTCCTCTACAGCACCTTCGCAAGTCTCGGTGGACCAGTACGACACCCAGCGCTCCCAACAACATGACCGTGCCGGTACAGGTCGCTCTGATTTCACACCCCAGAATGATCATCTCTCATCCAATGGAGAATCATCACGGCAGAACGGCCTAGGGAGCAGTGCCCTTGGGTCTCCGAGTGACCCAATGCCTCTGACGAATGGTCAGCAGTCGCAACTACCTGTCCGTCAGGCATCTGCCTCCAGTCAACAAGCACCTATCGGCAGTGGACAACCTACGTCGCAAACTCAGCCTGGACCGCCGCAGCACACATTCAACGGCCCGTCGCCCCAGCCTGCATTGAATGCGAAGAGTTGGGCAGAACTCACTGACGACGAACGGTATGGTATGACCGGGCTGATGGCCCAACTCGAGGCAAGGCGTGCTATGGAGTCGAACCAGCCGATAGACGACACGTTACCGCCCTGGGCGCGAAACAGTGCCATGCTGATAGGCCAAGAAGCCCACGATCTTGGCCTGGAACTGAACAGTCCAGATCCTATCTACTCCACATTCTCAGTGTTTCCGACTCGAACGCCGTCCGACTCCGCGTACGACTTCAGAGATCATTACACTGTGCCATCGTTCCACGTGCCTCCCGCCTATACTGTCAATAACGTTCCGGAAATGGCCAGCAGGATGCCTGCTTTCAGCGATGGTAAGCTGCCGATTTGAAACAAACTATCAAGTTGTCACTAATCCTTACAGAAACCTTGTTCTGTATCTTCTACCAAATGCCGCGAGACATCATGCAAGAGCTGGCGGCTTCGCAGCTTAATCAGCGTGACTGGCGGTGGCACAAAGTTTTGCGGAAGTGGTTGCAGAAGGACACCCGAGAAGCAAATGCAGGTGCTGCACCGTCTCTCATTGACCACACCAATGGTGCACCCATCGGTCAGGACCCTATTCGTCTCAACGATCGCAGCGAGCGAGGCATCTACATCTTCTTCGAGGAGAAAGACTGGCGGCGGGAGCGTCGCGAATTCACGCTGGATTACGACTCTCTTTACGCTGTGCCCCTGGTGGCTCCAGCAGGTGCGTACCACGCTGGCGGCCGGGCCGGTAATCTTAGTATCATGAACGGAGGACCTGTTGGAGGACCGTCTGCGGAACAGAACGCAATGACGAGCCCATCGTAAAGCAATGGGCAGGATGCACATTGGCAACCACTGGTAGAAACGATCTTTTGGACGAGAGACACGAGCATCTGGAAAGCGAGTGGCCGCTACGAGGTGTATTTCATCTCCACTAGCCATGCGCAGGCTCGAAATGCCAATCGATTCGTTCGGCTGAGTGCCTTCTCGACTCATTTTATGTGAGGACGCAGCACATATGCCACATCATCACTTGTCTACACCAAACCCAGTCCAACCTTCTCCTAAAGCAGCACGTCCTGTTATACATACACCTCCCTGACCAGCGTCGTTATATTGACTATTTTAGGCAGCTACTGCCAAGCCAACCAGACGATCTCGGAACTATTGTCAGCAGCTTTGAGCCATAGGTAAGCACGAGCGGTGCTGAAACAGGGCATATGATCTCCACCTATGCAGGTCAATTGCGCTAGACTGACTTGACTGCTCTCTCAGCTAAATTCGTACGGTCAATATTCCGAGTCATGCATTCAGCGGATCGAGCTTCTGGTTCGATGACATGCAGTGATAACTGCAGCTTTCAGCTGTCTGGGGGCATCTCTAGCCTGTAGCGCTCGGCAGATCCCCTCTGGTGTGCATATCCCCTAGGAGGTACGAAGCGTGATTAGAGTGCTCTCTACCACCTCTTATCACTTGACGATGCCCTGGTTCTGCAACATTCGGCAACTAGCACGGCGAGACATAGCTGGCTGCGGACGAACTCTTTGGGCCGCTGCCGTTCTACTAGAACAAGCCGCTACACAAATACATTGCAGCAAGTAAAATTTGCCTCTGCCTGTGGCTTCTAAGCGAGGCCAGCCCCAGGGCCCCAGGGCCCCAGTGGTGCAGCCGTCATGCAATCAGTGCTGCAAGCTCAGGCGGTCATGCAGTTCCTATAGGCTAATTCGGTTATGTATTAGTCGGCTACCAGATCTGTCACGCATCGCTGCATTGGAATAGTTTGCGAACGGACTAGACGACTTGACGGGTGGTTCCGGCACGTGGCGAAGCTCAATGGTTGCATTGTGGTTGGTAGATGTCGCAAGTTTAAAGTGAACTCTAATCTTGCCCCAGCCCAGCTTCACGACAGAGCCCTTCGAAACAATGGCCCTATGATAAAACAAAGGGGGTAACTTTGACTGCCAGAACCGATGTCTCTAGGTGCCTTTTCTACCGAAGGCATTGTGAGCTGGCCACTTGGAAGGAGAGGGACAAGAACCAAGATATGTCCCTCGGCATAGGGCTTCGGTCGGTATTATGATTCAATGGTGAACACTAGAGTCAGCCACCGACTCGCCGGATCGAATCATAACCGAGAGGAGCACACCCCGGAGTTCTGGACCGTGCTCTCGCGCCCCGGACACTGTCAAGTCCAGCAGTCTGGCGACTCGTATAGTATGGTATGTCCGCAGCAGTAAATAATGGCCACGCCCCTCGACCTCGATTTGCTTTCCTGGATTCTGCTCTCGTCGATCGATTCGGTTCCTCACATCACTCCTTCTTTTGACGATTGATGCGAAGGAATTGATCGATCAGCGTTACACAACATTCGATCAGTGCAGTGATACACAACAGCCACTCCTACTGGCGATCAGTGCAGCGATACACAACAGCCACTCCTACTGGGACAACTCATGGCGCCCGCCAAGAAGGACAGCCTGCTCGAGCAGTGCACTCAAATCATCGCTATTGGCAATGGTATCGCAGTGCACATCTTGGAGTATCTCGCTATTGTCAAAGAACCTCCTCATGACTTCAGAACGCTGGCGGTCGAGTTCCTGGAAACATCAAGGGCTCTGTTTCCTGCCAAAGCTGGGCTCTCTCGATCGTCCGCCAAATTCCAGGCCGATGTGACTACACAATTGCAATCCAAATTCTTGCTGACGAAGAATGCCTTCCTCGTTCTGGACCAGGTGGTCAACAAATTCCTGGCCAATGAGAAGAAGCACAGCTTTGGCAAATTCGGACGAGGCTTCCGAATGATGTTTGCGGATTCCGAGATCGAAAAGTTGAGACTGTCGATGAATCAATGCAAAGCTGAGCTCAGCATCAGCACACTATTGTTCTCGTCCATACTGGGAGATGGCAAGATGGATGCCGCTACGGCTATTGGCTACACAGCATTGGCTGCCATTCTTGAGCTTCCCGATCCGACCGTTGGCAGTCCTGCATCTCAAAAAGACATGTACGCCAGCCTTTCGCCAGATCGCAGAGCGTTACCGCCAGTTCCCTCGCCACTGAATTTCGCCGCTCGCGACTCCTCGCTACCGCGCACCACACCAGAACCCACCCCATCGGAGCGGTCGCAACCACGATACCCAGAGTCTTCTGGGAAAAGCATGGCATCTTCACCACTATCTCAATTTCCGCCAAGTGATAGGAGTTCCGTAATGATGATGCCGGGTGACAACGGATCTGATATCACTTCACTGTTCTCCTTGGTGACGGAGCAGGAGAACCTAACATCATTTCATGACAAGATCACCAAAAATGCCATCAGAATCAAACTAGATCCTCAACAAGCGCACCGAAGAGCGCCCTCCAAACGTAGTGTCGCATCAACAGACTCTGCAAAGAATGCTCTGGTGACCGCCACGCAACAGAAGGATTACAAGATGATTGAGCACCTGCTGGACAATGGAGTGCACCCGGAACAGTCTTTACTCAAGGAGGCTCTCATCACGCATGACCTCTCGACTGTACGTCTCTTTCTGTTGTATGGTGCAGATGCCAATGTCAAAGATCCCAGGGATGGTTCGACACCACTGTACACGGCGACTGGCTCCTCGTTCTTCGAAGCCGCGCAGTTACTGGTCAAGTACGGCGCAGACAGCAACATCTCGACGGGCCCGTACGGCGAAAGTCCATTCGCAGTATCCTTGACCAACAGCAAGGCACACTTTGCCCAGCTGTACCTGCAACACGGTGCCGATCCCAATATTCAGATGGGCAACGGCGAGACTGCTTTCACGCAAGCAATGAACAAGCACACTCCCGCCAGCCTCGTGGATCTCATGCTGGTTTATGAAGCCGATCCAGGGTTGAAGAACGCTCGTGGTGAGACGCCTTTGTTCAGGGCTATCAATGCCGAGCGACACGATCTGGTCACATATTTGCTCGAGCACGGTGCGGACCCGAACATGCCTGGCCCCAAGATCGTGCTTTGGCCTGCTGTACATCAGCCAAACATGCTGCAGATCCTGCTCGAGCATAAGGCCGATCTCCGTCGAGCTCCTGGTGTCCTGGAACTGGCCACATCCATCAATTCGCGTAAGGCTATCGACATCCTTATGAAGTTTGGAGCCGATGTCAATGCCAAGAAGGACGGCATTTACACTCCTTTGTGCTCTGCCATCCGTGACAACCACGAAGACTTGGTCGAGACTCTACTCGCAGCGCACGCCGATCCCAACCTTCCCGCACTGGAATATCCCACCTACAAGTGCGTGACTTACCACCGGACACACATTCTGCCCAGTCTCCTTGCCGCCGGGGCCGATCTGCACAAGCCCAAGGGAATCATCGAACACGCCGTTGCGCACAATGACCGTGATGCCCTCGTCTTCCTCCTCGATCACAAGGTCGACATCAACGCACGCAGTGCAGCCGGCAACACCGCGCTCACGACTGCCATTCGCGAGAACCAACACGAAGTCATCGACTTCCTCCTCTCGCACGGAGCAGACCCGGCCGTCCGTGGCCAGGAATGGCCGATCTCGATGGCGGTCAAGCACCCCGAAATCCTGGCCAAACTCCTCCCCTACATCCCCACCTCCAAAATCATCAAAGGAGCCATGGAAATGGCCGTCGTCGCCAACCAGCTCGAAAGCGTCAAACTCCTCATCGGCAAAGGCGTCGACGTTGAAGAGAAGAACGGCGGTGTCTTCAGCCCCCTCACCACATCAATCCGCGAGAATCGCAAAGAAATTTTCCACTACCTCATCGACGAAGCCGGTGCAGACCCTAACCTCCCCGGCGAGCATCTCCCCATCATCAAAGCCATCCGTCGTCATCGTGAAGACGACATGAGTTATATCCATCATCTCCTCTCCAAAGGCGCAGATATCAATCTCATGTACCGTGGCTGGAACGCCGTCCTCCAAGCCGTCGACAATGGCGATACAAAAATTCTATCACTCCTCGCCAAGGAAGGTCATCCTGATTTGTCCGCTCGCGGAGAAGATGGGAAGAGTGTCTTGGAGGTGATGCATGAACGCGGACTCGAAGATGAAGAGCGGATTTTACTCGGTGGGAGAAGTCCGAGTCCGCAGATGAAAGTCGCGTTGAGTTCGTTGAGGGATTTGGTCTTGTGACGTGAGGAGATGATGGCGGGTTTGATGGGAACTGCGTTGTGAGTATGTGTGAGTTGCTTGCTATATACCCTTGTTCCTGTTTTTGTTACCTCTAGCTGGCGGGTTGGTTGGCGTTTTGTCTTTTACTTTTCTACTTTTTCTGGTTTTTTGTTTCTTTTTTTTTGTTGTGTCTAAAAGAATTTCTTATGTGTGTGGTAAGCCTGATTCTTGAATGTACTTTGAGCAGTAGCGTACGGTAGTTTAGATGTGGTTTTGTCTACCCACAGAATTAAAGTGGCATTTTGGTAATCATGAAAGGAGTGTTTTTTCCATCTCATCTGCCCAGTACCTCCTCACATATTAGCAGGCAGATGGCCCTTGTTGTTTTTCTCCTGCATGTAGTGTTTGCTCAATGACTGGGTTGTATAAGGTTATCCTCATACTGCCTGCTGCTATGAAGGAGGTTCTGAGACGTTTCAAGCAATGAGAGCGAGCAATCAGGGCCATTGAAGTTCAGATACATACTCTCGAACATATCGATAACCTAAAACCAAAAAAAAAGAACTTCTTACATACTCCTCTATTCTCCCATCCACCAACGTACATCGATATAATTATGCCATAATCCCGTCCTCAAAACAAAAGGACTGGATGCCAGCGACGACATATACTACGACCATCATGGGACTCGAACCCACAACCTTCCGCTTCGGTACTGACTGTGTTGAGTAGGAGGCGGACGCTCTACCATTGAGCCAAACGGCCACGTTGACACAAGATGTGCCCATCAAACTCTGACTTCTGTTCCGTGCCACATGAATATGAGTCCTGACAGCGAGGACGTGTTGGATTACTTCGGTAATGTACCTAGCTTAAGCATACAAGTGATGATGAGAATGTCTCTGTTAGCCTAGTGGCTGAGATGAGATGATTCTTCTTCCGGATGAACCATTTGTGCGGGAAATATTGGCTCAACTCGAATCGAAAGTCCCAATTGAACATGGTCGTCCAATGTTGCAAATGCATTCAGATGGCACCTGCGAGAATGTCAACAACTTTTGAGAAAGGTTTATTCAATTACGAGTCCACTACAAGCCTAGAGTTCGATAATGACCTTCTTCGCGCTGACACCAGCTTTGTTGGTATCCATACCCTTCTGCACACTCTCCAGACCCTTTCCTACAACAAGTGGCTCCGGTACTGCCAGCAGCTTGCCCGCCTCAAGTGCCTGCGACACAAAATTCTCCCAGAGCGGTTTATTAATTTCATTGATAGCGAAAACATTGCCATACTTCACAGTTTCCGGTGCGCCCTTTTCTGGCGGAGGTAGAGTACCGGCAACGTTGGGAACTCCCATCTTCTCCGCGATAGCGAACGTATATTTGAACGAATCTTCGGTCGCGATTGCATCATAGATACCCGCGAACTCTCCACCAGCAGCTTGAATGGCCTTGACAACATCGTCAACAATTGTTGGGTCTTTGTAGTCAAGAGCTGCTACAGCTCCTAGCTTCTTGACGAAAGCGTGATTGTGCTTGCTAGCAGCAGTGATGACTTTGGCACCAGACGCCGTGGCAAGTTGAATTGTGAGAGCACCAACTGAGGAAGATCCACCCCACACAAGGATTGTCTTGCCGATGGGCTGTGAGTTGAGCGAGGGAAAAGGCAAGCCAAGAAAGCCCTTTTCCCGTGTGTCGTACAGTCCCTGGCCAGCAGTGTTTATGGCCAATGGCAGCACCGCAGCTTCGTTGTAGGACAGTTTGCTCGGCACAATTCCTGCGAAGTGGGCCTGAATGGCTGTGTACAGCTGGAAACCACCATGGCTCGTGTTCTGAGTGGCGAGAGTTGTGGAGTGTCTGGACTTAATTCAGTATTTGCGGCATCATCAATTATTGATAGGACCAACTCACCCAAACACGCGATCGCCCTTCTGGAATTTTGTGACATTTTTGCCGACTTCATACACCTCGCCAGCCACATCACAGCCCAGCACGAACGGCCACTTTTGGACAAAGAGGCCGTAATCCTGGATCTTCCAGTCGACTGGATTGATAGCGATGGCGTGGTTCTTCACAACGATCTCGCCGTCGCCCGCGCTTGGCATATCAGCTGGACCAACCTGTATCGACCTTAGCTATTGCAGCACAGACAGACATTGCGCTCGTGAGACACACTCGCAGTGGATGCCGTGATTCTTTGTCAAGCCATGCTGCTTGATTACCGGACTGGCCGGGCAGCACGCTGCTGACTGCTTGCTTGATTTGTTCGGCCATTGTTATGATAAAGCGTGGTGGGTGAGTGAGTGAGTGAGTGAGGAGAGAAGTTGGAATCGAGTCAGGTACCATTAGTTCGAGAAAAAGAGCTGCCGTCGTCGATGCCGCGCAGCAGTGGCCAACCGTGATGACAGATGACGTGAAGCTTCGAGCAGCTTCCCTTCCACCCTCTCCAGGGCAAATGTTCTCATTTCGCCTCGTCATTCCCTTTCCGATACCTTAGGTACTTTACCTGTACATGCACATTAGGAGGTAGGTACATGACATTATCTACTATGCGTCTACGCGAGCAGCTCGCCATCCACACGGAGGCACCACTACCACCGAGGAGGTGCCCCGATGATGATTAGGTATTCCCACAATGATTCGTTCGGGTTTAATAGAAGCATCGTCCAAAGAGTGCTGTTGCAACCTTGAAGTACCTACGAGTCACAGCCTCACCCGAGTTGTCGCAAAACAACAGCTGGGTTCAATATTAATGAAGAAAACTCACAACCATATTTTCACAACAAACGCATTATCAAGGAAGTATTCACTTTTCTCGGTAGAGTGGCTGAGTTCAGACCCGTAATGCGTTGTGCTTGGTGGGCGTCCTGCGCTGGAAAAGCTCGACTCGCTAGTATGAACACGATGCGCCATATCCAATGATGGACTGCACCTGTAAAGGAAGTCAAAAAGAACCACTCTCCAACGCTGTGCACTTGGTCTACTTCCAAATCTTCCATCCAGCCTTCCCCTTACTCTCACTTCTGCCGAGTTCGCCCTCACCAGGTCGTCCTTGATCCATGCTCGCTCTCCCAGCTCCAATGCCAAAAAATCTTTCAGCTTTGCTCCCTCTCCTCTGTGGTGGAAGAGGTTGCCGTCCCATATGCTCGTCCTCGAAGTCCTCACTGCCCGTTAAGCTCCCCTCACTGTCGTAGGCATCTTGATGGCCATCATAAGCCCCATGACCACGTTGCACGTTCGGAGGCGAACGCCCGTAGGGTCCGCGATTACCTTGTGCAGCAGGAATTGAAGCTGGCGCTGGAGCATTGGTTCGTCGATAACCAGACTGTGGGTACGTGTTGTTGGCAGCAGCAGCAGGTTTGGCATATTGCTGTTGGGATGGGCCAATTGGAGGTCCTTGAAAATGATAGCCTTTCTGGTATGCATCGGAACCATTGCGCATATGGCCAGAAGAGACTCGTGGAGTGTGATTGACGACGTGGCCCGCGTTCCCATAACTTGCGCTTCGCGAGCGAGCGCCGTACGCGCCTCGCCCCGTGTCAGTCAAGCCCATCCCAACAGCCGGACTTGTAACGCCTGCGTTCGGGTTCGAGTTGAGTGCTGTATTTCTCTGAGTCCTGTAGTCCGGGCTAGGCGTTCTGGTACCATCTGTTGTACCTCGATAGTCACTGTACTCTGCGCTTTCTCTCGGCGCCGCAACAGCTCCAGCAACCGTGTCGTCAGTGCCACTGGGAGCCTCCCTGTTCCTATTAAGACGCAGGCGTTCCATTAAGCTTTTCCTGTGAGTCTCAAACTTGGCAGTGTTCTGATCGCCATCACCTGCATACCATAGTGCAGGAACAAGAAGTCTATACGGCACAGTCGTACCTGCCGGATTGTGCTGGTCAACTTCCATGCAAAGCGAGATATCCAGACCACCTTCAAGGTTGACATGTCCAAATGAATCATCACTGTCATCTGCCGCGCCGTCGAGTCCATTACTACCCTTCTTACCGACGAACGAAAAGCGTCGAGGTTGCTTCTCTGAGAGATTGGTCGGACGTCGTTGAAATGACGGTCTTTCTGGAGCGGCATCCGAGTAATATCTCTCCTGGTCCGGGAAGTAGCTGCCACCCGTGGCCGCTGCTGACAGACTAGCAGACCTTTGCATACCACCTGGCCTCTTGTCATTGTGGTTATATGGCCTAGTCTGCTCAAGCGGCTGGGATATCTGGGGCGGACCTCTCTTCGAAGAGCCGCTCAGTCTTCTGACGAGTGCTGCAGGACCTCGAGTGAGACTCATTGTTCGCTTCATGCTCCCCGGAGGATACTTCTGAGCATTCTTCGCGTCTTGCCTGTATTCGTCTCCTGCACCATCGAACTGGGGAGGCCCTGAGGCAAGTGCGCCCGCTTCCTTTCTTGGAGTCGGTGGAGGCGTCGAGCCAGGAATATATTCTCTGATCACGCAGAAGTTTCTTCGTGGAAGAAGATGATTATTGTTCCTCTTGCTGCCATCCACATCATGGCTGAACATGGGAATCATGTCTTCATCGGTATCGGCATCCAAATGGTGGATCTTGTTCCTCTTATTGAGCACATCCGCCATCATGGTAGGCGGAGGAGTATTGACAATTGCTGAAGAGATGATGTTAGGAATATATCTGTGGTCCTTGTCCTTCGACAGACCAAGCTTGCGATTGCTGAAAAACTGTCCCACGGCGCCGAGATGGACGTCTCCACCAAGGATGGTGATTCTGACACTCTTTTCTGCAGCCAACTCTTGCAGCTCTTGGATAAACCAGTTCCGTTCAGCTTTGTGATGTTTCGCTGTCCAGTGATCGTCCAGGTCGTCCAGGATCTCCACGCCGCCATCGAACTTATTTACAAACCCACCCAGCATGCCCGTACGACCAACGGCTTTGATCGGGTCCATAACCCGGCTGGTGAGGATGTTCTCCAAGAAGTTTAGACGCGGGTATGCAATTGGCACCCCGAGGAGGACAACCAAGTGCTTAGTCTCACCTTGCACAATCTCGGTTCGGCAGCGGTCGAAAACAGCATCGTAGGTCTCCTGGCTGAGGATCTCGTCACGCATCCGTTCAGTCCTACAGTCTAGACCTAAGAAGGCGATATGGCGCCCGAGACTCATAAACAAATTCCGCGAGCGCTCATTGATGTACGGACCAGGCGATTTGCCCAGGAGCCAACTCGGCTCTTCAAGCTCGGTCTCACCCGCGACGCTCTGGTGCTGAAATAGCATATAGTATTTGAACGCAATGGCACCGAGACCAGTAAAGACTCGGGTACTCATAAAGTGGTGGGGGTAGCTGCCGTAGCCATCTATAATGTCGTGATCGTCCCATATGTTGACCATGGGTATTTGAGAGTTCGCCATGCTGAAGAGACCTTGGCTGAACCACATGGAGTAGCGATGAAGGTAAAACTCCTCAAGCTCTTCCTGCATCTCCACGGTAAAGTCAGCTTCGTGCTTGTGCTGCGGATTCTTCGTCTGAAGCCATTCTCTAAATAGCTCTGTGTCTCGCATTGCAGCATCATTGTAAATCTGATCGCCGCCGCCTAACATGACGTGAAAGGGACGCGCTTGGTGACGGTTCAGCACATCTCGCCAAAGAGGATCCGGCCCCGAAAACTTGTTGCTGTCGACAGACAATGAGAAGCCGTTGCATGAATGGAACATGATGTTCATCGCGTCGCCTCGCGCCGGAACCCAAAAGCCAATTGCAGGACCTCTATTGATGCGATAGGCGATGCGGCTCTGTCGGTTGCCAAGCTCAATCTCAATACTGAAGCGCCAGAATGTATATCCTCGCTCGCTGTGCAAGCGTACAGCCTTGGTCTCGCGGTACCGACCAGCCCTCTCGCCATCTCGTCTCTTGACGCGAGATTTGTCCTGAAAAGTGATGTGCTGTGTCGGTCGACCATCTACACCGATTGTCGCTTGTGGCCCGAGCACAGGAGTACGTTGCGCTGAGAACAGGCCTTGATTGTTTTCTTCGCGTGAGAGATCAGTACCGCCCTCAATGTCGTGTACTGGTCGAACGTATAGTGCTCGGCCCGTACGAGAGAGCTTCGTCTGTCCAGCGACCGGGTCCTCGTACTCAGGCGGAAGTTCGCGGCCACTGTCAACCAAATGCTGCGGCGGAGGTGTATGCAGGTCCATTGGCTGCGCGAAGATCCGGATCGTAGGTTTGCGTTCGAGGTCCGACTGATCGTCTTCAGTCACAATCATCACAGTGCCCTTCCACACTTCTCTCTGTGAGACTGCATTCGTGCGCTGGTTCCGGATGGTCTGCCGTCGTATGCCTGTATACCTTAAGAGCGGTCCACACTTCAGGAACAGTCGAGGCTGAAAGCCATTGGCTTTCTCCTCGTACGGTCCGTCGAACTGCGCCATGTCCGGTACCTGCTTAGAGCCACTGGAGCTTGACCGTTTCCCATTCTTCTCCCACCAGGCAGCATCGCCATTTTCTGGAGAAGTCCTGGCTGGTCCGAAATCAATATCGTCAGCCGTCAGCACAGCTGGTTTGGCATTGCGCCAGTCCTCAAGAGGTATGGAAGGCTGATAGCCACGACGCGGTTCGTGTCCACGATGAAAGAAGCCTCGTACGCCATGGTGTTGCTTGTCTTGATGGTCATGAAAATTCGCTGGGGCCGAGAATGCAACTTGTTCGCGGGCATGCTGCGCATTTGCCGTCTGTGGAGGTATGGCGTATCGGACGCCGTCCTCCGGACGTGAATTTTCAACAGATGCTCGAGGCACAGGATCAGGTGGGATATGCGCTTCAGCGGCTTTTCGCTCTTTCTTCGATCCGGATATGCCTCCCATGCGGTCCGAATGCAGAGCATTGCGTGCGCTGTACTCGTCTGTTTGTCCACCAGCAAATCGCTTCTGCAGCTTCTTACTGTTGCTTCTGGCGACATTCGAACCGCTATCCTGAGAGAGAGGACTGATTGGTGAGCTGGTTGCCTCACTCTGTATATGGCTTTGGCGTTTATCATACGCTACCTTGCCACGCTCGGCTGCACCAGGAGAATAGCCTGCGCTCGGAATGGATGGCCCACTCCATGCCGCAGCTTCAGCACCTGCAAAGCCAGCGTTCTTAGCACGGTATTTGCGGCTGTCTGAACGTGCAATCTCGACTGAGCCCTTCTTATTTGTCACTGGTTGCGCGTCTTGCGCAGCTGGAGCAGCTGAAGCAATTGGAGCAGCGGGAGCAATTGGAGCAGCGGGAGCAGCTGGAGCCGCTGGAGCAATTGGCTGTGGTCGTCGTTCGGGCGCTCTGTCGTATACCTTCGATTGATTTGCAATCGGCGCTGCTGAACCTGCCGTCGGACTGGTGGGTGACATATTCTCCCTCATCAGCGAGTCCCTGGCATCTCGAAAACGTCTGGCCCCAGCTTCTGCCTGGGCGTCTGGACTTGACACAGTACGTATCTTCTCGGTTTGAGTGGGACGTCGCGAAGCACCGTCGCTTCCCACTCGCGATCGCTCGCCGCGTACTGTGCCACTGCGCTCTCCTTCAGGGTCTGTTCTGCCACCTGCAATGCTCTTTTGCCGTGCTCGTTCTTCGGCGTGGGCCACCCTCGCTCTCTTCTCTTCCTTGCTCCAAGTCTCGAGATGCTGCAGTGGACTGCGATCCGGCACGGATCCTCGCCTCACCCGTTCAGAGATGTTGCTCGCGGTGCTGGCCTGCCGTTGCTTGGAGGGTTGCGCTGCTGCTGGCTGCGGCACGTTTGCAGTGCCCGGTGACATGGCATCGGGACTCCACGGCATCGAGCGTACATTTGTAGGCACATAGTCAGGATCCAGGCTGAGGGCTGGCTGTGCGGCAGGCTGGGGGAAGGTCGTCTGGAAGTCGGTGTCTGGATTCACGACCCGAAGTGGCTTCTTGCTCTCGAGAGTGTTGCTTCGCTCTTTCCGCCTGCTATCAGCCCGCGACGTGCCATTTGAGCCGGTCTGCAGGCCTGTGCGATCAGAGAAGGAACGCTTGCCATCTCCTCCTCCTCCTCCTCCTGCCTGTGGCTGGTAGTACGTGTACGGCCCGGTGGTGACATGCGGGTTCGCATAGAATCCAGGACCGATCTGAGCCTTGGGCGCTGCACTGATCTGCTCGAAGAAGCCGGTTGCAGGGTTGCGAGACCACAGTCCAGACTGTCGTCGTTGGTGCTCAGACATGGCTGCGCTGCAGTGGAGCTATTCCGGTCCCGGTAGCTAGAACTAGGAGGTACCACGGGTCGACGGGACATGAGTCGGGTGAGCAGCTCGCACAACGGGAGCGCCTCGTCTCCGGGGCCAGAAGTCAATGCCAGCAGTGAGACATGATTGCGTCCGCAGAAGGAGAGGTGAAGAGGGATGTATAAGTAGTGAGGTATAGTGGAATCGAGGAGGGCGGTATAGTGGATATAGGTAGGCAGAGCAGGCAGGAAAGTAGGTAGGTCCATGTAATGTAGCTGGAGGCAGGACTCAAACTGGCTTTCTTCTTCGAGGTGGCTGGCATTGCGTAGCGCGCATGCAGCCAGCTATAGTTCTAAGGGCGTGCATAGGTACTGTGCCACAAGGATAGAAAGAATATCTCCTGGCTGAACTGATGCTGATGATAATTTGAGAATTTGAGAATTTGATAATGCCGACGACCACATGTCTGCAGGTGGGCTGGTATTGAGTAATGAGGCATAAGGTACTGTACCTACCTACCTCCTACCAGGTTGTTCTACGACTCGGAAGTGGACGCCGCTGCATAGAACTAACTTCCCCCGACTGCCAAGCGGCCAGCGGTGTGGTGTGCGTCGACACCACGTACCTCCACGGTACTGATTCTCCGAGCGCCCCCAAACCCCTGAAAGAGCCGGCCGTGAGGTGGTGTGGTGAGGTGTGCCCAGTGAACAAAGAGTGTTCACAATTGGATGAATCCGCCGAACGTCCCAAGCCAAATGTCCAAAGTCAAAAGTCGTTATTATTGAACCACGCTTCCAGCTCCGTCGGGATCTGGCCATCTTGCACCATCCATCACCCTCGGACTCCGCCTTCAATTGCTTCTTCAAGTACAGCACCCTCTCCCGACTTAATACTTATTGACGCCAACAGATGTACATGTGATGCTGGGGCCGCTATGAGAGCGACGACATCGACATTCTACTGCTTTGCGACGCCGTCATCATGAAGTGGTCGAGTTTGTTGCCCGCGCTCCTCGCAAGCTCCGCTGCCGCAGTCGCATCACACTCTCCCCGCCGAATACGCGACTACGACGCCTACGACTATTACGCTGTACACCTGCGCCCAGATCAGGATCCAGAGCGCGCAGCGGCCGCCATTGGGCTCCAGTACGATGGGCCCCTCGGAGAATTAGACGACCATTACATGTTCCGGGACACAGCCCCGAAGCACGAATATGACCACATTGCTACATTAAAAGACGACCTGAAGCGGCGGCGGCGAAAACGAGAAGCGGGGGCTGCAGCGCCGCATGTCCTCGACAGTGTCAGATTCTCGCAAAAGCAGAGGCTCGACAAAAGATTTCCCTTGGTCAAACGACGTGCTCTGCCAGATCCAGACAGCTCCAGACAAGGCAAAGGCAAGTTCGGCGCAGACCCGGTAGCATGGGCAGTTGAGGAGCAGGACAAGGTTGCAACGGAGTTGGGCATTGCGGATCCCATATTTAAGGAACAGTGGCATTTGTACAACACCAGAGAGGTCGGGCACGACATCAATGTAACAGGTGTGTGGCTTAGCGGAATCACTGGGAAAGGCATCAACACTTGTATTGTGGACGATGGCCTGGATTTTCACAGCGGCGATCTCAAGGACACGTACTTCGCAGCTGGTAGCTGGGACTACAATGACCCGGGGCCAGACCCGCTGCCGAGACTGTCAGACGATAGACACGGGACGCGATGTGCGGGAGAGATCTCGGCTTCCAAGAACGATGTCTGCGGTGTCGGTGTTGCTTATGGCGGAAAAGTTGCTGGCGTGCGTATTCTCAGTAAAAGCATTTCGGACGCAGACGAGGCCGAGGCCATGAACTACGCGTACCAGCAAAATTACATCTATTCCTGTTCTTGGGGCCCGCCAGACAATGGAGTCGCCATGGAAGCGCCGGGAATCCTAATTCGAAGGGCCATGGTACAAGGCATTCAGAAGGGACGGGGTAGTCTGGGCAGCCTTTACGTCTTTGCCATTGGGAATGGTGCATCAAACGATGATAATTGCAACTTCGATGGATACACCAATTCCATCTACTCGGTCAGTGTCGGAGGCATCGATCGCAAAGGCCTACATCCTTACTATAGCGAGAAGTGCTCGGCGCAGCTTTGCGTCACGTATTCATCTGGCTCGGGAGACGCAATCCATACTACTGATGTGGGCGAGAACGCGTGCTATATTAGTCATGGTGGCACATCTGCTGCGGGACCTCTAGTGGCTGGCATCTACGCCCTCATGCTGGAGGTCAACCCAACTCTAACGTGGCGAGACGTGCAATGGCTCACTGTGCTGAACTCGGTCAAGATTGATCAAGGCGATGACTGGCAGATGAACGAGGCGGTTGGCCGGGAGTTCAGCCATCAGTTCGGATACGGAAAGGCGGATGCATGGGCATACGTTGAAGCAGCCAAGAACTGGACGAATGTGAAGTCACAGGCATGGTACTTTAGCCCATGGCTGCACGTCAAGCAAGCCATTCCACAGGGCGAAAACGGATTGGCATCAAGCTTCGAGGTGACAGAAGAGCACTTGAAGGAGTCCAATCTCGCGCGCGTTGAACACGTCACCGTCACGATGAATGTCGATCACACACGTCGTGGTGATCTTTCCGTTGATCTGATCAGTCCATCTGGCATGAAGTCCGAGCTTTCCACACATCGCCGCAACGACAACACCGCAGCTGGCTATGTTGACTGGACGTTCATGTCAGTCGCACACTGGGGAGAGTCTGGTATTGGCAAGTGGACAGTTATTGTCAAGGACACGCGAAAGAATGAGCACCATGGCAGCTTCACCGACTGGCACTTCAAGCTCTGGGGCGAATGCATTGATGCTGACAAGCAGGAGCTTCTGCCCATGCCGACCGATCAGGACGACGACGATCACGATGTCTATGTCGTACCGACGCAGACAGTTTCTGCTCATACCACATTTGTCGCCCACCCTACCAACGTTCACGGCGAGCCCGCTGGCAACCCGACTGATCATCCCAACCGACCCGTCAAGCCGCCAAATACCCCCAAACCTACAGCTACAGAAGCCCCTGGTGCAGCTGAAGGCGACAAGCAGGATGCTGCGGAACCTACAGCATCCGCATCTCCAGACGACAACAGATACCTACCACACATATTCCCGACATTTGGCGTTTCTGCCAAGACACAGAACTGGATCTACGGGACTATCATTCTGATCCTTCTCTTCCTGACCGGCCTCGCCGCCTGGATCGTATCCGTTCGGTGGAAGAAAGCCAAGCGACGAAACTTTGCTGAGTTCGAGATGGTCAACCAGGATGACACGGACGAGTCTGCTCCTCTTGCAGCTAAAGGACGTGCTCATGGCAAAGCTCGTAACAAGAAGGGCAACGAGTTATACAATGCTTTTGCTGAAGGTAGCGATGTGGATGAAGCAGACGCTTTCGAGCTTGGATCGGATGTTGATGACGATCAGGATGATTTTGGGGAGGAGAGTTCGCGTGGAAGCGACGGGCATGAGAGACGTGATCCCGCTACCGAGAGGTATCGAGATGATGAGCCTGGTAAGGAAGGACTTGACACTTAGTTAGTAGTCGATATTGGACTGAAGGCCTGAGCACAGCATTTTATGGAGAATCAAATCAATCATTGGATGGCGCTTGTAGCATTGGCGATAGGAAATGATGGTTGCATGTTGCAGGAGGTATGAGGTATTGACTTGAGAACGTACAGTATAGGTACCTCTTCGACATGGTGCAGATCATCAGCACTCCGCTATCGGAGACTTGATACTTTAACTCCTACCTCCTCCTCCTACCACTCTCACAGCATGCTCTCCAATTGTAGTATCCCTACCTACATACCTCGCACCATTGAGGTGACATTGCGTGACTTCTCTCCCCGGTCACCTTACCCAGTCACTCTGGTTTCTAGTACATATACTGATTATTCACCATGGCTTCTGCCAGCTTACCAACGCTGTTCCGGCAGTGCACTCCTCGACGTCACACACGCTTAGCATGGGAGCGGGGTGTACAAATACATGCAGCACATAATCGCTTCGCTTCTCCTACTCTGCTTCTACCTCCATCCTCCACAAGCACTTCTCCGTCACATCTTTGCAGCCAGAGCACGCTAACCGCACCTTACTATGCCAACCATCACCGAGTCTTCGGCCACGGATACGGCCTCCGTAGGTCAGTACCACAGCCTGCGCCCACTACGCAGACACGTTACAAATCATCCTCGATAGAATCCTCCCAAGCTCCCCTCAAAGGACTCTGGAAGCCTACCCACCTGCAACGCCTCCACTACGGTTCCAACAGTGTACAGGAACACCTCCTGTCATGTCTCCCCAGCGACAGCTCCAAAGCCTTCATCCTCACCGGCAACTCGCTAGCAACTAAAACCCCCCTCATTCAACAGATCGAACAACTTCTAGGCCCTAAACACGCCGCAACATTCAGCAAGATCGGCCAACACGCTCCGGTCAAGCAACTCGACGAAGCCACCGAACTCGTCCTCAAAGACCCATCCATCGACACCATCATCTCCGTTGGGGGTGGTTCACCGATTGACAGCGCAAAAGCCATTTCGTACCGTTTACACGAGAAACAGAAGGACAAATGGCTCTATCACATTTCCATTCCTACAACCCTCAGTGCTGCCGAGTGTACACTTGGGGCCGGATACACGAATGAGGACGGGATCAAAACCGGAGTTGCGGCCCCTCAACTCGCACCACATGTAATCATCTACGATAGTCACTTCGCGCTCGAAACGCCAGAGTGGTTATTTGCCAGCACTGGCTTGCGAGCTCTAGATCATGCCATGGAATTGATGTATCATCCCACCAGTACCGAGATCTGTAGACAGAACTGTCTATTGGCTGCACATGGGTTATTTGAAGGCCTGAGGGCATATCATCGCAATTCGAAGGATGAGCAGGTCATCACCAAGCTGCAATTGGCAGCCTTCCAATCACTAGGGTTTTTGGCGCTGAATGTCAAGGGCGGACTGGGATTGAGTCATACGCTGGGGTATGCGTTGGGAAGCCCTTTTCAGATTCCTCATGGGATTACATCTTGTTTGACCTTGGGACAAGTGGTGAAAGTGAAGGCTGAGAGCAATGAGGATGATGCCAAGCAGTTGGCGAGGATGGCACCTTTTGTGGGTGTCACGACGAGTGGGGATGCTAAGAAGGATGGTATGGCTGTGGGTGACGCTATCATCAAGCTTGTCGAGGATATTGGTCTCAAGACTACACTGACGGAGAAGGGCGTTGGCAAGGACAAGCTGGACTGGATTGTCAAGACCGCTACCAGGCAGGAGAGTGGGCCGCTCTATGAAAAGGTGAAGCAGCTGGTAGAGACGCTGTATTAGGAAGTCTCCCGAATCTGGCGCCTGGAACGAGCGAGCGAGCGCCGTGGGTGTTTCACTTGGTATCAGTACAAGTACAATCGGTCGACAATGGGTTGCACAGAGCTCAAAAGATACATGTTGTCTCGAAGCTCCTGCTCTCAGCTGTTGCATCTCCAGATAACAGCCTCATAGGGTATGGGGAGATTTCTCGTCATCGGAATGAAGACACCATAATCCTCGTGCCAAATAAGGTCTGCTTAGGCATTCTTCTTCGGTTTTTCCATTTCTATCATGATATGCCAGAAAGAATGTCGCCCGTGATTTACATGTACGTGGTCCAACTCCGGCATCGCTCGGGCTCGGTGGTCGGCATATCATCCCGTTAAGTCCATCTAAGCGAGATCGGTAATGCGTTGGAACCCTTGTTGGAGTTTAATCGATATTGACGGGAGTTGACAAGACTACTGTAGGAGGTAGTACTGTAGTCTGTTGTCCACCGTACCTCTAATAGAGGACGTATTAGAGGTGAAGTTCCTAGCCTGTTTCTTGATATTCTAATTCAGTAGGTAGATATCCACCTAGTCGACTATTGATTACAGGTACTACTTGATTCAACCTAGCTCAGTATATGAACAGTGATATCATCATATCCTCTATTCACCTCGCTTACGTTGTCCATCAACGAACGGTACCAGGTATATTACTACTCCTCAACAACTTACTAGGAGCCCTTTTCTTCCAATACCAACCAACAAAGAACAAAGCTGAAAGCTGATCAATACCATATCGTACGGAACGCCTTTCACAACAACGATCAAGCATTCAGAAAACCAAAAAAAAGACAACAACAAACCCGAACCATGCCTCCCAAAATCGACGTCCACTCCCACTTCCTCCCACCCTGCTACCAAGAAGCCTGCAAAACCCACAACCAATCCAACCCAGACGGCATGCCCCATCTCCCCACCTGGAGCCCCGAAGCCCATCTCACTCTAATGAACAACCTCTCCATCTCCAAATCCTACCTCTCCATCTCCAGCCCCGGAACCCATCTCGTCCCAGGCAACGACACTCTCGCACGCAGCCTAACCCGCGACTGCAACATTTACGCTTCCAATTTAAAAAAATCCCACCCTAATCGATTCGGATATTTTGCAGCTTTGCCTCTTCCCGATATCTCAGGAAGTTTGCAAGAAATTTCTCAGGCGATAGAAGAAGGTTGTGATGGATTTGTTTTGATGACGAATTCGCATGGAAAGTATTTGGGAGATGAAGAATTGAATCCTGTTTTTGAGGAATTGAATCGGAGGAAATGTTTGGTGTTTATTCATCCTACTACTCCGCAATGTCCTTGTTCTTCTTCTTCTTCTTCTTCTTCGCCGGAAGGGATTGCTGCAAAGGGAGGAGGAGAGGTACCAGTAAAAGCTACGCCGTTTGCGGGAAGAATGCCGAATCCCATGTTGGAGTTTTTCTTCGATACGGCTCGTGTGGTGACGAATTTATTCATGAGTGGGACGATTCAACGATGTCCCGATTTGAAAATTATTCTTCCGCATTTGGGAGGTGCGGCGCCGAGTTTGCTGTCGCGTTGGACGGGGTTTAGTCAATTAGTTCCGGGGCCGTGGGAAGGTATGGAAGAGGCCAAAGTGGTGGAAGTCTTTCGGAAGCAGATTTGGTTCGATATGGCGGGTTTTGTATTTCCGAGTCAGATTCGAGGGTTGATGGATGGCGTGGGAGTGCCGCATACGAGATTGTTGTATGGGTCGGATTTTCCGTTTACGCAGAGTGATGGGGTGGAGTTGTTGTTGGGGCAGATGGAAAAGGGCGTCAAGGAACTTTTTAATGAAGAGGAAATTGAGGATTTGTATACTAGGAATGCGCAGAGGCTGCTCTCGAGTGGTGAAGCGTAGTTACCTACCTAATTAACTACATGTAAGGTCAGGTAGCTATCGTCCGCTTGCTATACGCACGAAAGTCCAACTGCGGATATTCGCAGCTTCGTAGCAGAGCTGAGCAGCACACACTACTGCGTGCCATGAAGATACATCCAGATCGTAGTCCTCGTCATCTACGACACCAATAACGTATTGCTCGAAGATCGTATTCTCATTTGCCGGGTTGCTCTGCTTGGCAGACTCACAGATATCCCAACCCTCCGCCACCCACGATTTCCAGATCGCTTCTCACAACCCAGCCGTCACTGCCAGCTCGGCCAAGCACATCAGCTCTCTTAGCAGCACCTAGTTCGCCGATCCTATTGACTAAAGAGCCATCAACCACACCTCTCGCTCCACCAAAGCTCTCGGCCTCCACAGCTCTGTATGCCCTCGGATTGAGACCCGCAGCGTGTTCAAGTATCGCAGTGAGATGTGTCTGCAGGGCTGATAGTCGCCGATATGCAGCTTCATCCAGAGGTGTGATGAGGCCAACTGATCCGGATCGTGATGTTGCCAGAATGTGATGAAGTGAAGGTGGAGCTCTTGTGGCTTCCTCGTTGTTCCCATTCGTCCCATTTGCCATGTCTCGATCTTGACTTTCGAATGGCTTCAGACTGGAGGGCACGAGAAGCATGTTTGTCACCAGATGACCAATATGGAAGGTGCTTCTGTGTAACAATCGCATGCCGCCCACTGACTTCGGATTCTCGGGATCATACTGCAGAACATGCAGGTCATTGTCGGCGTCCATGATCAAGATGTACAAAGCTCCATCGAAGGGAAGGAATTCTGCAGTCATCACCTCCATTTTGCTCTTTGGTGACTTGCCCATCACAGTGAGCTTGTATGGCTCCTCGGTAAATCCGCCGAACCACAGGCCTTTCCATGCATCACCCGCTAGCCACATCCCTCGCCCAGGTAGCACTTTGAGAGTATGAGTATAGCTTTGTGCGTCGAGAAAGGCGACTGGTAAGCATGTTCCATCCTCCTTCAGTCCACGCACCATGAGCTTGAGACCTTGTGCTGTGCCGAGGAAGCCTCCGGGGAGAGGGCCAGCGATAGAAGTGATCGCGCCACGTGCCTGTTCTCGGGCAAGCTGGTGGAGTTGGAAGCCACTCTCGGGAACATCTGGGTCCGGTACGACATCGATGATATCGTACAAGATTACTGCACCTTTGGCTGGCATATCTTCGCCCCGCTGTGCGGCAGTGGATACGACCACAAGATCCTTCTGCTCGTGCGTATTTTCAGAAACCTCCAGCGACATCACTTTCAATGCAGTCACAGTTTCGAGATACCCCAGCTCCACTGACTGTAGTCTCTGGTGAGACTTTGCGGATACAAGGTGAATGGTATACTGCGGAACCTGTGGTCGTAGCTCAATGTCATCCTGCTCCGGGTGACGGCCGTCTTCGCCTGCGAAATAGAAATCGATGTCTCTGCACGTCGCTACCACGTACACTTCCCTTTCCGCATGGTATGCAATGTGTCGCACATCTTCGCCAATGTCCACCTGTTGTATGCTCCACCCAGTACCGTACCATGTCTTTTCCGGTAGCTGATTCTCCTGCACCTCCTCGTCTGCGTTGATAGTCAAAAAGCCGTGCTCGCAGCCAGGCCGGTGAACTGGCGACATTACAGTGGCACGTTGCGATGACTGCGTGTCCCGCACCTCCAGCACCTTAAGAAGAGATGAAGACTCTTTCATCAACAAATTGGTGGGCCCTCCTGGGATGTTGACTGCGTGGTACCCACCCACTTGGATACGCTTGAGTGGCGGGGTTTGAGCGTCAGATAGTTGCTCGTTATACTTGGGGATGTACGAGAACGGCACTTTCCGGAAGTGCAAGCTCGAGTGCCACGAGTCTTCGTTTGGCCGAAGTGGATAGTGAAAAGGCTCATATAGCACGATATCATCCATTGCTGTCCGCACTATCAGATATGGCTCAGTGGCGCTATCCTGGCCGAGATCTGCCACCAAAAGTTCCGTCAAGGTAGCTTTCGTTCCAACCCGGCGTGCCACAGCATCAGCCGCCAGTATCGGAGGCAGATGAGGAAGATTTGGTAAGGCGTAGACAGACGTGAGGTCTGGCAAGCTGAACACATGCAGACCACCATCGGCGTCCAGCAGGAAAAGTGCAGCATTCCGCCCCGTCAGCACACCGGTGTAAATGCACCCACTGAGCCACTTCTTTTCCGTAACCATACCCTCACCTTCAAGGGTCTCTAATTCACCGCCTTGAACAGCAAGCACTTGGACACTATTATCACCTCTGATCACTAGCACATACGGATCGGAGACTGCGATGTGCACTATGCTCAGATCCTCATCCGTTTCCTCGTCAGTCATAGGGATGATCTGGTCCAGTCCGAGCTTGGCATTATATGTTCGCAACTCTGTGCGACGTGTTTGCACAACGATTGTGCCGTCAGCGACTGTAGCCATATCGAGGGTCTCTCCAGCGCTCTCAAACTCGGGAGCAGAACGCTCAGTATAGCTGCTACCATCTTCATCCTGCGAGGGAATGTCGTACACTTTGGTATCGTCGCCATCGAAGACAAAAAGAAGGTTGTCGTACTCTGGGAGCGCAGCATTACGCTGTTTAGGGCGAAGTGCCCATGTGGCTCTCGCCGCGCCAAGCTTACACTTGCGCCGTACTGTTGGTACGATGTCACGATGCATGAGAGTAAGTCTGCTAGCCTGTTTACGACCAGCCCCTGCTGCAATCTCCAGTCTGTCCTTCCATGGACCCGAGCGACCGAGACATACTTCATGTATCGGTCCAGTGGAGAGTAATTCGTCTATTATAGAGAACGTGTACTGTGCAGTCGAAGTCACAGCCGTCTCCGATGATGCTCGTTTCTTCGGCTCGGGTGCTGCATCGTACAAGTCATCGTCGTCTTCTTCCATTTCCTCGTCTTCATCGTCCGCCTCCTTATCTAGCATTTGTGCATGCGAACGCTTCCGGTTGAGCGCCGAGGTAGGTCGTGACCAGCCCAGAAGTGAAGAGGCGCCGTCCTCACTGCCAATGAAGATCTTGCTGCCTTCAAGTCTTGCCATACATGACGGCGCTGTGTGAATCGTTGTGCTTCCGTTTTCGGACGTGGCTCTCTTTACGTTCAATGCGCTTATACTACGGCCATGCATTTGGAAGGAAAGTATTGCGAGCGAGCCGTCATTGGTGACAATGAGAAGCTCACCAGTCTTGGAATCAAGTACTTCTACTCTGCAGTCTTCGAGTTTTAGATTGAGATGAGACTGATCTGCCATGCCAAAGTCACTTTCCAGCTTTGCAAATTCGTTGACTGCAGTAGCATTTGCCTTGCCGCTCTGATCCACATGCACGAGCTCATTCGTGCCAAGAAGCAAAGCGCCACCCACAGGCAGCGGCAATGGCACGACCTCCCACAACGTCGAAGGAAGCTTTGGTACGCTGATGAGGTTCGTAGATGCCCTTTGCTCCAGATCCAGCGTGAGCACAGTATACGTTAGGATATCTTTGCGCTCCTCTAGGAGGCTGTACGAAGGCTCCACTGTCGCCGACAAGATGCCAAATGTCGGCTCCCGGTACTCGTGCAAGAAAGCCAAGTGCACAGCATGACTGACGGAGGGATCCAGCGCTGTGAGCGCCAGTGTGAAGGAAGCCTTGTAGGGCGTGTGCTCGGTATCGCCATTGGCGTGTGGAACAGACTCGGTCCTCTTTGACGTCGCAAGTGCATGATCTGCATCGAACTCGCCCTCCTCTTCTTCTCCAGCTAGCTCATCTCCAAACTGTCTGAAGGGGAGAATGGCCAATTGTCGAGCGCCAAACTTCAAGGCGGCGCATCGTGAACTCGGGTCGACGGTCAGGATGGAGTCGCAATCGGCGAGGGGTGGTCCAAAGGGGGCAGATATCACATTATCGCCTTCGTAGAAATGCAAGCTAATCGTGCTGATTCGATAGTTCTCCGGGTCCCACTCGACCAAGCTGAGCTTCGCGTCTTTGAAGGAGAGGAGGACAGCTTCGCCTCCCGACTTGGTATCCAGAGTCTTGACACGTGCTATCGAAGTGACAGTGCCTGCCAGGCTGTATTCCCCCACCAACACCAGTTTCTCGTTCCCGCCATCATTGCCCGCGGCCTTGACGCCAAAGACCTGCAGGAGCGATGTCTTCGCGACCACGAGGTTGTTTGCTTCCGCGCTCACGAATGGCAGCGCAACAGCGTGCGTGACAGCCGTGGGAGGCACGAGTTCCGTATAGCACTGCATCCGCGCTGTTTACCTGGCGTCTTTCCGGCAATGCATCCCCTCTCCGTGATTGTGTTCGTGCTCTTGCTCCTTTCCCTTCCGTTGTTGTTGTTGTGGTTGTGGTTGTTGTTCCACCTCCCAAATGGGAATCTCGAGCTGTCTGGATCTGGCAAACGCGCGCGCCCGCGAAGCATACCAGGTAGCGAATGGGAGGGCGAGGGCTCGTGCTGAAGTCTAAATCCAGCTTCGTCCGTCATACCAAGCAGCAAGCCAAGCTCACGCGCCGAGCTCACAGCTCACATCAATCAAGGAAGGAACGACGCAGACAGGCAAGGCAAAGGCAGGTCGACAGCCGTGTCTCTCCCCTCCCAAATCCTCTTCCTCTTCCTCTTCCTTTTCCTCTTCCACTCTCTCTTCTTCGCCCTCGCTTCCTCTACCTCTTCCTCCTCCCCCTCGAACAGCCGTCAACATGGCGCTCATCGAAACAAGCTTGATCTGGGTGGCCTACGCCGTGTGCCTCGCCATCATCTTCTTCATCTCCGCCATCTTCGTCTACGTCTACCAGAAGCCAGGCGAGCGTACCGTCGCCGTCACGCTCATATGCCAAATCACCATCCTCGCCCTCCTCGCCACGGTCTTGCTGATGCCAGTGGACGTAGCACTGGTCTCTTCCACAACGAGCAGGAAACTGGGCAGGAAGAAGGACTGGGCTACCCCCGATAAGGTGGATGATACGCTGTACACCCTCAAGATCGTATACTACACGCTGTACAGTCTGGACGCTGTTCTGTGTCTGCTAGTCGTCCCTTTTACCTACTTCTACTACGAAGAGTATGATGAAGTCGCAACCGAAGAGGGACAGCAGACCATCGGTTCGAGACTATGGGCTGCTTTCAAGTGGACAATCGCATTCATCGTCTTTTGCGTGATCCTGTTCCTCGTGGGCTTCTTTGTACCAGTCACCAAGAAGGCGCGAGATGATCACAAGGATCTGGACTTCTTCCGAGACCTACTTACTGAAAACCGTGAGTAGGGCATCTATGCAAAGCATACTGCGTGTGGTAGGACATCTCTAATCAGTGCACAGACGGCGAACGAGCTTTGACCTTTGCCATTGGCGTACTCATCCTAATCGGCACCATCCTCTACTGCTTGTACACTGCACCGGGCTTGGCTCTGCTCCCAGTCTCGCTCATCAAATCCGCACCAAGCATCTCAACGCCGCAACTTGCCGAAACAACTGAGAGCCAGCTTGCACAGAATCGTGAGAGGCAGCGCCAGCTCGAGGGACGGAGCGAGGGCCGAGAGGGCGGTCTGGACGGCCGCGACCGACGCGAACTCGAGGCTCTGAACCGCGAAGAGCGCACATTGATTCGCCGCCAACGCCTCGCAGAAGAGAATGCTGGAACTGATCGGAACTGGATCGTCAAGGTGTGGTTGAAGATGGAAGCTGTCTTCCGCCCGCTTAAGCTCCTCTTTGGGCTCCTACTGGTCGTCGTCGCTCTGGTCATTTTCGCCAGCATGCTGATCACCATGGTGGACAAGATCAAGAACTCTGTCTGTGGTGTCTCGTGTGCTTACCTTCTAGGCAAGACGAAGATCTTTCAGCCGATCAATGCCCTCCTCCGCGAGACGTCCAAAATCTTCCCGATCGACTATGTCATCTTTCTCTTATTGACAGTGCTCTTCTTCTGCGCCTCGGTGGTCGGTCTCGCTACCATTGGCATCCGATTTCTCTGGGTGATGCTCTTCCGCATTCGCAAGGGCCACACCACGCCGAACGCCATGCTCATGGCCACGGTCATGCTCACACTCATGACCTTCGCCCTGAACTACAGCCTGGCCATGATCGTTGCACCACAGTACGTCACGTTTGGTGCTCAAACATACTGTGACAGACCCACCGGAAACCCGGAACAGCAACCAGACTGCAGCCAGCATCACAGTGCTATCAAGCCTTGCTCAGAGAGATCAGACAACCCCGTGGCGAAGATGGTCTGCACACCTTCGGTAGTTTCGACATTCCTCAACAGAATTACAGCCAACTTTCCCTACCTTGGCGTGGTGGATTTCTACGCCCAGTTCGCTTTCCTGGGCATCTTCATCATTGTCTTCTTGGTCACACTATTCCGTGTGCCCAAGCTTGACGAAGAACAAATGGACGAGGATCTTCAAGAGGCAGAAGAAGAAGGTCTGCTAGCCTCGACCGGTAGACGCTTTGGAGCAACATGGCAGGATATTACCGGACGCTCCAAGGGCGTAAAGAGGTCGAATTATGGTGCTTTGTCAGGTGGGGTTGCGAACGGCGATGACTGAGTCTGAGTGTACGAGCATCGGGAGAACAGGACAGGACAAAATGTGAGGAATGTACTGAACTCACGGCCCAAGAATGATTCGGTGTATATGAAAGGTGATGTGTTTTTGTCTCCTTGGATACCCTTCTAGCATCTATTTCAGTCTGGCAAACAGTTTACGCACATCGACAGACACCATGTTATTCCCATTAAAACGCTTCTATTCGGAAAGCTTATCTCGTCCATCGCTCGTTCACTGGCCCGACTTAAAGAGAAAGTCGAAATACTGCGCATCTGTCATTCCTTCTCGCAGGAGCGAAGGGTTTTCAATCGCGAACTTATCTTTTACATCCCGAGCTTTTCCTCCATGCTCCAAGGCGAAACGAAGAAAATTCTCTCCACGTCTTGATGACGATACTTTGAGATCTGTAAGGTCTAGGATTCGAGGCTTTTGCATAGACCATGCGCGTCAGACAAGCATCCTCGAGTTAATTATTCTTGTGGGAGATTTGCATGTTCCCTGCCGAGGTTTGTCTTCTGCCAAGTCGTGCTTGATTGGCGATCCAATTTCTCCCGTATACCATACCATACCCCTATTCTACTAGGTATCTACAGTAGTCCGCAGCGTCCAAGTCGACTCGGCCATCACATGCTCGCCACAAGCATGATGAGGGAGGGGCATATGATCCTCGGCTCACAGCTATTTTAGAGATTGAGAGCAGCACGTTAAAGTTGTTCTGCTGCCTACGCATTTCTGGCTTTTACAAACTACTGGTCAGTTCGCAGAGAGCACGCTGTATCCTACTCCACTCGAGCATTTGTTTTCTGCGAGCCTTACCTTGACCTTGTCACGACTGCCCATGTGTGCTAGTCCTGCTACAATACTTTATGTACGAGACGGAACTGACCGCAGAAGGATGGGGATACTGCACCTGCTTTGCTGTAGGTATGCAGAGCAACCGAGGAACTAACTCTCTTTACGATGATGCTGATTTTTGTTGTCTGTTGGAGGAGGAGGATACAGGTAGGTAAGGCAGCAGTGGGAACTGACTTTTTTTTGATGTACATGTATATATATAAGAATGCTCGCTGTGTTGATATAGGTATCAGCAGTTCATTGAACAAGTCCTTATCCAAACCACCACCTGTTAACAAACCAAACCTCTCTCTTTCTCTCTTTCTACCGCAAACCCACAATACCACAAACCTCCCAATCACACCAAATCAAACCAACCTCCCCAAAACCCCCCCAAAATGTTCCACCTCTCCACCCTCTCCCACCTAGCAGCCAACGCCAAAAACGCCCTCGTCCCTCGAACCCCCCTCACCCCTCTCCAAAATCTCCAACAAATCAACTCTTCAATCACAAAACTCACCAACCTCATCTCCACCTGGTCCGGCAGCAGCCTCTTATCCGCCGCGCCAATTTCCTCTCAATCAGCGACTTTGAGTGTCGAGTTGAAAAATGCTATTGGTGATGTGAAGGTATCATCCCCATTATCCTCATCATCTTCCTCGTCATCATCGGGAGAAAAAGGAGGAGGAGGGGTAGGAGCAGGAAAAAAAGAAGCAGAAGAAGAAGAAAGACTACTATTGGAATACATCACATCGACCTTACGTCCGAATATTGAAAAATGTATGCACACTATGAAGAGTCGGAAAGAAGAGTTTGGAAAGTGTGGATTGGGAGGGACGGTGAGTGGGGATTTGAGGGATTTGAGAAAATTGACGGGGGAGTTGGGGAGGAGTTTGAGGGAGAGGGTGGTTGGGAAGGGGGAAATGAGGGAAGGGAAGGGGGACGGGGACGGGGACGGGGTGAGAGGGGAGGAGGAGGATGAGAAGAAGGAGGAAGAAGATGAGAGTGAAAAGGTGATGAGGTTGATTGATGAGGATTTTGAGGATGCCATTCAATGGTTTGCTTCATGAATTATTGGACGATTTGTTCTTGTTGTTGTTTTGAATTTGTTGGTGTGACGGTGAAGTTGGATGTTGCTTGATATGATCAATATCGTATCGTACACTGGGTATCTAATAACTCTCAAAGTCATGCTATGCTCTTCTTCCCGAAATCTATCTTCTCACATCCATGTCATCTCATACAAGTACTTTTCTGTCTATTTTCCGGCCCGCGAAGCTGCACGGCACACCTTGCCATGCGATGTGAGTACTGCCAGGACTACATCTCCTTCAGCCATTTCTGAAACATTAAGAATGCAATATCGTTAGATAAATCAAAGCGTCCTGGAGTCGAAATTCGCGGCCGTACTCATAGCAGTGGGCATCTTCGCCACATCGGGTGCTCCCGTTGCGCTGTGATCTTCCTCGCCGAATCCTCGGTACTGCTGTCACCACTAGCACAAGCAGGTATGACCTTGTAAACGGGGTCAAGCCTGCAGTGACTATATGGAGCCTCGCTTTTCCGCCTTCGATAACTTCTTCTCGTCTGCCTCGGCTTTGCGTGCCACTGCATTGGCCTTCTCAGCCTCAAGGCCCGTCTTCGTTTCCTCGTGCTCTCGTGAAAGCTTCTTCTGCCTGACACCAAACATCACCAGGAATCCCGCTACCGCAAAGCAGGTATACATGATCCACATGGGTTGCAATGAGTCAGCGAATGCAACTCGGACGACCTCGCGCTGCCCGCTCGGCAGTGAATTGATGAACTCCGTGCTCGAGCCAGAATTGCCTCCGGTGACTTGGTTAGCAGCGTCACTACCAATGTCTGCAGCAATCTGACCACTCTTCTTCTGCAACTCGTTCTGGTAGACGACTTCTCCGATGACGACAGAGATACTGGTTGCGAGCTGACGTACGAAGCCGAGAGTAGCAGTGGCAGTGGCAATGTCGCGGGGGTTGATGTGCGCTTGGAGTGCAATAATGGGAGACTGGAAGATAGGTCCAATTCCAGCTCCCGAGATGATTTGATAGATGATGAGCTTCGCCCAAGAGCTGTGCGCGTCAATGTCGATGTAGAGTCCGAATCCAAGTGTCAGAAAGAAGAATCCAAAGTAGATGGGCGGAAGGAATTTGCCCGTCTTAGCGATGAAGGCGCCTGTCGCAATCGACGTGACTGCAAGAGATACAGCAGTTGGCAGAACCAGGACTCCGGACATGATTGGCGACTGACCTCGGACTGCTTGGAAATAGAGTGGCAAATAGTAGCTCGTGGATATGAAGACGATCCCGTGCAAGAAGACGATGGCGAGCGTCGAGGCTCTGCTGACAGAGGCAAATAAGCCCATTGGCATGATTGGATATGTGGCAGCCTTCCACTCCCACATGCCGAATAGGAAAAGAGTGAAGGCACCAATGATGATTAAGCAGAGTACTCGAGCGGAGTCCCATGGCGCAGAGACACCACCGTATTGCAGACCAAATAACAGCATGAGAGTACCGCCCACGACAAGCAAGGATCCTATCCAGTCGATGGCTTTTAGTCCTTGCAAGATTGGTGTCCGTGGTGTCTTAATATCTAGGAAGAAGAGAAGGATGAAGAAGGCCAGTCCATCCAGAGGTAAGCTGCGCGCACAGTTAGCTGTTTTTCCATAATCTCACATGTTCACTGCACTTACTTGATGTAGAAGCACCACCTCCATGTGACATACTGGGAGAAAGCTCCGCCGATGATGGGACCGACGCTGGAAGCGATAGCCCAGACACCACCAATCACACCGTAAAAGGCTCCGCGCATTCGCATGGGGAATAAATCTCCAATTACGATATTGACGAGAATGACGAGCCCACCTCCGCCAATACCTTGGATCGCTCGGGCAGCAATCAGCATGCCAATGCTGTTGGCTAAAGCAGCCACCAAAGAGCCGATCAGGAAGATGATGTTGGCAAGCAGCAACATGGGCTTGCGTCCGAAGATGTCACTGACTTTTCCCCATGAAGGAATCGAGGCTGAGTTTGCCAGCAGGAACGCTGATCCAATCCATGTATAGCCGGCAGTAGAATTGAAGTGCTCACTGATGGTTGGCAAAGCAGTTGTGATGATGGTCACATCAAGAGCAGCCAAGAAGACAGCCATACACAATGCAAGCATGATGATGGCTATCTTGCCCTTCGATCGTCCATTGATCTTCCCATCCTTGCTTACCGCTTGCTCCAGCTCTTGATGCTCCTCGTCCTGTGATCCATCCTGCTTGTCATCCTGCTTCTCGACATCGTTGGCAAGATCTGAACTCGATCTTGATGTGCTACCCTGGCGATCCTTTTCAACATCTTGTCCCTCCAATGTCGTCAACGTGGGCTGTGTTTGTGTTTGCGATTGTGGTGCAGGCTGGTAGGTCGTCGCACCCGTCGTTTGTGCTGCTGCTGGGTTCGATGTGGAAGTCGTCGTTTGTGCTGCTGGGTTCGATACGCCGTTCGTCGTTGTCGTCGTCGTGGCCGTGTCGTCGTGTGTACCTGTAGTCATGATGCCCGTCTTTCTTGAAGTTCAAGGGCCAAGCTTGTTGTGCTTGGATTGCGTCACCGAGAACTAGTTCTAGTCTCGTCCAGCGTGTATGTACTATTGTGATATGTCAAGTAGATGGAAAATGCATTCCAACGTCGCGCTGGCACGACAGCGTCATAGACTCCCCGAGACAAATTCTTTCGCTAAAGGCCGAATCAATGATCCCAAGACAGGACCTGCGGAATTCGGCATCTCGCAAAGCAGACAAAGTGATGATGTGGATCTGGTTTGGCGGCCTAGCCCGATCGAGCTGTCGGCTCCCCAAGTGCAATAATGCAGATTGCTGATTCGTGGCTTCCATCTCGGCCAGCGCTTGGAGTCAGGAGGAGAGTCTTTGCTATTGCCATCTTACCTCCGTCTGCGATGCTGCTATGATTCGACCGCCACATGCACGACTTTGACATGCGATCATACAGCAGAGAACTCATCGACTGCTGATGTTAGGAGGTATGTTCGCCGCGCTGAACTGTAACATACATACAGGACCCTTGACGTCAATGGCACATCCTGGTCGTTTGATTGCGCAATCAACTGAGATTTACTTCACATGCAACATGGGTTTTCGGAGCCGGCCAAAAATAATGTAGCAGCCAACTTACATAGTAACGTGCCACCGTGGCACCGTCTCTCTGCGTGTCTCTCTGCTTGCCGCTGTCCACCCCGTCTTCTGTACTAATGGAACATACAGTATTTGCTGCATCTATCGCTGTTTATTATGGGCGTCGGCGGCGGCGGGCGCTACTCCAAGCTCAGATGCGAGATCGACTCGTAGCGAGATAGACTCATCTCACGCGTGCTCTGTCATGTTGCCGATCTTACTGCGCTGCCATCTCTGCCATCTGCGCGATGGCCAGCACTGATGCCGAACTTGAGGAGGCGGAGGAGGCGGATGAGGCGGAGGAATAGCAAGGAGTCGGTCGTGAGCCGCTAGAGCTGGGCGAAGCGTGCGAGTAACCGCGCCGTGAGAATGATCAAGGGCAGCCAGGATTCCGGTATGCAGTCTCGCTTGCATTGCTTGGTTTGCTTCGTAATGAGGTGTTCGTTGGTGCCGTTCGCAGAGGCAGAGGAGACAGCCCATGCTGTAGCTTGAATGGAACTCAATTCCCAAGAACTTGGAAATGGTCAAGTTGTTGATGTTCAGAAGTGGATTTGATATGGCCCTATTTCACTTCACGAGGCAGGAGCCACCACTGCATTTCGCTCGTGACGGCAGGGACGGCCATAACACGAGAATGACGCGACTTCCGGGTCTGCCTGATTTGAAGCTTCACTTAGAGATGGCAAGTACGCGACAATTGAAGCAGACGGGACGTTCTCGTGTCGTGTCGATACATCTCGACGTTGACCTAGCGACCTCTGCGAGCGAAAGGAACAACAAACATCCATTCACCGCTGCCTCTCCAACGACCTCAACACGGCCGAACACCTGCACACCACCCGAACATGTGCTTCCAGAAATTCATTACGTTCCAGTGCGGCTGTAGGCGCCTCGAGGAACAAGAATGCGAGCACGCGCAAGGACTCGACATCAACTTTTGGCAGAAAATCGATTGCCCGTACTACACCACCACGCGAAAACACTGTTGGACTCAGTGCGGTGCCGGCGAATTCTATTGTGGAGCTACCGATGATGGAGGGATATTCGATGCGGTCGATGAGATGCACGTCAAGGCATCATACCAGCACAAGGTCATGGCGATAAGGCTCGTGAAGGGCAAGGAGCTTCTACGGCAGCAATGCGACGAGTGGGTAGCCAATGGCGGTTCCTTGGAGGTGTTCCAGGAGTGCCAACAAGCTCGGGATTGCTGGGGCAGTCTAGCATTGATTGACTTCGAAAGGAAACGGCTCGAGAATGAAATTAATAATTGGTTGATCGTCAAAAGGCTTGCACGGGCGCATGACGAGCGCAGAAAACTACGCCTTCACGCTGGCTTGCCATCGTGGCCATCTTTTGCAGACTTCCTCAAGGTCAACCATCCTCAAGCGTTTGCCAGACTCGATCGCGACGACTTTGCCGGTTCGTCAAGCATAGCTCCACCAAACACCGGGACTGCCAACATGGACCTCGTGGCCCACGTGAACACGTTTGGCCAGTCGTCGGTTCTCGGCGCCCCCTCGTCTGTTGCCAATATACCGCCACGTCCTCCGGCGCCGTACTCGCATCACGGTATAGGGATTCGGCGGGATGCATCACGCTTCTCCGTGCGGCAACGGGTCGTACATGAGAGTCAGACCCCGATACCACAGTCGGATCTTACAGAACCTTCGAGGGGTCACACAACCACCTCTCTCATCCCTGACCTTGTACGGACCCAGCGCCTAGCGGCGATTGAGATGGTCACATCAGAAGTACAACGGGAAGCAAACCGGCAGAGAACTGATGCTGTCGCTCAGAACAGTATACCAGAAGTACAGGCTTACCACCGGCAACTTGCTGCTGATGCTGCTCATGCTGCTGCTCAGGACGCCATACCAGAGCAAGCGCACCAGAAGAGACGCGGCAGATTCAAGAAGCAAGAGCCAGAAGTGTCGTTGTCACCCGAAAAGTCTTCAAGCAAGGTGCGGCGCAGCACTAGGGTGAAAGCCAAGAAGGTCAACTATAACGTGGACGATTCCTCGGACGTTTCTCGATCGTCGTCGCCAGCAAAGTCGGATGTCTCGACATCCTTAAGTCGGATGTCCGGCCTTTCTGACAAGCCTGCCAAGTCACGGGGCAATTCGAAGAAGAAAGAGACAGTAACAGGAAACAGCAATTTCCTCGCAAGAGGCAAGGCGAACCTCGCAGACCAGATCGGAGAGTGGAGCCGCAGCGACAGCGTTGTCGGCACTCCGCCTCGAGAGCCAGACCAGCACACAGGAGGCAAAAAGCGCAAGCCAGAGCAACATGTCACCGAAAAGGAGGACCACGTCAGATTGAAGCAAGAGCCCATGCAGGACCAAGCATTTTTTGTGAGCACTGGTGTTACCGAGCCGGCGCAAGAGTTCCAACAGGCGTCAAACAGTAGCCAACAGTCTATCCCTCGCAACCAAGCAGATGCGAGGGGCGAGATGTCTCATCTCTCCACGTCCGGGCGCTCTCCCTCGCCCAGCAAGCGCCCCGTATCGGCACCCACTCCACCGTATAGCGGATACACACAAGATCCGTATGGACCGCCAGACTTTCCTGGCTCCAGTATCATGGCCCCGTCATTCTCCATACCAAACCCATTCAGAAACACTGCGATGAACCAATTGTTTCATGGTGTAAGGCCAACGTCCACCCAGAGACCTTCCTCTGCAGGCTATCTTGTATCACCCGCAAATGGGTATGTGTCTTATCAAGGATTTGCAGGTCCGAACGAGCTCGAAGTGACCGCGGGCAATGTGCAGGATATGGTTCAGGAATCAGCTGCATCGCCCGAGCTGTCAATGGAATACAGTCTGCGTTCTGATGAGAATACGTACTCCGACGTTGACTGGTCGATTTTGGATGCAGATGCCACACTCTAGCCGTGGCGAGAACTGCTTTTCATTGAGGGCCGGAACAAGTTGTATTACTGTTCCTAGGATATGACCAGTTCCAGGGATGCAGGATCGGCGGAAATTGTCACGCAGGCGAACGGAATAGTGTTGTGAGGATGATCTTGCACACAGGCAACCGTTCTCATCGATGAACACCACGGAAATCCAGAAGAGCAGCTGTTCCAGAAGCCAAGATTGTTTTAGTTAGTTAATTAGTAGATTTGTTATCATCATGAAAGCCATCCATGTCCTCCTCCTCCTCAATCCTCTCCTCCCTTCTCCTCTCCTCCCTCCCCCTCTCCCCCCTCCCCCTCTCCCCCATTAACAGATCGCATGAATACCCCCCGGCCCTTCCACAGCATGAACATCCCACACCATCCACCTTTCCCTCCCCACCACAAACTTCCACAGCACCTTCAACACCACAGGCCTCACGACGCCCACCGGCCAACCATGTTTATTCAAATTCAAAAACACCTCTGCAACAGGAGGTTTCGCCTCCCAATCCACAATTGTATCATAATCTTCCACTGACAAATGATAATCCGGATTCTGCGCATATATGCTTTCCCACAAGTGGAAAATCTCGGGCAGAGTGAGTACGTGGGCGTCGGTGGAGAGTTGGATCAGAGTTTCCGGGAGGAAGTGGATCCACGGGAGAGTGGGGCATGTCAGGTCGAAGCAGCGGGTGTTGAGGGATGTTATGATTGAGAGGGAGGTGGTGGAGATGAAGTGGGTTGTTGAGGAGATGGGGTCTTTGGGGGAGGGGGAGGTGGAGGTGGGGCTGATTGTTGAGGTGGATGGGAAGGATGGGGGGAATGGGAAGGATGAGGTGGATGGGAAGGATGAGGTGGATGAGGTGGATGGGAAGGATGAGGTGGATGGGAAGGATGGTGGTTGTGGTTGTGGTAATGATGGCGGTTGAGATGAGAGAGGGTGTTGGTGGTATTGTTGGTGGTATGATTGGTGGTGTTGTTGTAGATGTTGTAGATGTTCTTGTTCTTGTTCTTGTTCTTTGTCGTTGATTAGTAGTGTTTCGGTACTTCGTGCTTGCATAGGCTGCTTCGATGGTGCGTGGAGTTGGTGGTATTGTTGGTGGTATGATTGGTGGTGTTGTTGTAGATGTTGTAGATGTTCTTGTTCTTGTTCTTGTTCTTTGTCGTTGATTAGTGGTGTTTCGGTACTTCGTGCTTGCATGGGCTGCTTCGATGGTGCGTGGAGTTGGTGAGGTGAGTCGATAGGGTCTTCTTGTTTCGCAGAGGCATCATCATCGAAGTAGGTTGTTGTTGGTTGGTACATGGCTGATGAAGCATCATCGGTGTAGAATTGAATGGCGATATTCTGTTCAGGAGTGTTTTTCTTTCTGGCGACAAAATGCGTCTCTCATAAGGAGCTGGAGTCCAAGTGTTGAGTCGTAGTAGGTATTGGGCAGGTAGGGCATCGGTGGCACGACGTTCTTTTATGATGATGGTGGACCAGTTGGGTGGGTTCCCGAACAATCCCCCGTGCTGAGAAGTATATTATAACTTCAACCAGGAGGATATCCGATATCGAATGATATGTTGCTACACTCAATGGGTACGGCCATGTTGACCAATCATAAGCCATCCTTTCAATTTACGCTTCCTCCTGCATATGTCAAGATGGTGAATCCTGGAGAAGGTTATGCTATCCTGGTTTATAAGGCAAGCTTGGTATCGGCGATCGGCGGGAGCTTGATAGAGGATGAGGCGAAGGTTCTGTCAAGAGAAAGAGAGTTCTGTAATGAAAGAGAGAGAGAGAGATTTCGTGTGTGTGAGAGAGAGAGAGAAAGAGAGAGATCACAGACCTTCGAGCCAGATGCTATCAATATCATGGTGCGGGTCCATCCATGCCGTCGAGTAATGAATCGCGCCAGACTCCGTCGCTAACAGCAGGTGGTGGTATACTACAAGATTTTCAAAGCTCTTCAACCTTCCATGTCAACATCTTCGGTAGCCTTCCGCTTTTTGCTCTTCTTTTCCCCGTCGTCATCCTTCGACTTCTTCTTTTTCTTCTTCTTGACTTCGGCGTCCTCTTTGGGTGCGTCGAATGCTTCCTCGCGCTTCCTCTTGCGCTCCTCCATCTTGTCCTTCATCACATCTTCCCGCCTCTCCTTCTTCGCCCGATCTTTCGCTGCCTTATTCAAGAAGTACTCTCCGCTCTCAATCTGTAGATCCACCTTGCTCTTCTCCTGCGGCGGCGGGAAGGGCGTGTAGACTCTCTTTGCCTTGTCGTTGACCTTGAACGGCACCCTGCGCTTGCTCAAGTTGCGCTTCTTGAAGTGCGGTAAAAAGCGTTCCCAATTTTCGTTCTTGAGCTCGGGGTCCTTTGCCAGCTCCCGCTTGATCATCAGCTCTTTGATGTGGTAGATGGGGTGTATATTCTGCATGCAATCTTCCACCACTCGTCGCACCTCTTTCAAGTTCTTGTATCCCCCCATGATCGATACTGTGTTACCCTGCACCAGAATGTACGTCTGAGTGAGCAGCGAAAGCGCCTTCAACGTGCTGCCATTCGGACCCAGAATGCGTTGTCGTCGTTTGACGAATCTCTCCTTGTTCCTGACCATTCCGCGTATCTTGATGACATCGCACGCAACGCCGTCCTCCAGGATCTTCATCGCCTCGTCCAGCGGCACACTGCGCGCAAGCAGCTTGATCAGGTCGCGGGCGTTAAGAATGGCGGCGGGATCAAACGTCTTCCGCGTCGTCTTGACCGTCATGCTGCCCTCGATCAAGTCGAGCGAACAGGCGATTCCCGTCTTCTCCAGCGCCTTGGTGATGCGCGGCCAGTGCGTCTTCAGGTACAATTCGCGGTATTTGGGGAACAGCGTGGAAAAGGTCGATTCCTCGCTGAAAGTGCCGCCCAAGTTCTGGTCGGCGGTGAAGGGCTCCTCTTTCCATTTGTCGATGTCGTCCGTGTCCCACGGCTTATCCACGTTGTGAGTGGACGGCATCTTCGCGAGTGTCGAGTGAGATGTGCTCACTGAAGGATGTGTTGGTCTGCTGGGTCTGCTTTGATTTCGTGTAGCTAGAAAATGTCGATTCACGTGCAAAGCGGGTCTTCTTCGGCGGCTCCCACCCACCAATCTGTTGCCGATTGCCGCATTGCCACTACAGTACACCTCCAAACCACCCTACTGACATATCGACATATCTACATTGAGGTACTTGTACCATCTACCTCCTACAATATATGTCCAACAAATGAATGTCCATATACCGGCCGACCATCTTCTGATCGTTGGCTACCCCGTGATAGACTACAACCGCCCGCTCTCGCCATGGAGATCATCGGCGACTACAACTTCGTCAATGCCTCGCAGCCCACTCTTCACTTCGACTTGAATATGTCCCGGAACCAGCAGCGACAGACGAGCTATGTAGATCGCCTGGCGACCTTTGACGGATACTGGACGGCAGACGACGCCACTGCCAGACAATTGGCCGCTTATGGACACGTCTATGACCGACCGCCTCTCGAGGCACTGGAACAGGGATCACGGTGTAATTCCTGCAGCGCCTTCGTACAGCGCGAGCATAGCGTAAGAGCTTTCCAAGGGCCGGTATCACAGGCGTCCCGTACCTTTGACGCCATCCGTCTGCATCACCCCAAATGTGTTCATCTCGCCCTTCGAAACCCTCTGGACGGCAAGAACACGAACTCCGACATGGGTGGCAATTCTCGCTTCAACGCTTTACGCAAGCGCTTTGAACGGCGATTTGACGAAGACGCAGATCCTTCGATGTCTCCAATGTCTCCCGCAAGGCATGATCAGAAGAGTCCGTTCTTCTTGCTGCCCACAGAGTTACGCCTCAAGATATACTCACAACTGATGCCGAAGCTGGACAGAGTAACCGCGATTGTGCCATTGAATGGCGACAGCGAGCGAGTCGTCACCGAGGCAGGCCACAGCAAGCGTAGACCTCGCGATACTACCCAGATTAATATCATGCTTACTTGTCGTGATGTGTACGAAGAGGCGCTGGACACTCTGTTCACCAATACGACCTACAAATTTGGCTCCCCCAAAGTAATGTACCTCTTTCTGCGGCATATTGGCGAACACGGACGACGGTTACTCAAGGCAGTGGACGTGATCTGTGGTACCAGGGAAGATGCAATCGCCTTCGCCCTGCTAGGAGCTTGCCCGAAGCTGCGAACCATCACCATTAGGCTTCCCAGACCGATGCTTCTCACTCCGAGGCCAACTCTGTGGCAGGTTGATGGTATAGCATGTCTGTTGAACCTGAGCGGTCTTCAAGATGTGCATTTGGCCGAGTGCAACCCTACAACGAGGCACCTGGGCGACAATCCGCACGATGCCATGGTCGTCAAGCGAGAATTGACCCGACCGAAGAACGAACGAAGTAGTATCAGGTGGGTCAGTGGTGGCATGGACGTTTCATAACTTTATCCAGGCCTTCGTCCGTCGCTGTGTGCAGCGAGACTTACCGTAGCGTGTTCGGCCTTCAACTAAGAACACGAGCGCACACAGTACAAAAAGAAATTTGTGAGAAACCCAAGTCAAAGCCAAAAATCGCTTTCTTTGTCTCGTCCCACTTCCTATTCAAGCTTTCAATAAACACCATACCCGCAAACCCACGAAAAGTGCAAGCTTGGAATAAGAACCTCTGCAAAAATATCCAAAAGTCATCAAACAACCACCTCAACAGATTTGAGATGTGGTATGCATGAATTTTCAACATGAAACTCTTCCCATCCACTTCCGCATTAATTCTGGCAGCATCCACTTTCGCACTCCCACAACTCCCAGATCTCCCCACAGACACGACAAACATGGTGGGAGGATTGAAGTGGTATGAAGCCGTTATGAAACTTCGCCATTACAGGGCCGTTCGACGCCACGAGGCCACGTCAGAAGAAGAAGAAAGAGGAGCAGAAGCTTGCAAAGTCGAATCTACGAATGAGAGGACTGGACTCCACCAGACGTTTTCGTGCTTAAAGATTCGTCGATTCGATGAGATTCCGGAGAATTTGGAGTGTGAGGTGGCGACGATTCATCGAGAGAAGGCGTGGATTTGCTCATGAGATGGATTAGGAATGGAAGAAGAATTGAGTTTGAGGGATGGAAATATCACGTCGTCTTGTCTTGTCGTCTCTGCTACCTACCGTTACGTACATGTAGTTGCAGAAATTAAAAAACTCTCGTGGTTGGAATAGGTAGCTTGGTACCTTATACATACATGTATTATTCTCGCACATGCTTCATCATTACAGTATTTGTAGTTTTTTGAGGGATTTGAATCTTTATCCTCTTCGTAATACTTTTTGGTCTTTTTCTCAGCCTAGAAATTGTAGTGCTGACGATAGCTCTTCCGTATTGATCACCACCAAAAGAAGCAGTGATTCGATCGATGAAGCGAATATGAATGAATCGCAGTCGGAACTAGAATTTCTGGTTCCAATCGGCAGTCGTCTACTATCGGAGCTGTTCCTTGTAATTGTCCCAGGCGCGATATGTAGTAGCACTCTTTTTAATACAGTTCTCACACATCCACATCTCCCCAGTGCTCTTTCAAATCATCAGCCCTCCACTTGGTCGCCCATCCGAGCTCCCGTTCGATTCTCTCATAAATATCTAGAATAGCCTGATGTTCGGTCGGATGGCTCATCATTTGCCCCGCGAGCCACAGAGGTTGTATGCTATTCGTCCAGGAGCCGTGATGGCTGTTGCTGAGACTGATGGCACAGATCTGACGAGCGTGCCACAGTAGCGAAGCCGGTTTCTTTGCGAATTGGACACGAGGCGGTTTGTATTTGAGCATGAGAAGGGCGGCGGTGTGATACATTTGGTTGCCGCTGGTTCCGGGCCCGTTGCCGAAGAATAGTGTGGGAAAGGGTTTGTTTGAAGAAGCTGCAGAGATGGTGAGGAGGGCTTTCATTTCCTCGGGCCGGTTGTGATACCATTGCTCGAGAAATGCCCACAGAGTCGTCCATTGTTGGAGGTATTCCTGAGGACTCATTGGGCAGGCCAAATTGCGATGTCGTTGCTCCCATCTTCCTGACGCACAGAGCAGGTCTACTACCTGCGCGCAGAGATACACGACATGGTTAGCATACATACTGAAGTCTCCATGAAGATTCAGTAGAGTGTCTACATCATGTGTCATGTCGATGCCTCCCATCCAATTGTGTACTGGTATGAGTGTTCGCTCGGAGGAGATGAGAGCTCCGCAGATGTCCATACGGGCGAAGCACCAGAAGATGGCCTGTTCGAGCCCACCGCAACCTCCGGAGATACCGAGCGCTTGTATCAAGGCCGCACCACCATCAAGGTGGCGTCGCCACGCTTTCGGTGAGCAGCTCATCATCTCGAGCACACAGAGAACGATGCAAGATGCGAGCACTTCTGTTGTTCGCAGCTGTAACAAGGGCGATAAGAGATGGATAGCATGCTGATAAAGGGCCAAGCTGCGGGAGTTATCTGCCATTTTCCCCTTGAGTTCCATTTGCCTTGACGACAACGCCAGTATCGAGTATTTGATATGAGGATGATGCTTAGCCAGCATCGGTAGTGCCAGCTCGAAGTGACGATAGAGGTCGAACTTGTCGAGCCATGGGGCAACTTCGCTTTGACATCGTGTTAGCACAATGATCGCGGCTCTGGTCAGCCTCATACAGGTACTTACTCGATATAATTCTGCCATAACACATACTCCTGCTCAGCAGAAAGACGTACCAGCCTACGAAACTCTTCATCCTCACCAGTGTCCTCGCGAAAATCACATTGCTGCTGCAAATCTGGTGATCCTAGTCTGGATGGCGCAGTGGACCTCGCAGTGTCAATGATCCTGCTACGAAGCGTAGCGTGGAGCTCCTGATACTGTGAACCAGGTAAGAATATGCCATCTTCGAATGTACTGTCACTATTCTGAGGTGATAGGAACAGAGCCGGAGAAGTGATGAGAGGTGTTCCATTGAGATCGAGACTCGGGAGCACAGTCCGCATGGGCGTGGCTGGTTGGTCGCCAGTCATAGGCGGTAATACATTGAATGCCACATCTTGCTGCGTAGTATCGCTGCCCTCGTGCAATGTCACGGGAGTCTGTTTGGGAGTCAAAGGAAGTGGCACGGGTGCAGTCGCCGCTTCAGCAGTGCGGGCATCATCAAGGCCAGTGATACTCTCTTCGAAGTAGTCCCGAATGACCTCGGAGGTCACATTGACAATCTTGTAGGTGACTCTATCGGAACTTGCACCTTGAACCATTGAAGGATGCTCAGCATTCATAGTCTGGGCATTCTCTGGCCTAAATGAGACTTTGACACCCCATTCGCACACGTCACGCCTGGCTTGACAGCCCTCGCACGTCGGTTTGACTTCGTCGCCTGCATGTGCAAAGGTGTGATTAGCTTGCAATTCCGGACTCATGCTGGCAGTGCGTAATAACGTACACTTCCTTCGCTTCCGGCGACAGTTCAAGCAACCAGTACGAGTACGCTTGCGACTCTCGCCGACATGTCGTCCTGGACCTGCCAGCCTGCATTCTCGTTCTTGAGGAGAGACGCTGGGCTCGTCGGCACTGTTAATCACGTCCTCGATTCGCGTCAAAGCCATATGGTATTTCGCCCGAAAAAGAGAGCAGTAGTGTTCACTTCGACCTCGAGCTCATTCTCCGCACCCATATGATGATGGATGAGGCGTGGAGTGCCGTCGGCCGAGCACGCCCATGATCCTGGCGGGGAGGCCTAAAACAGGCTAATTGTGCCGTCTTGAAACGGACCAAAATCGTGGCAGCAGTGGCGGGAATCTGGACGCTGTCGGGGTCGCCTCAGGACTCTCATCAGGTCCTTTTGCCAGCGAACGTTGAGACTCCAGCATAGCCCGATATACCCTCAACGCCAAACGCTGGGACATGCAACGGGTGTGCAGGCTGGACCCTCACCGTTGGACGTCTGTGAGCGGAAAAGAAGGACGATCGTGGAGAGAAAAGTCTCGGCGGTGGAGAAAGCATCGGATGGGCCTGGGCGTGGGTGTGAGCGGAATGCCCCAACTGGGGAAACCGTCTCCAATCTGTCAAAGCGCCTGGGCATGTGCAGAGAGACCCACAGCGTTCGACTTCATCTCGTCCCGTTCACCACCATGTAGTGCTGTATAGGAGCACACCAGCTTGCTGGCATACCATATTATACCATACCATAGTCTTTGAACCTCTTGTAAACTCTTGAATTCTCTCTTCTGGCCTGCCTTTGACCTGCACGCGATGCCTCCCGTCCCAGCCAAGCGCGAGAAGCGAATCGTAGGCACTTCGCTCAAGATGTACTTTGACCTGCCATCCACGCTTGACTACATTGACAAGGTCGCCGCCCTTTCAGCTGTGGCGGAAGAGGTCAATGTTGATCTCTTCGTCATTCCAGACTTCGTGACACTGCTCCCCGCAAAAGAGAAGCTAGGCAATTCGAGTGTGATGCTAGGGGCCCAAGACACCTATAGCGAGGATAAAGGAGCATACACTGGTGAAGTCAGTCCGCTGACGCTCAGCCAAGCTGGTGTGAAGATTGTAGAGATTGGTCATGCGGAGCGGAGGAAATTGTTCGGCGAAACCGACGAGGACGTCGCGAAGAAAGCTGCTGCAATTGTGAGAAATGGCATGATACCTCTGGTGTGCATCGGCGAGAAGAGTCAGGGCACAATCGCTTCTCAAGCTGTCGGAATCGCTGTTGCCGAGTGCAAACCACAGATACAAGCTGCATTATCCCAGATCCCAGACGAGGCAGAGGTCATCCTGGCGTACGAGCCGGTGTGGGCGATTGGCGCAGCCGCGCCAGCTGGTGCAGATCATGTCGTGGCTGTAACACAGAGTCTTCGCGCGTTGGTGAAGGAGAGGAAGGGCAGGACGAGAATCTTGTACGGTGGATCTGCTGGTCCTGGCACATTTCAGAAACTCAAAGATGGCGTTGATGGATGCTTCCTGGGAAGATTCGCGCACGATGTGAAGAATCTAGAAAAGGTCATTAAAGAGCTTGGGCAGTACTGAGTGAGACTTTCATTATGGCGATACAGACTGCTGTACAGCCATCCCAGCAGCTTCCGCAGCCCTGCCTCCGTTCTGCCCATCGCCGCCTTGCCCCTGATTTGCCAGCGATGGATGTGTGACCGCGCCTGCGAGTCCGAGAGACTGTGTAAGCCACCGAGGAGCTTCAGAAGCCATCGGTCACTTTCTGTCGTGTACTTCAGGGGGGTGCGTGAACGTGGTTTCTCGTGATGCCAGCAGGAGATGGCTCACCCCGACGATGAGATCTGGCGGAGCCTCGTACGGTGGCAGGGATGGCAATGTCGTGCTCGGTATCGTGCTCAGTGTCGTGCTCAGCAGTCGCGTCGAGCGCCCGCCAGCGAGAATTCCGAGCCTTGGCGCTGTGCGCGCGTCGATTTTGGGAAGGTCGGGCTGGGAGAGACGCCCTTTTCTCCAGCTCACTGCTGGCGACAGCAGCGATGGTGATGAAAAGGTGTTTGTTCTCGTCGACGTTAGGCAGTGCACCAGCATGGCACCGCTGGACATGAGCAAGCTCAGCGGCCCAGCGTCCTGCCGGCGTTCAGCAGGAGGCCACAGCCCTCCGCGACGACGATGTGCACCGCCAGCATGGAAGCAACCTCGATGCACTACAAGATGACCGTAAGGCCTCTACAAGATGATAGCGAAGAAGCAGCTCGTCGTTGCATGCCCTGCCGCCTGGCAGGAGGCGTTGTGTGGACACATTTTTCCTCCTCTCCCCTGGTGGTAGTGGGGCTTGTGTGCGAGGAACGAAATCAAAGAAAACAGCCAAAAAACCTTAAATTTCCTGGTTTTCGCCCATTTTCTATATAATAGCCCCTCCCCCTCCTACTTCTCAACTTTTTCTTCTGCCAGAAACCATCTTCCTTTCTTCAACATCACAAAATTACCACTTCAACATCACATGATCCACCACTTCGGCATCACATGATCCATCACTTCAATATCACATGATCACTCATTTCAACACAACAACAACACCACATCATACCACATCAACAAAAATAACAACATCCACATCCACATCCACATCCACATCCACACACACCCACACCCACATCCACATCCACACACACCCACACCCACACCTGCATCCACCCTACATCCACAGCCACGTCCACATCCAACATCAACATCAACATCAACCATCAACATCAACCATCAACATCAACATCAACATCATCACCAACATCAACATCAACATCATCATCAACATCAACATCATCATCATCATCATCATCATCATCATCATCATCATCATCATTATCATCATCAACATCATCATCACCACTACCACTATGTAAGATCACCTCATACCTTACTCGCTGCTTTGCCTTACCTTGCTAATACATGTATCTTCTAGCAGCGCAAGCTTCACAAAATCACCAACAGCCACTTGCATCGGTCAACACTACCACTATGTAACATCAACTCATACCTTGCTCGCCCCCCCCCCCCCCCACGCCTTGCTCTGCTAATATCCTCCAGTGGCGCAAGCTCCTCGCCAACCAACACAATAACAACATCGTCACAAACCAATCAACATCTCCACATCCAAACAACATCTCTACCTGACATTACATCAACATTTTCACATCATCATCAACCACATCATCAACCCACATCATCAACCTACATCATCAACCTACATCATCAACCCACATTCCTAACTCACTTGACAGTAAGTCATGTTCCTTTCTCCTCATTTTCATATCGACTTATCTAACATGTGCCCAGCAACAACCTTCATACAACACCAACATCATCAACTTACATCATCAACTCACATCATCAACTCACATCAAAGTAAGTCATGTTCCTCCCTCATTGCTACCTTGACTCGTCTAACATGTGCCCAGCAACAACATGTTGCTCAGGCCTGAGAGGCTTGAGTCGACGCGATCGATGCACGATGCCATTCCCACCATTCGAACGAGAGCAAACACGACGCGAAGAAGCAAGCAGCAACCCTGTCTTGGCAACAGCCTGGTGGCAAAGAAAGAGAAGGATAGATGGCCCCCTACTAACATCAACAGAGAGCCCCCTATTAACATAAACAGCGAGCTCTTGTGGTGGTTGCGGTCCAACGTTGGGGGCGTCGAACGTGACTGCTTAGAGTGGCGGTCTTTGGTGGTGTTCAAGCGGCAAGGTGCGTATCATGTCCAGGTGGCTCCTCAGGAGAGCCATCTTGGCCAGGTGCAAGATCCTAGGCTTGTTCATCACCATCGAATGCCCCGTGCATGCTCATTATTAGCCCGATCCTATTTGCGCTGCAAGACCACAAGAGAGTTTGATGGCGGCGAGCATACTCGCTTAGAGTGGCGGTCTTTGGTGGTGGTTGTGGTGGTGTTCAGGCGGCAAGGTGCGTATCATGTCCAGGTGGCTCCTCAGGAGAGTCATCTTGGCCAGGTGCAAAAACCTAGGCCTGTTCATCACCATCGATTGTTCAAGCGGCAAGGTGCGTATCATGTCCAGGTGGCTCCTGAGGAGAGTCATCTTGGCCAGGTGCAAAAACCTAGGCTTGTTCATTACCACCATCGACTGCCCGCGTTTATGCTCATTATCGGCCGCCATCTGGTTACAAGAGTCTTCGGTCGTGTTGCTTCGTTTGGTGGTGTTTGGTCTTCGATGCTTGCGAATCTTGGGTGGTCTTCAGCTTTGGTGGTCTTTAGTTTTGTGGTTGTCTCTTGGCAGTCTTTCGTCTTCAGTCAAGAATGCAATTCAAACTTTAACCTCCAAACTCATCTCTTGCTCCTCTCTCTTCTGTCTTCTCTTCTCTTCTCTCTTCTCTTTTCTCTTGTCTCTTGTCTCTTGTCTCTTGTCTCTTGTCTCTTGTCTCTTGTCTCATCTGTTTTTTCCCTTCTCTTTTCCCTTCTGTCTTCTCCCTTCCCTCCTCTCTCCTCTTCTCTCCTCACTATCTCCGTCCTTGCCATTTTGTTCTTTTGGTCTAATAGCCGATTGACCATCGCTCTAGCCACCAACAACACTGTTGTATCGTTGTCATCTCCTCTGCGAATCTTGGCAAACTTACCTCTGAAGAATTTTGCCGCAAGCTCTGACCGTCTCCAGTGCACGCCTACTCCTTATGTCTTAGGTCCTCCGTGCTATCTCATCTAGAGCACACAAGGCGACGGTTCCGCTCGAGCTACACTATAATAGGCAGTGAAGTGACAAGACACGATTACATAGGAGCTACAGCGGTGACACCGGCAAAACAGGAACAGAAAGAACCTGCCAACGACGATACTACTATTACCACAATTCAACAGCATTTCCACTACCACACAAAAAAGAAAATCGCTCGCAGCGACAAAAAAACAATCCCACCACCCCTTCAAAAAACCCCCCCTCCTCAAACAACCCCACACCCACCCCCCTCCCTCCTCCCACACCCCTCAGGACACCTCCCCTCAGGATCAAACTGCCACCCAAAAAACCCATCCGTCTCATTCCCCAACACCCCACCAATAAACCTCGTCCCAGCCCCCTGCACCTCCCACGCCTTCTCAAAAACCTCTCTCGAAGAAATTCGAATCTGTCTCCAACCTTTTTCTATTAGTGTATCGATGGATGTACCGTAGATGTATTCTTTGAACCCTGCCCAGCGGATGGCGGAGGCGCACATTGGGCAGCTTTCGGCGTTGGTGTAGAGAGATAATTGGGAGAAGGCGGTGGAGGTTTGGGTGAGAGTAAAATTGTAGGGGCCGAGGGGGGAAGAGAGGATTTGGGTGCAGTTTGATATGGCGGAGATTTCGCCTGCGCGGCGGGGAAAGTTAGTTAGAAATGGGGGTTGTGTTTGTTGTCTTTTCTTTTCTTTTGTTTTTTTTTCTTTTTGTTTTTAAATTTCAAATTCTATATGTCTTACGTACCATGCATAATCGGATTCCCCGTCGAAGCAATCGAATTGACTCCTATGCACACTAAATCTCCCAAACCGGTGTTTGCGGTGTGATTGACAATTACGGTTCCGAAAGCTCCAAAGGGACAGGGCGAGACGAGATCGGAGAGTGCTTGGTTGGCTTTTCGCATCCAGTAGGCGCGCGTGCTGTAGGGGATTCCATTGAGCGTTAAGCGAGAATCTGCAATGGGTTGTTGCTGTTGTTGGTGTTGGTGGGAGAGGACTTGGGGGATTAAACAATGGAGGTTGAGAAGAAGGGCTGCTGTTGCTGCTGAGGAAGGTCGTAGGGTAGTGAGTTTCATATTTTTTCTACTTGATGACTTTTTTTTCTTTGATGTAGTTGTGTAGTGAGGTGAGGATGAGATCGCTCGAGGATGATGTCTAGGGAAGTATGTTGGTACCTTACATAGTAGGTAGATAAGGTATTATATCACAATGAGGTTGCTCGGGCAAACTACGGCAAACCAAGCCGAGCTCTGTAGATTATAGTCGGCCGAGAGATGGAATCTAGGCGATGCCTGTAGTAGATAAGGTACAAACAGCATATAGGTAGCTTGCAATATTGTTTTGCAGTGGTGGCTTCTCGAAATGCAAAACTCGGCTTGGCTACGAGAGGAAATGTGACTACTATATACACCCGGAGTCTAGCAAGACGCAAAAAATGTGTTGAAGCATCTTACGCTAAGATGCAAAAGGAGAAGCAGAGCCCCTAAGCCGGTTTGAACGACTGCACAACACGTTAGCATTGGTTGAGAAATGTAGGTGAATTGAAAACTACACACCTGACCTCGCCATTACGAGTGGCGCGCTCTACCACTGAGCTATAGGGGCGAACATCGTTGTGAGATGACTGTCAACCGTATATAATCTCTGACTCTTGAAAGAGAAAGACCAAAAGCCGTCGCAACCTCCAAGAAGCAGCCCACAAATATCAGGGCTAGCACGGACAACAAGCAGACGGTGCTCCCCAAGACCGTACGTCTTCAGTATCGAAATGGCAGAGGAATAGAAGCAAGCTTTACGCAGGTTTCGGTGGTCACTGGCCGGCGGGGTTGTATGAGGGCAAAAACGAACTTCCGTTAGCGCTGACTCGATTGCAACCAATCAGCAGAGGAAACATCTGGACATGATTTCCTAAGCAGGAAGCAAGTGGGCCGAGACGACTTTGATGGGGGTAAACAAGTGTGTCAAGAGAGAATTTTGGGGGGAAAGCTCGTACGACGCGATGGTCTGATAATTGATTTATTAAAACATTGATTTATTATTTGTCTAGGTATAATTTGTATATATACCGCTGTATATCAGCTGAGCCACAGTAATCTACGACGCCACTAGCCACAGCGGACATCAAACTCAACTTTGTTCGCGTCTTCCACTCGTATCATTCATTTATTCATTCATTCACTTACTCACTTACTCACCCCCAAACTTCCGCCATCAGCATCCACCCATCTTCGACCATGCCCCCACGACCATTCCCCTTTGCCCTTCGTATTGGCACTGACATTGTCAGCCAAGCTAGGCTACGTGACCTGATTACCAGGCCGAAAGCGGGCCATGGCACTGGTACGCAGCTCGATGCATTCCTGCGACGAGTTTTCACAGAACGTGAGCAATTCGTCTTCTGGAAGCGCTTCGCAGGATTCCATGTCAGCAATACTCAACGCTTGCCCCTGGTCGTCTCCCATCTCGCAGGAAGGTAAGATCATGTGTTTTTATCTCTGCCCCCATCTCAAAAGGAAAAAAACATGGCCAACTCCTATGTACAGATGGGCGGCGAAAGAGGCTGCAATCAAAGCCGTCAAGCCACGCAAGGTCACTCATCGGGATGTGGAGATTTTGCAGGATCGCGATACCAAGGAGCTGTACGCTTTGATTCAAGACCATCCTAATGTACTCGGTGCACCATACTTTCGCATAAAACATCTTGATCTACAGAATAACTCTCCCGCCGAATCTGAAGAAAAGGAGCCCAGTGTCCCCTCGCAGGGCAGCATGCCCAATCTCGAGTCCCAGGAGCAGCAGGAGAATCCAGACGATTCAGCGGCCCAAGTGGCTAAAATCAGCATCAGCCATGATGCGGACTATGCTACGGCTGTCTGTTTGGCAGCAGAAGACCCAATTCCTGGTGATGTGGGTGGTGAAGCGGCAGCGAGGCAGTTCTCTGCACCCTGATCTGTCCAATGTCGTGGTATTGGAAGGTGTGAGCCTACAGTTTCCTTGCTCGCGCGTGATCGAGACAGCACGACGTCTTAATTACTACGGGGACTTTCGTTCGAGAAGGGGGGAAATACAAGTTAGCCGGGAAGGGTTCTCTCTGTTGTTGAATGCAGACGCAGTTCAGGCGGCCATCGAGGATCCATCGCTATGGTAGTTGGATTTCAAGAGACTCGCTTCAGAACCCAATGGCACTGTTATTACTCCCGGCAGGTCAGACGAATTCCCGTATCGATTCCAAGAAGTAGCAGTGGCTACAACTATCAGTACCTATACCTGTATAATATCAAGTCAGCCGAGGTCATCTCAGGTACATCATGTCTCTCAGACTCCGTCTACCCGTGTAGGATATCGCACATATGTATAAGAATCGCCTCACTGTACCATTCGAAATTCCACATCTCCAAATCGATTACAAAAAACAAAGCAAGAATAGCGAAAAAAAAAGGAAAAAAAAAAAAAAAAAAAAAAAAAAGAGAAAGAAAGAAGAACCCCTACCCACCATGTCCATCAAAGCAATCCACTTCCCCTCCCCCGGCCCCCCAACAAACCTCACTCTCACCACATTTTGCTGCTGCGGCGATGATGATTTCCTTCGGTTGACACTTACTTACCCGCGTGGGGAGGTCTTGGGGCGAATGTTTTTGGTTTTGGTGGAAAATAATAGTAATAATGTCCAAGCCCAAAAAAAAAAGAAGCAAAAAAGAAAAAAAAAAAGTATTTTAATCATCAACAGTGCAGGAGTAAGTAGGAAGCATCGCATCGCAACCCAACTCGCACGAAATTAAAAAAAAATCCCTTTAGGGGGAAAGTAATAAGGTAGTAACAGCCTCCCTCCCTCCCGATCCTCAAGAAAGTATCTCGCACGTAGAAAAGAAAAAAAAAAGAAAGGGGGTGAGAGGCATGTTCTCAAATCATCATCTTCAAGAAAAGTGCAAGAAAAGTGGAAATGAAGAATTATAAAAACTCGACGGTGTAGATTACATTCTCTCATCTGTTCTGCTACAACACATACATCCCTCCTATTCTTATCTCCCGCTCGCTTTGTTCTCTCGCCAAGCGCACAATACTTCCATCATCGTCGAAGAAGAAGTTTCGCAAGACAAACCTCCCTCTGCGAGGGATGAGAAACGCACAGAAGCATTTATGAAAGATTTTGAGTTGGAATTGATGATTTCTAAAGCGGCTTTTTGGATTATGAAGACGGAGAGTCAGGGGGGAGATTTTGAGACGAGTGGCTGAGAAGTTTGATAGAGGGGGGGATTTGGAGACGGAAAGGGAAATTTTGAGTGTTGGGGGGGTTTGAGGAGGGCGCATGATGAAATTGGAGAGGGGGAGGGGTATTGGGAAGATTTGCGTTTGAGGTGGGGGAGGATATTGAGGAGGGAGGTGTGAGTGGTGTATATATAGTGTGTTTGTTGTACATGTTGTCTTCTGGTATTACATGTATATACTCGGTACGTTCAGGCATATACTTTTTTGTTGGGGAATACAGGGTTTAAATGAGAATTGTCATCGTCTCGACCTCTACGAGTCTGCTGCAACGTGACTAGGACTTCTCCCGCAACCTCGATTGCACGTTCCGGCATACCGGCAAGTCTGGCGACCTTGAGAGCATGAGACGCCCTGTTGACGCCCTTTCTCAGCTTGTGAGCATATGTCCAGGTACCATCCTCTTCTTCCACCACACTGGTACAGTAGCAAGCCAGATTCTCAAAATCCAGCGTCATATCTGCCAGTGCGTGAAAGTGTGTGGCGAATAATGCTCGCGACTGGTTGACGTGGTGCAAATGGTGCAAACAGGCATAGCCGACTGCTACTCCATCTTCGGGCGTCGTACCTCGTCCCACTTCGTCCATGATGACAAAGGAGCGGGAGGTGGCTTGTTTGAGAATTTCTGCTGCCTCTAGCATCTCTACCATGAACGTCGACTGGTCCTGATAGAGATTGTCAGCAGAGCCGACGCGACTGAAGATCTTGTCCACGAGGCCAATCTCCGCATATTCAGCGGGCACAAAACAGCCCGTCTGTGCGAGGATTGTGATCAGCGCGTTCTGACGCAAGTAGGTGCTCTTGCCTGCCATGTTCGGTCCCGTGATGAGATAAATCTTTTCCCGCTCACCGACTGAGCAGTCGTTCGTGGTGAAGGATCTGCCTTGCTCTTTCAAGCCCACGTCCACGGTCGGATGACGGCCACCAATAATCTTGTGGGATGTGCCGTTTGTGAGAATGGGTCGGACGAGGTTTCGATTCTTCGCGAGCATGGCAGAAGAACATGCTACGTCCAGCTCGTCGAGTACGGCGGCATTGCGACGGAGCTTCATCAAGTTCTCCAGCACTTCTGCTCGCAGTTTTCCAAACACTCGTTCCTCCTCGGTGCGTATCCGGAGCTTGGAGTCGTCAATGCGGACACCAAGGTGTGTCCAGTCGGCCAGATAAAAGGACTTGGTACTTTTGGTAGAGCCAATGATCCTCGCACCCGCAAGAGCCGCCAGCGTCCCTTGCGCATCTCGACCTTTAATGTGACAGAAGTGACCAAGTTGTGCACTCCATTTGAGCGTCAGACTTTCCGATCGAAGCTCCTTTCGAAGTTTATGTGCAAGTTCCGATTTTGCTTCCATGAGCTGGTCGAGGTCTCCATGGGCGCGCTCGAGAGTGGGCGAGGCATTGCGGCGCATGATCCAGATTTCGTCCGGCTTCGTGTCGACAGCCTTGTCGTCCACGGGCCCTCTTAAGCTTCTCCGGGCTAGACTGGGACCTTTGACACCAGTGGCATCTGCAGAAATGACATCCTCGGCCATCTGCTCTGCTTGGGTGCCAGTAGCCTCATCGACTATATGCTGTCTGTTCAGTCCATCTTCATCGATAGCGTTCTGTATGTTCTTTGCTGCTTTGCCAGGCCTGTCCAAATCGAGCCGACCTAATATGTCCCAAAGAAATGTGAAGTCAGCAGAGACATGTTGGCTGCCTGCCTCTAAAAGTCGGTCTTGGTTGTCAAGAATATGCTGGTGCAGTATGGTGGACAGCTGTTGCATGACATCGACAGTTCGTGCAAGCCCAAGTAGGTCATCTGCATCACCTTTGCCGACTGAGAACTTTTGCATCAGTCTGTATGTATCGTGTGTGCGGCGCAGCAGGGCCATAATGTCTTCTCGCAGCGCATCCTGATCGTGCATTTCCTGCACAAGATCCAATCGATCATTGATGATGGATAGCGACATTGAAGGCGACACTATGCGCTGACTGAGAAGCCGTGCGCCACTCGTGGTGACGGTGTGTCGTATGGCATGCAGCAGGCTTCCCTGGAACGCGCCGTCTCGTAGTGTTGAACGTATTTCCAAGTTTCGTAGGCTTTGCTTATCGATTGACATGTACTCGTCGTCCGTCCTTCGAACTGGCGGTTGCAACTGAATCTTCGCATCACGAAGTTTGTCCTGAACATAGTCCAACAGCAAAGTACCTGCGGATATTTCGAAAGCGGTGAAGTTACCCTGTTCACTGGCCGGAACTGGTCGCTCCAACATGGATTCCCAGTCATTAATTGTGGTGGCAGGCTGGTGGACATGATGGAAGTGTATTGGAAGAGGGGCATCACTGATGAGTCGTTGTAATTGAGATTGGTCGGTCCCTTCTAGACTCGTATCGACCACCACTTCTTTGGGTCCTATGCGTGCAGCAAGAGATGGAAGACTGGCCAAATCAGAGGCCTGTGTGAAGAAGTCTCCACTAGATAAATCCACCCAGCTCAGACCAATCTTCGTGCTCCGTCTATACCTCTCATAGGCAGCTCGATCGTCAGTGGCCGCAGAGGACGCAGGTAGCGCGCCCACGAAATGCACCGCGAGTAAGTAGTTGTTCTCAAAAGGATTCATGAAGCTTTCGTCGATGAGCGTGCCCGCCGTAACCACCCTCGTCACTCGTCGATCGAATAGCATACTGCCACCCTTGCGAGAGCGTTCAGACTCCGGAATCCGCACTTGCTCCGAGATTGCAACCTGCTTGCCTAGATCCTGCACAAACATCTTCAGATAGCGCTCCAGCTGGGTATGCTGAAAGCCAGCCATGGAGACATCGCCCAGCGTGGTCGCCCGTTTTGCTATCTTCAGATTCACCTGGGGAGCAAATTCCTCGACCTGATCAAAGTACATCTCGTAGAAGTCCCCCACCCGAGTGAGCACCACGCAGTCCTTGAATGTTCGAACATTGTTGAGATGCTGCTGGAGCACTGTTGGATATGTCTTTGCTGGGACTGAGTCGCTTTCATCCGGCGGTAGAGCTGGCAGGGCGCCCTGGTAGAGAGAGGAGGCCACGATGGTGCTCTTGGTTTTGGCACCGCGCGATTGGAGTCGCCATGGTCGTCTGTAGTAGATGAGGCCAGAGGGCGGAGCACGAGCAGAAGCGCCCAGAGGCCGGTGAACGCTACATGCTGCTCTCAATGGCAGTACTCTGGCGCGCATTGGCGTCCGACACGTTGATGCGTTGTGGATGGAGCGAAAGTCCAGGGTGGAGTACGCGTCGAAGGGTACCAACTCCAGTCTTGGCATCGTGAAGCGAAAGAGTGTCTGCTGACTAAGATCACATCTCCGTTCACTCTCGAACTGTCGTTTGCAAAAGCCGTGGCTATATCGTTATGGCGCACCTCTTTGGTCAGAGCTCAGAATAGTGAGCAGCCGAAAATGACTCCACACGGAAAAGCGTAGGAGATAATGAGGTTAAGAACAAAATACATACGCCCTTCGCTCATGCTATACAAAGTTGAACAAAATCCTATACGCCTTCGCCCTCACAAGGAGACGACACCACCAAGTCACGGCTACACCAATTTTTCTTGCTCTCCATACCCCCCTTTCTTCTCATCCGTCCACTCCCTGATCTGAAGCTCTCTCAACTTCGCCTCCTTCTCATCGTCATCACGGATAATCGCCATGACCCGATCGTGAGGCGTCACGCCCTTGGCATCACTGTGTCCACTCGCATAGTTTGACCACGTCTTAGCGACCTTGGGCGCTTTGGCTTTGACTTTGGGTTGTTCGGGTTCTACGCCTCCTAGCATGGGAAAAGGATTCTCGTTGGAGTAGCCAATGATGTATGGACGGAATCCTTCTTCGGATAGCGAATCGAACATTTCTTTGACGGCGACCCATTTGTGGATAGGGAAGTCTTTTTGGCCTTGTGCGCCGACGTGCTAGGTGGTGGTCAGTATTTGCTGAATCTCTCTCTCTCCCTCTCTTTCGTTGATGCTGCAGCTGCAGATGGTGGGGGATGGTCTCGGATGAAATGGGGTAGGACATGGTGGTCTTGGCGTGGAGATAGATAGCACTTACGGTGAAGAAGATGATTCTCAAATGACCGCCTGGTAAATCGGTGATGCTCCATATATCAGGCCTTCCTAATCTTGAGAGTGCTTGCAGCTTATATTTCTGGTACAAAGGCATCTTGTCTTCGAAACCGCCAAAGGTCCTGTTATCGTAAAAGACCTGGATCTCACCAGGATCGTAGCGGCCGGCTCGTTGAGGATCGAACTTGTCGAGATCCTCTGGTGTTGCGTAAGGCATTTTGTGGAGTATTGTATCCGGGGAGTAATGGACGATGCGACTTCTGTTGGTTTGGATTCTTCTTGAATTGTCGTGAGAACTTGGGAAACTTGCACAGCGCCGAGATTCAGTTGCGTGGCTGTGGCGGAGGAGAGCTGGAACAAGGTATTCACGGTAAGTAGAATTCAAGCCATAGCACGGCACTGGTCCACGTGGATGAGTTGTCGGCGAAGGTTATAGTGCTAAGCCCGCTCTTCTCTGGCCGGTGCTTGCCGATGTCTGAGGGATGGATCATGGATGGGCTCGATGTTGTCCGCTTGGCAATGTAAGTACGTGAGTTAGAGCGGATTGGTCATCGGCCCGAATCGTAAATTGAGTCAGCTGGTTCACGCGTCGTGTTCGCGTTACGCTACTGTAATGTCGTCACGATCCCATGGAGAAGAAGCCGGGCGATTCACTGCGCACTGACGGGAGACGAGGGAAGCTGCTGGCCAGCGACGACCCAAGACATGACGCGAACATAAGACGGGCGGACAGGACTGCGGACATTGGACAAGACAGAAGAGATGGTCAAGCTGCAGGCAGCAACAGTCGCGCCACGATTGGCCGGCAACGCGAAGAAGAGGAAGCGGAAGACGGTGGAGGCGGCGGCGGAGGAGGCTGTGCCTGTGGAGGGAGACGTGGATGGTATAGACGCGCAGACTACGGGCGAGAGTACAACCACGATACCGACTAAGGAGAGTGATGGAGGCAAGAAGCCGCGTCGGACGACCAAGAAAGGCGACAAGCCATCTCTGGAACATGACAACTCTTCTGCCGTAGTCGAGACAAGAATACCATGGCCGCCCGAGTTCACATCTCTGCAGGTCGTGCATCGCGCTCTGAATCTTGTGTATACCTTCTGCTGCACACGGAAACACTTTGCCACCACCATTGAGAATCTGCGGACCACAGTCGAGAAGAACATTGGCCGTGAATTGCTCGTGGTAGATGTGGCCAAGGTCAAATGGCTGTTTCCTCAAGCAGTCAACTTCTTGTACGTGGACGAGACGTTACTCGAAGTGGCGCTGATGGGCGAGGAGGACTACCGCGGCAAGAAAGCTGCAAATGACTTCTTCCCCTCCAATCCCGCCGAAGAACGTAATGTGCGCGAGGGCATGGGCAAGGAGGAGCACAAAGAGGTGCTGTACTTTGAGTTTGTGGACGGCGACCTGAAGAGGCATGTGGTAGATCCAGTCACTGGCGAAGCCGTCAAGCCCAAGACGAAAATCAGAAACGAGGACTTGAAAATGCCCGTGTTCAGCCAAAAGCAAATGATGAAGCTAATTGAAAAGAGAAACGCCAAGTTTGTATCCGTTGTCAATTCTTGGCTCAATAAGTGTGCTGAGCAAGGCGTCGATCCTGTCGAAAAGATGGAGGAGGAGTACAAACAGTACATTCCTACGCCCAGCTACATCAGAGCTCCCACACCAACCATCGAGGATTCACTCCCCAAAAGCATACCCGAGGAGCGAAAGACGATTTCAGAGATTGTCGCAGAGCTCAAAGAGCTTGAATGGTATACAGGACAGATTGTGCCTGACGGGCACCGTGTATTCGATCCTCTGCAGCCGGTCTACGGGGAGCTGAATTTCGAGCTGAGCCAGGACCTAGTCAATGCATTATACAACACTCGTAGCATACAGTCACTATACAGCCACCAAGCGGAGGCCATCAACGCACTTCACGAAGGCCACAATGTCATTGTGGCCACTTCTACCAGTTCCGGCAAGTCTCTCATCTACCAATTACCAGTGCTCAATGCACTCGAGTCTGACCCCCACACTCGAGCAATGTACATATTTCCTACCAAAGCTCTCGCCCAGGATCAGCGACGCAGTATGAAAGCCATCCTCAGTTACCTCCCAGGACTGGAGAATGTCCTGGTTGAGACTTTTGATGGCGATACCGCTTTCGGCGATCGCAACCACATTCGAGATGAAGCCCGCATCATCTTCACCAATCCAGATATGCTACATCTTACCATCTTGCCTCAGGAAGAGGCGTGGAGAACGTTTCTGAAGAATCTCCGATATGTCGTGATGGACGAACTGCACGTATATAATGGGCTGTTTGGAGCACACGTTGCGTTCATTATGCGACGCTTGCGAAGGATATGCGCGGCGGTGGGAAACCGCAAAGTCAAATTCATATCCTGTTCCGCAACGGTGGCCAACCCAGAAGAGCACATGAGGACGATCTTCGGCATCGAGGACATCAAACTCATCGACTTTGATGGCTCGCCTTGTGGTCGCAAAGAGTTTGTGTGCTGGAATACGCCATACAAGGATCCTGGTGACCCTACCAGTGGTCGAGGTGACACGTTCATGGAGACTGCACGACTGTTCTGTCAGCTCGTCCTTCGCGGCGTGAGAGTCATCACGTTCTGTCGCATACGAAAGCAATGTGAGATCTTGGTCGGCGCTATCAAGAACGAGTTGGAGTCTCTAGGTCGCACGGAGGTGATGAATCGCATCATGGCATACCGAGGCGGCTATACCGCTCAAGATCGAAGACGCATCGAGAAGGAGATGTTTGAAGGCAAGCTTGTTGGCATTATTGGTACCAGTGCCTTGGAGTTGGGCGTCGATATTGGCAGTCTTGATGCCGTCATATCTCACGGCTTTCCGTACACAATCGCCAACCTTCGCCAACAATCGGGACGAGCAGGTCGACGAAATAAGGACAGTGCCTCCTTCTTGGTCGGCGATTGTTTCCCGACCGATCAGTACTTCATGGCCAACCCCGATGAAATCTTCACTCGTCCCAACTGTGAGCTGCAGGTTGACCTGACTAATCTACTCGTGCTGGAAGGCCATGTGCAGTGTGCAGCGTTTGAGATGCCAATTGCTCCAGATGAAGATGAAAAGTACTTCTCCAAGCAGTTGTCCGAACTTTGCAACGATCGTCTAAGGCGGGACGACCTCGGATTCTATCATACAGCTGAGCGTTTCTTGCCACATCCGTCGCGCAGTGTTGCTATACGCGATACCGAGGACAATCATTTTGCCATTATCGACACGACTCACGGCCGCAATGTCGTCCTGGAAGAGCTGGAGGCCAGTCGTGCCTTTTTCACCATCTACGAGGGCGGCATCTTCTTGCATCAGGGCAAGAAGTATCTTGTCAAGCACATGTCCACGGAGCAGATGATCGCCAAAGTCGAGCTGGTCAAAGTCGACTGGATCACGCAACAACGTGACTTCACAGACATCGATCCGATCGAGACCGAAGCCATACGACGCATACCCGGTAGTCTCAGCCGAGCTTTCTTCGGCAACATCAAAATTCTACAGAATGTCTTTGGCTTCTTCAAGCTCGACAAAAAGAACCGCATCCTCGACGCCGTACAAGTCGACAACCCTCCCATCATCATCTTCAGCAAAGGCATGTGGCTCGACGTCCCTCGCGAAGCAATCGAAATCCTCAACAGCAGACGTCTAAACCTAGCCGCAGGAATCCACGCCGCCGAGCACGCCATCCTCTCTCTCATGCCCAACTTCGTCATCAGCATGCCCGGAGACGTCAAAACCGAATGCAAAGTCGCCGTCAAAGAATTCTCCAAAAAAGAAACTTCTCGCAAACGACCCGCTCGCCTCACCTTCTACGACGACAAAGGCGGTCCCCACGGCTCCGGAATCGCCGCCAAAGCTTTTGAATTTATCCATCTCCTTCTCACTCAAGCTTGCAATCGCATCGAAACTTGCCATTGTCTCGACGGTTGTCTCGAATGTTGCTGTAGTGAAGGTTGCAAAGAAGCGAATCAAATCATGTCCAAAGCCGGCGGTGAAGTGATTTTGAAAGTTTTACTTGCCAAGGAAGTTGATGTGGAGAATTTGCCTTGGGGCCCTGAAGATGAAGCTGTTCCGAAGGGCTTGTTTGAGACGGTCGTGCTTGCGAGTGAGGTTTTGCCTAGAGCCGGTGTGAGGGTGGAGGTTTTGGAGGGGGAGGGGGAGGGGAAGGATGTGAGGAGGTTTGTTGCGGGAGGGGGCGGGGGTGGGGATGAGGATGATCCTGTTGTTATTAAGGATGAACCTGGGGATGAGTGAGTGAGTGATGTTAAAGATGGGACAAACTTGTCGAAGGTTAGAATGCAGTCCGGTGAGATGGCCTACCCTTCTGAATATTTGCAAACGATATACGTTAGTACATGTCAGAACCTATCAAAACACCTCCGCAAGTCGTCTGGTGAGCTCTCGGACTGCAGGCAGCATAGAAATAGAGAATGCACTTTTCAACCACGTCTGTTCACGAGATGATAGCTCCATCCCCATATACCTAGGTAAGTATTGATACAAATCTCTCTCACTTCCTCCTCGCCAAAATCATCGCAGAGCCCCACTCCATATACACACTATTCTCCTCCTTCTCAAAATGCTTCTCCTTCCTCGCAATCTCATCAAAGATCCCATCCACCACATCTCCCTTTCCCCCCCTCGCCCGAGCCTCCATTCCCCGATGCGTATCCTTCCACCCATGATACGCCGACCACGTTCTCATATACTCCTTACACTGCCCCAACGTCACAGTCCTCCTCATCAACAACTTCCCCTCACCCGAATTCCGCCCCTGTAAACCCGGTTCATATTCCATCCGTCGCACATCCTCCCACTCCTCCCCCGGCGGCTGAATCACGCGGAGTTTATCTTGCACATACGATCTTCCCGGCTGCGGCCAATACGAACCTAAACAATCCGGATGTGGATCGTAGGCGTAATGTTGTAGAATTTCGCTCGCGGCGGGAAATTCGGGAAATACATGATCTTTGTATCCCCAAAAAGCGAGTGTACCGCCTTTTCGCACGATGCGTTGTAATTCTGGCCAGAGACGAGATTGGTCGAACCAATGTGCGGATTGAGCTGCTGTGACGCAGTCGATTTCTGCTTGGGCGAGAAATGGGGAGTGTTCGGCTGAAGATTGTTGGAAAGAAAGTTGGATTGGGTCTTTGGTGGGTTTTAGTGTGGAGAGTCCGCTTTGCGCTTCGCGGATCATGCCTGCTGAAGGGTCGGTGGCGATTACGCGCTCGAAACGTCGGCTGAGGGGATAGCTGGCGACGCCTGTGCCGCAGCCGAGGTCGAGGAGGAGTTTTTTGGGACCTTGGTGGTAGGCGAGGAGGATGTCAAAGAGAGTGTTGGGGTAGGAGGGTCGGAAGGCGGCGTAGCCCGTATGGCTGAAGGTTGCTTTGCTGTGTGGTGGAATAAATGATATGAGTATGGATTGATGGCAGATGATGGGAGGAGGGTCTGGGTTGGCAAGGCTTACGCGAATGTCGCCATGGTTATTGTGGCTGTTCAGGCGTGACCTCGAATCAGTCTCGTGCTGCGTATACTAAGGTAGTGGATTAGAGGCCTCGCTAATACATACGTTGAAAGGAAGATCAGAATCGGGAAGAAGGGTTGCAGTTCGTAGTCACATGAAGATGTGTATACAGTGAGACGCGCAACTCAACTGAAATGTCCTCCGCGTCTCCGGCAGCGGACATCTCCAAGCTAGCCTAATAGGGAAACGCGCTGCCCGGACTCCCCTCCGCCGGAGTGCCTTCCGAGACAGGTCTAGAAAAGTATAAAGACTGCATGCATCAAGCCACAACCTCTCTATATGAAAGCCGATGCTAAAGTCGAGAGATGCTATTGACAAACACCAAGCGCAAAGAGTTTGTCGAGATTGGCGGTCGTCGGAATATCTACTTCTACAGCTACCTCTTTACTGCCATTCCGTCGACGGACACGCTATACTCCGATAGCGTTTGAAACAGCAGCTTAGCAGTTCATGTTTGTCGAGACGGATGATAGACGACAGAAGACGCGATAGTGCCTAGGTACTTTAGATTATTTTGCATCAAGAAAGACATCGTAAAGGGAGCGTGAGGTGGAACAACAATTGTGTCCATTGGTGATTTAAATAACGGCTCCGCTTTCACACCGAATATTCAAGCACTGCTTCATCCACTAGCCCAGCGCACAGATCTTCTTGACAAACAACCTTCCAGGTTGAAACAACTTTATCCGGACTGACGCTGTATTAAGAATATACCAAACTTTTGTTGACTGTCGTAAATCGTAATGGAAACAGAAGTCGTAGGCATCTTGCGTAAGTGCGTTTGATCAGAAGACCTGGAACACTTTTGAATAACGCAGCCTGTAGCTTCATAGCTGAACCCAGCCTTGCTCCACTCCGTGCAGATACTCGTCCTCCCAGATGGCATCCCAATTGACGCCATCATTCTCCTTTCCATACACACCGGTAGTACCGTATGGTCCTTTCGTGCTGACTTGTTTGCCTCGTGGGAACGCCCCAGCTGAGCGGATCTCAGACAGCACGAAGTCGCCGTGTACGAGGTTCTTCTCGGGCTCGAAGATGCAGCCGGCGAAAAAGATCTCGATTGACAATTGATGACCAAGTCTTCGACGTGCTTCAATCAGATCTCTCGCTGCGGCGAACACCTTGCGTAGCTTGCCAGCGCGCTCGATCGCTGGCGTGGAGTTGTTGCAGCCGCAGAGGTCGGTCGCCCGGACTTGACACTCTCCAGCCCACTGCACCTCGAGGTTGGAGAAGAGATCTGCACACATGTATGGGATGCTGATAGAAAGATCGCGCATGCGTGGCAGTGAGTTGAGTAGCTCGCAAATGTGTTCATTCGACGCCAGATGACCCGGGTAAGGGTGATAGAAGCCATCGTCGGAGCGAGGAGAGTGCTCTAGCACTTGCAGAGTGTTTCGTGAAGCTTTGACCAGGGCCAGCATACCAGCGACGGAGATTGTGGACAAGTTGGTGATGTCCAGTACTTCCAGGTTGGTGGCGGTCCGGGCAATGAGCTCGAGATCGATGTCAGATATGGGTTTGTGTAGAGTGTTGCCAAAGATCTTGAGACGTCTCAGAGCGCTGAAGTCAACTCGAGGATCCTCTAGCGCATCCGGAGAGACTTCCTGCTCAAGTGCTTCAGCCTGGACTTTGGAGAGACAGACAGCTTGCAACTCCAGCGATTGAAGGGCACTACCCACGCCAGTATTGACATTGAGCAGATCAATCCAATCTTCGGCAGTGCTTCGTCGTAGCACGGTCCATGGTACACTGAGGAACTGGAGCGCGTGGCAGTCGGAGACGATTGAAAGAATGAGCTTATCGGTCTCGGCGGTGTAGAAGCCATTGAACCATAGCCGGCGAACATGGTTGGTCATGTGAGGCATATGTTGGAAAGTCCTGGCGGTCATCTTGAGGGAGCTATTGGGATCTCGAAAGACAGCGCAACCAGAAGGCTTGTCCATGAGCTCGTATAAGCCGTATTTGCAACGGTTGTTGGACAGCTCTGCCCATCTCTCGCTTCCTCGCCACCGTCGTTCGAAAACATGCTCGAGGTTGTACGAGAGCGACCAGTCATGCCAAGCCGGACAGACCTGGCGGATCGAGGCGGTGGCATCCCATCGAAGCGATTCGGTAGTGACTGGACCACGGACATATTTGGTGAGCTTCGCCCGTTGGAGAGGCAATGGTGCTTGGGTCAGGCCATAAGTGAAGCTGGCGCCTTCGTCTTGGTTGGCGTTGGTGGCGAGGAGGAGGATGTGAGAGAGGATCTCGGATGGCAGGTGGGTGATGTTCATATTGACTCGTCAGGTACAGGCAGCTTAATAAGGCAGGAACGATCCGGGTGAAGGGGAGCTGTGATGATAGCAGTATGTGTGTTGTTATGCAATCGGTTCAGGTCAGAGGAAGAGAGCTGAGTGGGTAGAGATAAGAAGAGCTTCTTTGTTATACCCGCGCGGAGTGGGCACCTGTGTCGTGTGATTCATATAAGAACAGTGGTTGCGCACTTACCATCTCGCCAGCACTTTCCCTTACCTTCTGGGTTCCTTTCTTTATTTGCTTGGTCACACTTCCACGAAGACTTTCTCTGGCCTGGGGGGAAGCCGACAAGCCTCCAGCTGCGGAGAAGACAGACGAAACGCCATTCCATTCCATTCACAAGCACAAGCGCGACCACGACGACGCTTGGCCCACTTGTTGGCCATCGTCATGGAGAAGGCGTGAGTCAAAGAAACGGCCAAGCGAGCGGCGATGGAGACCTTCGTACCACGTGCTGCTGTTTTCTGGGGGTAACAGTTTCGTAATGAGGAGTCAGTGATCGGTCACAGGACCACGCAAACGCCGGCGGAATGTGAGACTCGCCTCGTCACGTTTCGAGCGGACGTATATCGGTCGGCTTATGGATGAGAATTCTACCTTACCCGCCTCAGTATCGCACGAACAGGACGGGACGGCATCGGCTCTCCGCTTTGTTTGCGCTACCTCATCGCGTCATCTAACAAGGCAGTGGCGGCGTCAAGCGTGTTGAAAATTCTGACAGTTGCCCGCAGCCCGATGTCAGAGACGGGAACGCGGGAACGCTAATGGACGGCAACACTGGAGATGGGAGACTTCATCTTCTTGTCATGTTATACCGCATCAAGCCGACATGACCAGTTGTCAACCTCCAAGACATCGTCCACCGAGTAGACGCGTCCGCCTGACCGAAAGCGTGCCATACAAGCGTTCGCCTGCCGACTTAACAGTAGCTCTGACCGTTTGGTGCCACTCGATCGCGGAACATCCGAAGCGAACCTGGCGGCCAACGGTGCTTTCTATTCTGTTGTGTTCTTCCCGCATCACAGGACTCACGCTCCGCCATCTTCACAGTAATGGAGGTCTGGGGATGCTGGAGTAGTATTAATGGACTAGTCTACTCCATGGGCTAGCGCCTCGTCACCAAGGACTGTGCTTCGTCTTGTGACTTGCAACTGAATGAGCGACCTTCTAGAGGCCTCATATCGCTATGGAGTCAGGACAGTTGGCTCGTCTCTTTTACGTAAGACATGCCATCTGATGTGTTTTCAAAAGGGTTACCTTACTGCTTAGACATACATCCAGCATGCGATTGCTGTTCCGGGAGCTGCAGTCCAGCTCTGTGCTAGTGGTGCTCAATAACGACCTCCTTCGTCTAACACGAGGCGCGCTCGAGCTACTGCGGGGTTTGCGGCTGCTCGAAATTTGCATCGCAGACGACACAGCAAACCATTGGTTGGGTTTTGCTGTGCTGCACATACACGTTTGCTGTTCTGGCTTACAGGCTATCTTGTTGGTCAGAAGTCAGTAACGAACATTGGACACCTTGGCCAGATTCTTCAAAGTCGTATAATCTCGTCGCTCAACTGTCTGATTGGTTGATCTGGTAACATGGTACGTGCAGACGGCTATACTGTAATTACTGTCAAGTCGACTGCTCTAACAGTAGACTGTAGAGCGGCCTCTGCGACTAGCAAGCGGTCTGCGCTCGAATGTTTAATTAGATGGGTATTAGTAGTCATATGTATGCAGTAGTAAGACAGAGAGGAACACCAGACTTTTCTGATCGCCCGGCGATTTGCCCAAGCTAATACGTAACCTTACTATAGCCAAAAACACAGTAGAGTGATCATTCAAGTGCGCTGAGCCAACTTCAGACTCCGATCTCGCTTACATACATACAAGCATGTACCTCCCTCAAATTCCATCTCTTATTTGCTTCCCCCTACACCCGGGTACTTTCGAGACGTCGCAGGACATTACACCTTCCGTACAGAATAAGTTCTATCAAGGGCCGCTCACTTACTACATATCTCCAACTATCCTTATCTTGAAGCCTACCTACCTAACCTTAGCTTGAAACCATTGGTATACATACAACAATATTACCGATACGCTTTATAATGTAGCAGTAGATTATCGCACTACTCTAGGTATTATTTCTACCCGCCTTCGCATTACATACCGTACCTGATCGGAAAATTGCGTAATCGCGCTTTGCATTCAGGTTGCGTTCTAATATTGTTTGTTTTTTTCAAGTTGAATCTGTACTCTACGATAGTATCGTATCGTACTCTTACGCAACTGCCCTTAATTAAACACAAGCTGTACAAATTTACTATACTTCTATCTCTTTCTCTATATACGGCTATTATCCTGCTTGAGATCTACGCCTTCGCTAGTAAACTACGTACGCCTGTTCGATACAAGCTGCTAATTGTCGTTTAAGTCTAATACGCGCTGCTATTTCCTTTTTCTACACAATTGACACTCCTGATTCTCGTAGGTAAAATTTGATTATATCTTCGTACGGCACATTCTAATCCGTTTATGTAACTTCCTCGTTTGCTCAAAATAAACTTCAGTACCTAGTCACTTCCCCACAACTCACTTGTGAACCTAAAAACGTCCACACAAACACACTCCTTCCCATCCTTCCTCCATTCCTCCTCGATAACACAACACACATCTCACCCCTCCAACTCCATCCATCCAACTCGAAACCCCCTCCCTGAAGAAAAACAAAATGTCCGGCCTCTGGCAATCCTACCGCAACCTCGCTCCCAAAACGCGATTACTCGTCGGAGGAGGAATCATGGCATGGGGAGCTCTAGGACTCTTCATCTCCGACCGAGCAGAGCAGTTTTTGGGGTTAGTGCCTACAGAGCAGGATAAGGAGAATTTGCAGCATGCTATGCCCAAAATTCATTTTGTTGAGAAGGAGAAGTGACTATACATATGAGGCGCGGCGCGTGAGATGGGGGGTTTCTCTTACTTGTGGGAAGATGGATGAGATACCCTCTTGGGGGACGTAGTGGTTGGTTGATTGGGTGAGGAAGGAGAGGGGAGATGGGGAGAAGGAGATGGGCGACTTTGGTCTGGATGTAAAGATCTAGTGAAAGAGATCTATGAGGAGAGGAGAAGAATGAGTGCTGGCTGGCCGGTGAATACCATATAACGCTTGTGGGAGTCTAGATCTGAGGGTCCTTGTTTCTTTCGACACAATCGAACAGAGAGTACTTGTCCAATTTGATGAGGAAGTCCACTTACCCATCTTTACGTACCCGGCATTCTACATCCAGCCAGACGAGCGAGTAAGCCCGCGCGCGTGCATCTCTTTAAACCTCGAAAAAGGGACTCACATCTGGCTCCACATCTCCGCCTCGCAGCCTGCGGCCTCCGACTGCTGATGACTGAAGGCAAGAAGAGCAGAAGCAGCAGGCTACGCGATGAGAGGGACAATCATATACCTCTATACCTACCTGTTATTGTGATCAGAAGACACCTCACTGGCGATCATACCGGCAGAGGATTTGGATAGCGAAAAGGCAGCAGAAGACGATAAAGAGGTCGTTGTTGAAGCTTGGGATGGGGAGGGAAATGGCAAGCTGTCTTCTGATATGTCTTAGTGGCTCTGACTTGAGAGTCAGACAGGGGGACGGACTGGTGTCTTTATATAGGTTGGCAGAGAAGGCACTGTGATGTAGGCTTTGCTCTGCTGGAACCTGGAAGTTCCTTACCTAGGGTCGATCTGAGTATTGCGCTCCCAGTTGCCAGCGACTATGGAATCACAGACGGAGACACCGGACCTGCAGGCGGGCAGACCTGATCCGGGTGATCCCGTCCCATTTCTGCCGACTGGTGCAAGTAGCCTAGCCGCTTGTGGAACTAGCCGAAAAGCCTGGGATTCGGGAAAGGACCTCCGGAAGCAGCCGCAAAAGTCTCGTCGTCGAACGTCGAACGACACATGTGAATTTTGTACAATAACAACCACAACCACAACCACAACAAGTGCACTCGAGTAGCCACTCACAGCATGGCCACCACCTTTCACTCCGGACGCAGCCAAGACGTGTATTATGGCTTCGATACCCTCTTTTACTGAAGTTCTGGATCCGAAGTGTGGCGGTGCGCGGCAGGGCTTGGCTAAGACTTTGCCCTCATCATGTGGTCTCGTATCTTGTGGAGATCCAGCAGAGGACGCTGCAGAGTCCATACGATACAGAGACCGCGCAACTTCATGAACAAGGCGAGCGCCTACAGCCAGCATACTGCGACGCAAGTGAACAGAAATGGGTCCATCTATCCATCGCTCCATCAGCTTGACATCGAAAATGGGTCCGATCCCTCGAAAAGCGGCAATGCCAATCTCTCCTCCGCCGTGAAGGACACCTCCACTTGCAACGCATCTCTACCGGTAGTTCCATTCAGTGGTTTGAACGAAGAGCAGGATCTAGCATCGCCACTTGATCATGCCGACACGCTGCTACCGTATGATGGCAGAGGTTTCGAGATCGAGGCGCAACCTGGGCGACCTGGTATTACACGGACACATTTCAGACTGTATGTATTCGTTTGATTTCTATTCGAGTTGTATACCAGAACTGACCTGCTGTAGTTCTGATAGATCGCATAACAAGCTAGGACTGACTCAGAGGACCCTAAGGATCGGAACTTTTGGCACCGAGTCATGGGATCCGACAATAGCACTTCGATCGCTCGACCACGCAATCCAGAGTTCGAACGAGCATGGCTTTAGGTGCCTGCTTTCGTCAAGTGAATCTCTTGGGTCGGCTCTGTCACCTAATACACCTATTCTGTTATTACAGCATCGGCTAAGCGTTGGAAGACCTCGATCGTCACGACTTGTAAGGATAAGCATCTATCCCGATGACACGGCCGCAAAAGTTCTGTTCACATTCCTTTATACAGACGTCAAATTTAGACCGCGAGAGAGGCATGTGATGACTATTCCTAAGATGAGAGTTGGAGTTATCGCGCAGCATACTCCAACTCGGACTGCCAAATCCTCCAGATCTTCCTTCGACATAAAAGATGACATGTCGTACCTTTACGAAAGCGCTGCAATGGTCATATCACGAACTACTCAAGCAATGAGCTCCGCCAGTTTCGATGATATGGTGAAGACTGTCGCAGAGACTTTGTTGCGTATCTTGGAGTTCCTCACACCTACCCTTGAGATACAGGAGATCACCGTGAGAGCGATCCAGAAACAGGGGATCTCGAAGGCACGGGCACGCTGGGCCATTCCTGGCGAAAGTTCAAATTCCGATGATAATTTAACCAGGAAAGTGAAAGTCAGAATTCTGAAAGGGACTACATACAGCGATGACGCTGAAGTGAGGCCACAGCAGAAGGCCCAATTCGCTAGCAATCTCACTAACGAAGCAGAATCATATGCAATCATCGCGCTAGGCAGCAATCTGGGCCATCGAGTGGATAGCATCGAAGCTGCCTGCAATCTCATCAGTGGAGACCCAGATCTGCGAATTATCTCGACTAGTCCGCTCTACGAGACGCGCCCTATGTACTACGATGATCAAGGAAGATTCGTCAACGGAGTCTGCAAAGTGAGCATGAGGATCGAGCGGCTGAAATATTTGAACTAATTGGGACAGGTTGCAACTGATTTAAGCCCCGTCCAGCTCTTAGATCGTCTTCAGAGCTTCGAGAATGTTCTTGGACGTGTGAAGCTCATTGATAAAGGCCCCCGGAACATCGATCTGGACATCATCACGTATGCTCAACATGTCATCTCCACAGAACGCCTCACAATTCCACACAAGCTGATGCTGGAGAGGGAGTTCGTGCTTCGGCCGTGGTGCGAGTCAGTATAGAGAAACTTTGTAAATGTCGATTTCATACTAACAGCATGGTAGCATCGCCAGAAACTTCAAGCTCGCCTCGACTGGACAGTCTGTCTCTCAGCACCTGCAGCAGCTAGTCCCTGGTGAACCCTCCATGTTCCCCATCACACCTCTAGCTCCCGAAAGTGAACTTCTCCAATCACTGCACCCGAAGCGAAAGACGCATGTGATGTCCATTTTGAATGTGACGCCAGACTCGTTTTCCGACGGTGGTGCCAATCGGCCGACAGACCTCGATGCATTGAAACACACCATTCAATCTCACATTGCAGCAGGCGCTACCATCATCGACGTGGGAGGACAGTCTTCTCGGCCAAATGCCCCGGATGTCACAGCCGAGGAAGAAATTGCCCGTATTCTCCCAGCGATTGAGCTCATTAAAGCCCTACCCGAAGCAAAGCATGTTTCCATCAGTATTGACACATACCGTGCTTCCGTCGCCGAAGCAGCGATCGAAGCCGGCGCACATATCATCAACGACATCTCTGCCGGAAGCCTCGACCCTGACATGTTACCCACTATCGCCCGCCTCGGTTGCACCTACATCATGATGCACATGCGCGGCAGCCCCGCTACGATGCAAAATCCAGAAAACACAGCCTATCCCGACGACCTCGTCTTTACAGTGGCTACAGAACTCCTCGTACGACTCGACGCCGCACAGCAAGCCGGCATTCGACGTTGGCGCATCATTCTCGACCCCGGCATTGGATTCGCCAAAACCGTCGAGCAAAATGCGGAGCTTCTGGGTCGATTTTCCGAGCTTCGAAATCATGAAGAGCTGAGAACGTATCCGTGGTTGGTGGGAACCAGTCGGAAAGGTTTCATTGGAAAGCTCACTGGTGTAGAAGATGTGAGAGATCGGGTGGAGGGTACTGCTGCTACTGTCACGGCTGCGGTGGCTGCTGGAGCGGAAATCGTGAGAGTACACGATGTGAAGGAAATGGTAAGAGTGGTAAAGATGGCGGATGCCATGTATAGAAGAGGACGACGAGGAGGAGACGCGCAGTCCTCCTCTCCCTCTTCCTCCTCCTCCTCCTCCTCCTCCTCCTCCTCAGTCTGCGATACGCACTGTTCCGAGAATGACCAGCAGGAAGGTCAAACTCAGATTGAAGAAGAAGAAGAAGAAAAAGGAAAAGGAAAAGGAAAAGAAAGAAACAACTGCGTCCCTTAGGAATGAATAATGGAGGGTGTAGAGCATGTGGGTGCTCCTCAGATGCTTCATCTTTATCTGACTGTGTGTTCATTTCGGGATTGGAATATCTTCCTTACCTACCTAGTAGGTACCTCTCTCTATACACATTCATAAGTACTCGAGAAAACGTTCTAGATGATATCTAGTCAATGCGAGAGAAAGAAAGAGAGAGAGAAACATGAATCTCTTCTCTGTTCTCTCTTCCCACTTCTCTCTTCCCACTTCCGCTCTACCTAAGGTAATACGATATCGGAGAATGATACTCCAGTAGCAGCTTGAGGTGTATTGTATATACAATACGTGCAGGGTACCGTATAACAACATCCTCAAAGCACCCACGAGATGTCCGACATGTCATCTAGCGTCTATCGATTTGAATTGATTTGGATAGAATCGGGCATATTCGAGGATTTGCAAGAAAGAAGTTGTAAAGGGAAGGTAATGTAAATGTAAACTAAGGTAATTCTTCTTTCTCATTTCGTTGATCGATTTGGTCATGCAGGCAAAGCGTGAGTATAAAACATTATTTGGGCCCCCCCTTCCCCTTTCGCCATACAGAACAGCATGGACAAATAATTGCAATGCTCTTCATCGAGAAAAGGTACAGAGAGAGAGTTAGCAGCAGGGTGAGCGTGCAAGACACGTGTGCACAGGAAGCTCATGTCTCGGCTCCCACAGTCCCGGACTCAGACTGCTGCTGTTTCTCCCTATGCTCGAGAAACTTCTCCGATGCACGTGTCACAGTCACACGCTCCTCTCAAAGAGCGGGTAGTAGAGAGCTCCAAGGACAATAGCACGACTCGCTCATGTCTCAACTCTCGCGGCCTCGGCATCGGCCTGCTGCTGCTTCTCCATATCCTCGACAAACTTCTCCCAGATGGCAATGTTGCCACTGAAGAAGTGAATATGGGCATCGGCCAGTCCACCAAGTTGCTCTCGGAACTCCACCGCTTTGATCCTCTCAAAATCGCCCACCTCCTTGACCACCTCAATATCAAAGGCTTCTGATGTCTTTCTGGCTGCTTCGACCTCAGTCGTCAACCTGGAAATCTCAATCTCCAGTTTCCGTAATCTTGCCCGTCTCGACTGTTCGTGATCAATGCCTCGCACATCCTCAATCTTTTGGCGGAGGAAACCACCCGCTCCTGTTGAGCCATTGCTCGCAAGGGTGTCTCGCTCTTGCGCAGCCTTGGTGAGGTAGTCTGTCAGAGCTTCAAAGTCAAGCTGCTTCTGCTCTCGTGTCTTGAGCAGAGCCTTGAGAGACAACCCGTAGGCTTCCATATCTTTGAGAGAGCCTAGATAGTCTTGATCCGTGGTGTCCTTCAGTCCTTGCCAGCCCTCGCTTGTGCTGTTGACAGAGGCAGCGAACTTGGTCAGCTCGTCATTCACGCCAGGCTCCAGCGCGGCAAGCTTTTGGAACTGCTCTGCAAGATCGCGGTAGTCATTTTCCAGATCACCTTCTCTCTTGGCCACTCTCGCAACCGTCTTGCTGACAGTTCCGAGATCATCGTCCAGCTTGGACGCTCGATCGCTGACATCGGAGAACTTCTTGTCCGTTTTGTGCGGTTTGGTGAAAGCGTTGAGGAAGCCATCGGTCCAGCTTTCGAGTACGCCTCCACCACCTCCATCACTTCCACTCATGCCACGGTTCGGTCTGCTCTTCATGGTCGCATTCCAATCGCTCGACTCCAGAAACAGGGTGAGAAGTGTCGCTCGCCGCAACACCGGATGCAGTGTGAGACGCTTCAAGAACCGATTGAGGGAGTAAGCTCTCCTTGATGTGAAGTCGGGGCCAAAGCGATCCCCTCGCACATATGACATGTTATGCTTGTCGGGAAGAGGCGGCACGGCGCATTGTGGATACTCCTTCGCCAGCGTCCGGTATAGGAAGACAAAGTCGGTGAATCGTCGCCGCACGCTCGTGTGCGAGTTCTGATATGACTTGAAGTCCGTGTCGGTAGTCACGAGATAGGAGACATACACCGTCTGTGTGCCCTCGCCCTCCTTCTGTGGGCTGCTCACAGTGCACTCGAGTCGACCTCGAGCTCCTGGGCCAGCCAAGTCTACCGAATCCGCATGCTCGCCAGCCTGCTGCCACTCTGGGCTATCGTAGTCATTGCTGCCACGTCCAGCGCCGTCCATCCTGCCAGTGCGTAGGCGTGCAGCAAATCGAGGAGTAAAGCTCGTCTGTGCTTGCCGTGGATCTCTCCCCAGTCGCCGCGATCTCGAGCTACGCCCTCCTACCACACGGTTCTCTGAGTCGTGACCCTCGTAGTGCGACTCTGGCACCTGCTCGCCGTCAATGTGCTCAAATCCTTCGTCGTCGCCGTCGTCGTTATCTGGCGCGGCCGCGGGGGTCGAAGACAGATTGACGTCGATGACGGAGCTGTGTGCAGACGACGCGGGTGACGCGTAGGGATGGATTGTGGTGGGCAGATTGGGGAAGATCAGAGCTGGAGGGTCATCGTGGGTGTCAGACTCTGCGTCGTCGTGGTCGTCGTGGTCGTCGTGATCTTCGTAGTCGTGGTCGTCGCTGGTATGGTTGTTTCGAGAGCAACGAGGGATGTCGTCCCAGACCTGGTGCAGGTTGTCACTTCCGGTTGGATGGCTGCTCTCGGTTGCGTCAGTCGTAGCGGTAGCGCGACCATGTGCGGCCTGTGCAGCCCTGGCACTACTGGCACTGGCACTGGCGCCGGCAACGTGGGACCGTGGTCCGGACGGCGGCGACGGCGGCGGCGGCTCGTCCTTCACGTGAGGCTGTGGCTGAGGCTGCTGCGACTCCATGATTTCCACTTGGCAAACGTGTTGTTGTGGTTGTTGTTTTCTTCTTCCTGTGTTGCGGTTGTCGCGTGCTGGTGAAGGAGGAGGAAAAACCGCTTGATCGATCAATCGATCCCGCCGGCCGTTCCCTCGTCAGTTCACTCGTCAAAATATTGCTTGCCCTTCTTCATCGCGGTGCTGGCAACGGTCAAACGAAGCAAGCTGCGTCATCCGCAGCCACGCTTGCTACAAACATCTCCATTGATCTAATTGTCAACTCAGTCCCCCTATACCAACAGGAGCAACGGAGAGGATCCACCATGGCGGAGCCTGCAGCGTGGGAAGGCTTCTTAACGTGGATGTTCTCTCCCAACTGGTCGACCATCATCCTCTCCGTCATCGTCGCCTTCACCCTCCCCGTACTGATCCATGCTTACCTCTACAAGAAGGCTGTTGCAAAGGAGCTCCCAAGCTTTCTCCTCCTAGGCTCCAGTGGAGCAGGCAAGACAAGTCTTCTCACCTTGGTACAATACAATCTCTCTTTGCCGTCACTCAAACCGCGTGGTCAGCGAGCAGTGGGAGGTAACTAACCAGAAGGATTCCCAGTTCTCAACCGGCTCCGTCAAACCCACCTACACCTCCCAATCGCCCTCAACAGCCCTGGTCCGACTGCCCGATCAAATCCGCACTCACGAAGACCGCTACCGCTCCGAAAACGACAACGCTCCTCGAAACCAGCCCACTTTCAAAGTCATCGATACTCCCGGTCACGGAAAGCTTCGCCATCACGCGTACTCCACTTTGACAGCAGAAGCCACGACGGCTGCCCTCAAAGGCGTGATATTCGTGCTTGACAGTGCAGCCGCTGCGGGAGGCTTGATCGACGCTGCGGAGTATCTTCACGATGTCCTCCTCGCTCTGCAGAAGAGACATACGCAGAGCAGGACGAGTAAAGGTCCAGTCGCTATACCTGTGCTTGTCGCGGCAAACAAGCAGGATATATTCTCTGCGGCTCCCACGAGTCTCTTGAGAATGAAGTTGGAGGAGGAAATTGGGAAGATACGGGACACGAAGAGTAGAGGAATCACTGGTGTGGGAGGTGATGTGTCGGGAGATGATCCGGGAGGAGATGACGAAGATAACTGGTTGGGAGCTTATGGAAGTACGGAATTCAAATTTGCGCAAATGGAGGAATATGGCGTGGATGTGAAGGTCATTGGGGGGAATGTCAAGGATGGGGAGACGGGAAAGGGACATGTGGATGGGTGGTGGGTGTGGATTGGAGAGAACCTGTGAAGGGCGGAAGTTGTTGTCATTTGCACCAGAACACCAGCATTCAACGACGAGGATCTTGATATTCTTGTCTCTTCGACATCGGGTGATGGCAGAAGGATGAATGCCCCCCAGCACCCAGTTGCACGCAACGTGGACGATGCGATGCGACGCGTCGCGCAGTCGCATATCGCATATCGCATTCGCGGCTTTGCACAAAAGTTCTGATGACCTCACGATCTCATGGTCTCTAGAAAGTTACCTTTATTCGGAATGCCACAACAAGTAGGTCTTAAAGTCTTGAGAGCTGCGATAGGTGGTAGCTCAATGGATGAGAGGCTTGCTGATGAGCTCACCGCAGAGTTTCACGTGATCACGAAGAACTGATCGGTCGGTCACTCTTCTGAAAACGGGATACAACACACAAGGCTACACCCATCATGTGGATTGTAGAGAAGGGAGAAGAGGCAGAAGACAAGGATGGATTTACTTCTTCTAGACACGACGCGCTCTACCCACCCCGGAGGCCTTTTGCTTGATTGACAGACAGACAGTATGCTGTACCACTCTTTCTCCCTCTACACCGGCAGCTTGATAGAAGACCTCGTCAAGAGTGCCCATCATCATCATCATCATCGTCATCTTCTTCTTCTCGAAGGACCACTCCCTCCCTCCCTCCCTCTCTCTTTATTTTCTCCATCAACTCTTCCACGCAGCCCGGCGAGAGAACCTTCCTAGCTCTAGGGATGAGGGGAATTATTTGTAATAGTAACAATTTGGAGAGAACGATTTTTCGCCGCTGTCCCCGTCATTAGCAAGTGCTACCTTATTTGTGGAAAAAGAAAATCGAGGACCTCGAAAAACACCCCCGACGAACGAAACGAATCGAGACGAAGACGACATTTACATGTTAGGTAGTAGGTCAGGTAGGGTATACTGTACTTACTTGTCACCGGTGATTTCTCTTCCATAACAAACGTATTTTGGTCTTCCGGCACACTTTTTTTTGGTTTTTGCATCAGATTAGTATGATGATTATGATGATGATGATGATGATGATGATAGGTACCTAGGTAAGAAAGAGATACATACCGGTGAGTGCTGGCAGGTCCGTTGAGTCAAGCCCGCTTGCCAAGAATCACACTTCGTATTACCGTACTGTGCAAAAACAGAGGAAAGAAATAGGAAATTCGAGGTTAGTGAATGTACCAGGTAGAACTGATTGGTGCAATGATAGCGACTTTTTTTCCTTTTCTTTTTTGTTCCTTTTTTGGGGTACATACTGTCTTGAGATGGTAGGGGTCAGGTAACGTGCAAAAGAGTGCTGCAGAGGTATTGCCGGTAAGAGATAGCAATAGTAGTGCGGTTGCTGCGGAGAAGAAGGTTGTGGAATGCATGATGGTAGTAATGTGGAAATGTCGAATGTGGAAAGGTTGAATGTCGGCGGGTCCTAGGAGGATGAAGAAGAGGAAGAGCAGGCGCACATAGTACAGCTATATATACCTGAGGTATTCTGCTACGGGCATATCATTACCACAACCTTGGGAGAGGAGAAGAGTGGTGGTACCCTTATCAGAGTTGTCAAAGTTGTCAAGCCTACCTAGGAGGCACCTCCTAGTAGGCTCCAACTTTAATTGCCAACACTTTGGTCAAAGTTGACTGCCTTACCCTTGACTTTGATTGGGGACCACCGAGAAGGAGAAAGAGAAGGAGAAGGAGAAGGAGGAAGAGGAGGATGAGACAGAGAGAAGAGACGAGAGACATACGTACGCGCGCACGCGCGCGCACAGGTATATAGAAAATTGGCCGACACCGTGCTACCAACGGGCAGGCCGGTAGGATATATTTAAACTCCTAGGAGGTAATGTAGGTATCGAAAGCGGAGGCTAAACGGAGGGAGACGGCGAAGCCTCGAAGGAGACTTAGATACGTTGTTTTTAGGAGGGTAGGGTTATAGCGGAAGGGTACGTAATTATTTGATAACTCAGAATAGGGTCTGCCTATAGCCCTGGCGGAGTAGTTCGGAAGAAGTTACTACACTCGGTACAGCATCGCGAACTATACAGGCTTCGTTCCGAAATCGTACTGATCTTAGTCGTCGGCTATTGTCAGCGGTGACTACATGTACCTAAGAACGATCTGCCGTCACGAACAATCCCACTTCCTCCATCTTCTCCTCATGTCCCTGGTCCATACCGCGGGCGAATCTCTATCGCAGACACGTTGACTGTAGCTATTCGGTCGGCGTGTAAGCGCTTTGTCGCTCGAGTTTCGGAGCCCCCTGGCTCTAACGGAATGCCTACGACTGTACGATCCTACCCGACCCAGCACTAACACCAACACCAACTCCAACTCCAATATCAATAAAACCCCGTTTCCTGAAGTGACAGACTTTTCGGACACGTCTGTTTCGTTTTCCTAGGCCCCTGGATCTGACTGATTACACTCGATCGGACTACTCTACCTCGCCGAACAGGACCAACACCAACACATTCCAGGACCCTAACCCTTCTTCCTGGGCTTCTTGGTAGGCTTCTTGGTAGGCTTCTTGGTAGGCTTCTCCATTTAGGCATCTCCTCTATCTCCATCTCCATCTCCATCTCCATCTCCATCTCCATCTCCATCTCCCCCTCCTCTACCTCCTCCTCTTCCTCCTTGTCCTCCTCCTTGTCCTCTTCCTCCCCCTCCTTGTCCTCTTCCTCCTCCTCCTCCTCCTCGTCCTCCTTGTCCTTGTCCTTGAGCTTCTCTTCTTTTTATCCTTCTCTTCTGATTTTTAGGCAAGGTAGCCCGTAGGGCCGTAGGGACAGATCGGCAGGTAGGCAGGTAGGCAGGCAGGCAGGCAGGTAGGTAGGTAGGCAGGCAGGCAGGCAGGCAGGCAGGTCGGTAGGTCGGATTTAGCTCATCGCGCTAGCGGGCTCTACCGCTGACGTTCGCGCCAATTAGCGTATATATTACGCTCCGATCGATTTTGTATCCTCTACACAGATTGATTAGCACTCTACTCCCCCCTACACCTGACCTACGCTGCGCTTCGGAACCTGAGGTTTGGAGGTCGTTCCGTTACCCGTAGGGCAATTGTATGCGGCGGGAGCAAAAATTCTAAATGGCAGGAGGCCATGCTTACATTCCTTCGCTTGGTACTGCCTACCTAGGTACTGTTAGAAGAACTGAGGTAAGACAAGGTCCTAGGCAATCAAGAGATAGAGATGGATACAGCGCGATGGATACGGCGCGATAGACACCGCGCGATAGACACTGCGATGGATATAGCGCAATAGACACGGCGATAGACATAGGAGGTAGCGATAGACATAGCGATAGACACGACGATGGATACAGCGTGAACTTGACCTCCCGCCATTTAGCTCCCGCCGCATACGACTGCCCGTTCCGCTCCCGCCGCATATAACTGCCCGTTCCGTATTAATCAATAGCTACTCCGGAATCGCGAACAAGAATAGAGCTGATTAGCTTTTTCATCTAAGCCCTATAGTTCTGCGGAGTAGGCAGGGTACCTTACGCTTATATAATGGCTGGTTGTCACCGACCGCTCCGCGCTATACCTAGCAGGTCCAGCCGAATTGGCGAATGAATTCGCTCATTCGTCCAGACTATGCGATGGAGGACGATGGCGATCCATCCGTGACACCAGAGCTTTTAGCAATACTTAAATGTTCATACGCCACACGCTTTCTAAGGTACAGGTAGGTACTCAAGACACCAAATCCCCCATTCGAAACTAGCTACTCCAGAAATCTTAGGTAAGACTCTCCACATAGCGGGGAGTAGATCGCCGCTAACCCCACAGCTAGGATCATCCTCGGAAGAAAAAATGAAGATCATTGCGCCTACATCGCTGCTAGCTGTTCTGCTCTTGGTCGCGGATGGAGTTTTGGGAAAATGCAGAATTCTCTGCAAATGTTGCGACACATCTCTTGTAAGAGGATACATTATCACTATGTCATTGCATATAGCTTACAGGTTTACTTAGGGTAACTCAGCGTTCTATGGCTGGCAACACACGCATCCGAAATTCCCAGGCGCCTGCAAATGTCTGAACACCGCTTTGGGTTGCAGTAACGTCGGTGGGGATGGACAGTGCAGCGAATAGGGCTGCGACTGCGATTCTGCCTCCTACATCGCGAGGGTACGACTTTCTTACGAAACGATTGGCACACTTTGCGTCTATTGTGCAGAGGAGATAGGGATGGGTATGGTGATGGACTGATGGTAATGGGGGGTTTTCCAATATCCCGCACGTAGTTTTTTCCCAAGTGGTTTTCCTACGTGCCTCGCGCGAATGCGGGGATTTACTCTTCTTCTTCTTCTTCTTCTTCTTCTTCTTCTTCTTCTTCTTCTTTTCTTTTCCCCTAGCCCCTCCCTCCTCCACTCCCCCTTGCACCTGACCTACGCTGCGCTTCAGAAGGTTTGGAGGTCCTTCCGTACCAATCAATCTATGGAATAAGGGCTAGAAATCCCAGAGAGCGCACTCTCTAATGGATTAGCGCGATCTCTGGCGGTGGGGCGCGCTAAATCCAATAGACCCAAAGCGTTACCACCTCAAAAAAAAGCCCGCCGCAGGCATACCTGCCTTCCTACCTGCCTGAGGTACTTACCTACCTGCCTGCCTGCCTGCCTGCCTACCTGCCTACCTGCCTACCTATCTGTCCCTACGGGCCACCTTGTCTAAAATTCAGAAAAGAAGAGCAAAGACATGAGCAAAGAGAAGAGCAAAGAGAAGAGCAGGACAAGAGCAGGACGAGGAGGAGATGGAGATGGAGATGAAGACATACGCATACATGCGCGCGCGAAGATTGAGATTAGTACACATTCCGTACCACCAACGGGCAGGCCCGTAGGACATATTACTTTGATAGGAGGCGGGGAAAGCGATGGCCCTTGTTGAGAGATACTGCTCCTTTAGCCAGTCGATCAGCCGCTTCGTTTCCTGCTTCGCCACTACCTCCTATGGCCTGGTATCCATTGCAGGCGGACTTTGGCCCCTCGAGCACGGAGTGCCTTCACCCTGCGTAGCACTTCGAGAACGATCATAAGCCCGGACCTGGGCTTGTTTCCTGCCATCGCCATGATCGCAGATTGGCTGCCGCTAAGCACTATAATCGGCTTCTGTTCGCTGTTGTCGTCTAGTACCTAGATTCACAAAATTATTCTCCTCGATCATCTTCATCTCTTGCGAGATCGCAATAATTTCGGCGCCGTGGACATGCCATTCGGATGCTGATCCGATTCCAATTTGGTATGTTAATTGTGTCTCTGCGGAGCCGTCTATTTGTATCAGGACTGCTGCGCCTAGAGCCGCGCCTTTGGCTGAAGCATCGGTATAGACCAACAGTCCGCCTCCGTGCCGCGCGCTTGCTACCTCCTCCAGGGCGCGCTCTTTGTTCGTAGGGATGCTGACGTCGGGAATCCTCTATTATCCCACGGGGCAGTCAGGCTTGGGTCGATGGTTTCCAACGATTCGAGCTCTTGGTGGTCCATTGTCTTGAACGTCCCCACCAGGCCCATTTGCGCCCGGGATTGGCGACAGAGGAGTTCATATACCTGTTCCTGATGATTACCTGCTACTATCGTAAATTCCGGCGATTGTGGTGCTCGATAGTTCTGTGGGCCAACAACATTTGGTGCAGGAGACGCGCATGTGCGAGGTTGTATTTGTATTTACTCAATATCAGAATCACAGCCTGGTCTGGGGCACTTTTGTGGCCCTGTTATAACAATAGGTAGGTGAGGCTGGCGTGGAAGAACCCATGCTGGTGAGATTCGTAAGAACCAGTCCGTCGGAATTGGGAGAGTGATCTGTAATGGATAGATCCACGCCATAGAGGGCGCAACAACGGCACGGTGCCGTGGTGAACTTCGTTCGCATGCTGGATTACTAGCTGTCCTGTCGTGCGCCAGACTAAAGTATACTATAAACCTATTGCACTCTGTACCGACGAAGTGCCAATTGGCGTGTCTGAGTGTTCGGAAGGCTTTGCTGGTTCACAAGCAGCCCTTAGAATGTAGGCGCCGCTAAGCTAATGCCACACGTCGTCGAGCAGCTTGCTGTCGTAAATACTGCGCTGTACCATAATGGCCATAATGTTCAGCCAGTTCAACGGCAAGATCGCCACACGAGTCCTTGATGTCCAGCCGTGCCCCGTAGCTTATTAGCACTCGAAGAACATCATCGCGACCTGCGGCAGCAGCATCGTGGAGAGCAGTGCCCGATCCGAAGGTCTCCTGCATTCGGTAGATACCTGGCCGGTTATAGAACTGTACCGCGTTTACTGGAGCGCCTTTTTGAATCAGGTACTCTAAGATAGCGCTATTATCTCGTTCTCGCGAGACCGCTGCGTGAAGCAAATAGCCTTGCTGAACATCGCCACCATGAGCAAACAGCATCTCGATAATAGAGAGGTCTGCGTCTCGAATGGCGAAAGTTAACGGAGTTAAGCCTAACATGCAGCTAGCATTTGGATCAGCACCGTGGGCTAAGAACCAGGCAGTAAGACCGACGTCCTTGACGGCATATCTAGCAATTCCCCGTGAGCAATACATCCGATAAATCGCTAGGGTGTCCTCACGCAAGTGCTGGAGGTTCGCTCCATCCAAGCGCTTTGTTGGTATCCCATGCTTTTTCGAACAACAACTGCAGTATTGCTGTATCCTTTATCAGAATGGCTTTGCGAACCACGGAAGTTGAAGGTTCAACAGCTGCAGACAGCAGATATACTACAACATCCTGATAGCCCTGTTCTACCGCCCACAAAAGGGCCCGCCCATAAGGATTGTCGCGTCGCCTCTCTGGAAGGCGGTGGAGCTCTGCAAGTGTTTCCTTTACAGCATCGAGGCTCCCTTTGTATGACGCATTTTCGAGGCGATAGATGATGGGCAAATCGTGCAGAGGAGATTTGTCGTCGTAGGATACATCTGTTCCGAACGTCGCGTCCAAGTAGGAGATTATGTCGATGTCATCGAACGACGGCGGCGGCAACATAGCCAATGTTGCCTCCATGACCGGATCATCAGATGCCGACATTGCCTTGCTCGAGAGATGGAAAGATGCAGGCTGGGGAAGGCAAAGGGAAGGTGTGTGTGTGGAGCAAAGGTTGAATGTTGAAGGTGGAAAGGTGGTGTAGGCCCGAGTCACCAGGTGGGAAGGTGGGGAGGTCAAGCTGCCTCTGTCAGGTACATGGCAACAGAACAGCTCAATTCATGCACCGCAATAGCCATTCTCTCCAACATGCAGGCCCTTATACACTCAATTACCCAGCACTATGACATGGCAAAGGGGCAAGGACTTTTCCCGCAATCTGCTACTAGCATTGTCCAGGGCAAGAACTCTGGAGCGTCGCTTGATATCTCGGCTCGAGTTGGGAATATGCTGATGTTCGTAATGTCAGCTTTGTCGTTGTCGTGGCGCCCTCCTGGCTTGACTATGTCGCGGGGGTATGTCCACCGGACGACCCAGATTATGTCCTCGTCGGTTTCAGGTTCGTTGGAAAGCAGTTCTGAGGCTCGAGCAACCCTACCGCGAAGCTCCCCGATGCGTCCGATAATCAGATCAGATATGGCTGAGGATCCTTCTTGCGACGTTAATTGTGCTGCCATTTCTAGTGAAGACAGTAACCGTCCCTGCTGTATGTTCAATCTGACCCGAGATATGCGATGGAGAAGCTCAGAAAGAGCGGCAGTAAGGAACTCTTGTGAATTTCTGGGATCCACGTTCCCTTACTCTACGGCGAAGGGGAGAAAGCACTCCGAGGACTGCAACTCGAGATCCTCCAGAAATATCCGGATGACTCAGTACTTTCGTGGCATTCAAGCGATCAGCTTTGCCATCCACGGTATGTCTTGGCTAGGTCTCCGGACGAGTTCGAGGACTGCTCTGACATGGAACCATTATCTCCGCTTCAACATGATACACCAATGTTCCATCCTCCTCAAGTGACGAGTTGGGGGATCGCGCTCCGTACAAATGCTTTGCAAACTGTGGCCGAATCACGGAGAGAAATTCATCACCATTGGCGGCCAGGACCATCGTTTCCTGTGGGCTCTCCGAATGACAGTCGCCTGGAGAGGTAACTTCGAAGACCTGCCCAGTGTGCTGCTTTTGGTGCAAAGCCGTCCAGCGCGGTATAGCTACCGCTGGGAGCGTGTAATTGAGCGGATGTGTAGCAGAGACTGTGCGATGTAAAGCAACAGACTAGTCCGTATGTGGATTAGCGTAGAGCGGCAGGACATCCAGGGGGGCTTTCCGCTCTAGAATGCGACATCCACACCCGCTTGCAGACTCAAGCAACATCTATGGACAACGAAATCCGGTATCCCAAGGGCTTCTCTCTAGAAGACATCCTAGCCTGGGGTAGCTTCGGGCTAGTATGTCTCGATTCGTCCTCCTCGACAGTCGTCAAATCCGCACACGACGAACAGACACAACCATTCATTGATGCCGAGAAGCGTGTGTACGAACGATTCGACGAATGCGGTGGCCACCCGGGGTTATTAAAATACTTTGGAGTTCACGACAACTCCATCCGGCTTGAGTATGCGCCCAAGCACGACTTACGGTCCTACCTCCAGCAAAACGGCAAAGCAATTCCATCTCGTCAGCGCCATCAATGGGCTTTGCAAATCGCAGAAACCCTCGTATTCATACATCAAGCAGGCGTCATTCACGGAGATTTGACATGCAGTAACATTCTCCTCGACAAAGAACTCAATGCCAAAATCGCCGATTTCTCCGGCTCTTCAGTAGACATATCGTCTTCGCCTCTCCTCGTCCATGTCACAGCGAGCCATGCACACCCCGTATACACAGGATCAGCGAAAGGCGACTTATTTGCGCTCGGCTCGCTCCTGTTTGAGATTATGACGGGAAAATCGCCTTATGATACTCTTACCGATGAGGAAATTGAAGAGAGATATTCCAGAGGAGAATTTCCAAAGACAGACGACTCTCTGGGTTTGATCGGTGAGGTTATTAGAGGATGTTGGAAGGGGATGTATGATAGTGGTAGTATGCTTGTTGAATATCTGACAGGCATGCGAGTCCTTGCCTTTCTACTTAAGTTGAATATAGGTTGCTAATGTTGTTATTAGGTGCTAACTCTGCTACGCGTCCGTTCTTCTAGACTCTAATGTAAGAAGGTATTTTATTACTGCTTAATAGGGCAATAGTGTAGTTGTGTAGTTCAAAACATATACCTACCTACCTAGGTATAGGAATGCGTTTCAGCGTCGCGTAGGTAAGGTACGGTACCTACCTATAGTATCTGCTTGAGCGTAACCGTACTCGTAACATGGTTTTTGTACAGTTCGGTTGCAGCGGCTGGTACGTACAGGACGGGGACCTCATTATATCCAAATCTGCCTTGCTCGGCTGTTTTAAAACCTAAGGTATATAAGGTAGTGTCATAATACATATATGTATACGGAAGCAGTTCAAGGTAATTTCCATAAGTTGTAGTGGCATTAATAGCAGCGAAAAGGCCTTTTTTTCATCAGCGTAGGTCTCTGTCTGCTCTTCTATGCTTGCCTTTCCCATGCCTTGGCCCTTGCTGTGTCATGCCCTGCTGCTTTGCAATCCCATCCCATCATCATCAATACTTGAAAAGCATTCATTATTCAGCGCTGTTTTCAATTCCAAAACACCAACGCTGCATCACCACCCAACAGAGATCAGTAGAAGGAGTGCGGCCTTCTAAGCATAATCGGGCGCGGGCCCACCAGGAACAGCCTGTTGTCCCGGTCCGGACGACGAGCCATGATGTCTATTCCCATCTCTCATGACATCCAACGTCTTGGGAAAGTAGGGTTCGACGCCCCAGTTGCGCAAATATGCTCCCGTCTTCTCGATTCTCTTGATTTCCCTCTGCACGCCCCAACTATCGGCTTCCTCGCGGAATCTTCCATTCACCACATCCACCATGGCCTCGTCTAACCTGCCGTAAAAGCTCTTTCGCTCCATGATGTCATCTTCGTCGCCGTTCTCTAAACCGCCATGTGAGTTCAGATTTCCGCCCAGTTTGAGGAGGAGGTCGAAGGCGTAGCGCGGGCCAGAGGGGAGGGCTGAGAGGCGGGAGATGTCGGGGAGGAACTTCAGCATGCAAGCAGAGAAGGATGGAGTGGGGAGGGAGTCGTTGAGGTCGTCTTGTAGACGGTGGAGGTCAAAGTTCACAATGGTGATTTTTCGGTCTAGCTGCGCATTGAGTGTTGCGGCGGCGTGCGTGGGGGATGAAGCGTGCGAGGCGCTGTCCATGATTTGGGCAATGGATGGGGGAACATCTAGAGGGATCATTTGGTCAGCATGTCGGGTTCTTCGCGCGCAATGAGGAAACAAAGGACAACGGACCTGGTCGTAAGCCTCTCTTGTCAATCCAAGCGTGGACTTCACTCTGCTGTCTCTCCAGACTTGCAATGTAGGCTCTCAGATCGGCAATCTCATGCTCTAAGCCCTCGATCTTGTCGGAGAAGGGCCGCACAGCTTGATTGAAAGCCTCAATGAGCAAGTTGGGCGAGGCTTCCGCCTTTGCTGATGAGCCGGGCAGGGCACCAGCGTCGTACCCATTACTTCCACCACCGCCACTCATATTGGCGCCCGGCCTGGTTCGATCTGGCATGTCCTGACTCTGACGATAGCCTGCATTTCCACTGTATGCCGAGGGCAGCTGATGCTGCTGGGCCGCAACTTCTGTGGGACGATCGCGTCTGGTGTACATGTTCTCTCCTCGTGTGTCGTGTCCTATGCGGGGGCCTTTGTCGCTGTGTGCACTGACGGGCACACCGTCGTGTTCGTACTCGTCAGCGCCGACAGTGCGGTCGCGTGGTGGCTCGGAGTGGGCGTATTGGTCGTCGTACTGGGCGCTGTTGGTCTTACTATCGTGGCGCGAGTCGAAGTTGTTGTCGACGTAGGACTGCGAATTGGATCGACTGCGACTGCGAGAGAGGCGTTTGAAGAAGACCATGTTCTGCTTCTTCGGGGACGAGGGAGGGCAGCAGGCAGGGGAGAAAATGTGTTCTAAGAGGATGTTGGGTCACGGTGGATGAATGGGTGGGTGGGTTGATGCGTGGCTATGGGAAGCTTATGTTTGCAGGGAGGCTGGATTAGGCTGAAATGGTCAGTATACGAGCTACGAGCAACGTGGACACGGCGGGCAGGATCAAACAGGAGTTGAGACGGAGTTGGTGATGTCTCGCTTCTATTGGGGATTGTTGCGGGAGAGGTTGGACGATGATATGACTGGCGGGATGTGATGGAGGACGAAATGGCGGAGGGTGGGAATGATACAGTACGGTTCCACGGCGACAGGGGAGCATCGGGACCATCTCCATTTGGAGATGTCGTGTGTGTCCGTTCCGTCTACTGCAGGAACATGCATTTGAGAGGGAAACGGGTGCAAGTTGTACATTGATGTACCTCGACAACATCCCTTCTTCCCATATGCCGTCCCTTATTCTTTTCTACTTTCCCGTCAACCGTCATAATGCGGACCTGCTCGGCCTCCGATTCCCCACCAATCTTGGCGCGAAAGTCGGCAGCGAAGTAGCCATAGCTTCTGTCATTGCCGAAACCTAAAATGACATCCCAGCCTACCTTTTCGTCGCTCAGCCCAGCCATCTGCGTGCACGTCACCGAGCTGTCCTCTAAACAATGCCTTTGTCACTGAGAGATCACTGTTGGCCTCGTCATTATGCTCGCTTTTGTGGCTCCAGTGATTGGAATCGCGGACTTGTCAGCGACACCAGCAGAAACCCATCCCACTAGTGGAGGTAATCGACACCAAGGCCCGCGAGTAGGATGCGGGAAGTAAAGGAGAAATGATGTAGGAGAAATCGTCAATCGGATACATTGCTGCTACTGATGCACTGGATTCCTCCCAACAGGTCTCCTCCAAGACTCCATTGAGCTGCATGCAATACAAGAGAGAAATATGAGGAATACTCCAACACTTGTTCCCAGAGTAGATTAGATCAAAACACCATCGATCCTATCAAATACGAGAGGATAAAGCCAGACCGAACGTAGGTAGGTAGATACTTATCGACGCGAGGCAACATACATAGTACCGGTACCTACCTTCGGCTGTTGTCGCCAGCCGTGTCTTATCTTCGTTTCGTAAGATCATATATCGTGCAACTTGGGTGAATCGAGTCGGAAAGACGAACTTTTCAACGCGGAAGTACTTCTTAATACGGATGCGGAGAGTCGATATACGGGCGTCTTTCAGAGTAAGGTACCTCTTAGTACGGCTTGGGCTGGGCTGCAATCGGGCGCTGGAATTCATGGCATGGCACGAACATGTTTTCGGCCCGGTCGGAGGAGATATGTTGCCGCCGCGTTTTTTTCTAAGAATACAAAGTGTAGTCGAGAAGTATGTACATGTAAGGTACCTCTAGGTAAGTAGCAGAGACGGAGGACGGAAGTTCTAACGACGCGTGAAGTCGTAGGAGGTAACGGGGGGATGATGTAGTGTTTAGAGGTACATACTTAATGCCAAGAACATCCGATCCGACGGTCAGGTATCTCCCTCCCTTCTCCAACCCTCACGAAACGCGACGCCGACGCGTTTCCAACATCGCCATTTGCCCACCTACCGACCTATTCCACCTTATTCTACATACCTCCTATTCTCCCATATTCTCCCTATCCCACCTCCCCCATCCATCCACCAATCCAATCCAATCCAACCCTCCCATCCCATTCCCTTCCTCTCCACCACCCAAAACCATGCTCCCCCGCCCCGCAACAAAACTCCACCTCACAATCGACGACATAACCGACTACGAGCGCAGAAAAGCCCAACGAGACGCACTCCAACAAGCGCAGCAAACACAACAACAACAAGCGCAGCAAACGCAAACGCAAGAAAAAAAATTCGTAGAAGAAGAAGAAGAAAAGGAAGAGTCAACGCGAGCGAGAGCTAAAGCGAAATTGACAAGGGAACATCAACAGAGGATTATGGGTTCGAGGACGTGAAAATTGTGAAAAGCTTTGAAAAGGAAGGGGGGGGGGGGGGGGGGGGGGGGGG